GGAAAGTGATGAAAATTTCTGCAGTCTGTTATAAAGTAATCGATACAATATAAGCCGAATTGAACACGCTTTTGGTGTAGAAGAACCAGATGATTCTAGGTTGCTACTCTAAATATCACGCTCAATGCGATCATCAGGCAACTCTTAGTTGGAAAGTATATTAGGTTGAAGGGAAGGAAGATTAATTTAATATGATAATATGATGCTTGTACAAGAAATAAAGGATTTCCTATGTCAACTGGCAGGCATTTATATTAATAATATGTGATTTGAGCAAAACTTTGCGATGATAAATTAGAATGCGAACTAAGTTAAAGAATGAATACCTTCAGGCAGCTCACTTTTTAGCTAATGCATGTAAACCAAAATCTACAATCTACATCTTCAATCTTAGCTAGAAGAGGCAAAATGTCTTTTCTCTTGATAGAGGAATCCTTGCGAACAGATTTTCTGATTACTTGTTCATTTGTCATTCTGTTTATAAATTTTACTTTTTGTAAAGATCAATGAATACTTGATGAAAGTGCTGGGGACAAATCATAAAAAGACAGCAACGTATCACCCCCAAACCAATGGACTGGACGAAAGAACAAATCAAACAATCCAACGGTATTTTATATCAAGATTTGTTGCATTTTACTTTCGGGTAATTCGACTGACAACTTCTAAGGGATTGTTTCAGCATTCAAATTATCTCTGAATTATGAACTTAAAAGTGTCTTGGAAGCATTAATTTTCATTAGTTACTGCAATATTTTATTGTTAATCAAAAACGTTCTTTTACAGGCGATTACGTACCTTTGTGAATGGTCACCCAGAGAAGTGGGACGATTTTTTAGATGCGGCACTTTGGTCAATGCGCTCGAAGCAACAGGCCACGACAAAGTTTTCGCCATTTAAAGTCCTTTATGGTCGGGAGCCCAAATTTCCCATAGAACTTGAAGATTTGCCGGAAACTTTAGAGGTAGTCAAGTGTCTCAACGCGTTTAAAATTGATTATAAATTCAGATGGTCATTACTTAGTATTTTCATTTACCTAACAATAATGTTCAAATGTAGACTTGAACGTACTTCATTTCAACTTTTAAATAATAACAACAGTACAAAACACTATTGCCGTAATATATTTCACCTTTCCTTAAATGTTTTTGCAACGTGATTTCAACAGAATCTCAAGATTTTTATCTAAACTGAATTATCTTTAGTTAGAATTCAGTTGTTTTGAATTATACTTTCAATGTTTAGCTCTTTATCTTTATTTTAGATAAACACATTATTACCGAGCGACGGCGATATAGATGCTTACATGGATCGTTTCCAAGCCGCCAATGTTAAGCTGTATGAGAAGCTGTGCTCAAATGTTGCTGTCGCGCAGAGCAAACAAAAAGAAGCGCACAGAAAAAAGATCCGCGGCAAACTGCCTGATTTGAATGTCGGTTCTAAAGTCCTGGTTTCAAATATTGCAATCAAAAGCCAAAAAGGGAGAAAGCTGGAACAAAGATACTCGGGTCCAGTTAGAATTTCCGAAATTCGAGGCAATAGATTCTTTCTCGTCGATATGGAGGGGAATTTATTGAAGAAACCAGTTCATAAAACCAGGCTCAAATTATACAAGGAGCAAAAAGGTAAAAGACTATTTATAAACTGATACTATGGGTATGATGTGTGCAAATAAAATGTGTTGCAAAATGAAATACTTTGGGCATGAAATACGGAATATGCAGGGAAGGAAAGAACGCTTTTGGTATCATTGAAAAGAATTTCATTCCAAAATAGCAAAAATATCACAATATTGTATCTTCATCTTTAATAGTATATCAACAGCTTTCTGCATCAACATATATTGATGAAGACTAGAATATGCATTTTTTTATCTTTTGCAGACGAAAGAGCCGGCCCATCATCACTTGAAAAAGATGCAACTCTGGAACAAGAAGTTTGTTGTAAGAATAATTTTTGGTTACTTATTCTACATGAATATATGTTTAAATTGCACTAAGATGTAGATAAAAGAAACTGAATCTTGTAAAAAGTAAGTGTATTTTTATTGTTTCTTCCAGGCGATGGAGCCGTCCCTTCTCCCATCGGAGCAAGGGTAGTGACAGATGAAGATGTTCGTTGTAAGAATAATTTTTGGTTACTTATTCTACATGAATATATTTTTAAATTACACTAAGATGTAGATAAAAGAGACTGAATCTTGTAAAAAGTAAGTGTATTTTTATTGTTTCTTCCAGGCGATGGAGCCGTCCCTTCTCCCATCGGAGCAAGGGTAGTGACAGATGAAGATGTTCGTTGTAAGAATAATTTTTGGTTACTTATTCTACATGAATATATTTTTAAATTACACTAAGATGTAGATAAAAGAGACTGAATCTTGTAAAAAGTAAGTGTATTTTTATTGTTTCTTCCAGGCGATGGAGCCGTCCCTTCTCCCATCGGAGCAAGGGTAGTGACAGATGAAGATGTTCGTTGTAAGAATAATTTTTGGTTACTTATTCTACATGAATATATTTTTAAATTACACTAAGATGTAGATAAAAGAGACTGAATCTTGTAAAAAGTAAGTGTATTTTTATTGTTTCTTCCAGGCGATGGAGCCGTCCCTTCTCCCATCGGAGCAAGGGTAGTGACAGATGAAGATGTTCGTTGTAAGAATAATTTTTGGTTACTTATTCTACATGAATATATTTTTAAATTACACTAAGATGTAGATAAAAGAGACTGAATCTTGTAAAAAGTAAGTGTATTTTTATTGTTTCTTCCAGGCGATGGAGCCGTCCCTTCTCCCATCGGAGCAAGGGTAGTGACAGATGAAGATGTTCGTTGTAAGAATAATTTTTGGTTACTCATTCTACATGAATATATGTTTAAATTACACTAAGATGTAGATAAACAGACTGAATCTTGTAAAAAGTAAGTGTATTTTTTATGTTTCTTGCAGGCGATGGAGCCGTCCCTTCTCCCATCGGAGCAAGGGTAGTGACAGATGAAGATGTTCGTTGTAAGAATAATTTTTGGTTACTCATTCTACATGAATATATGTTTAAATTACACTAAGATGTAGATAAACAGACTGAATCTTGTAAAAAGTAAGTGTATTTTTATTGTTTCTTGCAGGCGATGGAGCCGTCCGTTCTCCCATCGGAGCAAGGGTAGTGACAGACGAAGATGTTCGTTGTAAGAATAATTTTTGGTTACTCATTCTACATGAATATATGTTTAAATTACACTAAGATGTAGATAAACAGACTGAATCTTGTAAAAAGTAAGTGTATTTTTATTGTTTCTTGCAGGCGATGGAGCCGTCCGTTCTCCCATCGGAGCAAGGGTAGTGACAGACGAAGATGTTCGTTGTAAGAATAATTTTTGGTTACCCATAGATTTATAAATAAGAGCAAAATTTCAGATATTTGAATTTCTGGTGGTACACCTATTGCAATAAAATGAAGTAACAGTTGCGAAAGTAATTCGGGGTAACTTCGTGCCAAATATGAATTCTTAACAATTGCTGCTTTTATATTATGAACCATGTTCGAACCTTGAATTTTGTAAATATTGTAAATGAAACGGATGATGCGCTACTCAGTAAAACATTTCACTTCACGACAATAGAGAATTGCTCTTTATTGATTTCGTAGGCAACAGGACTTTGGAGGTTCAGAGAAGGAAGCACGGCAGAAATGACATTTACACATTTATACTGAAAAAAACAGCAGGTATTACTTTTCATAACGCCTTTGTAGCCTTAGTTACATAAACATCACGATCGCACATTGAAGGAAACATTTTCTTGCATCTTTCATTGCACCGTTCTTTTAAAATGCCGCATGTTACTTAATATGTGTTTTTAAGGTTTGTCGCCAGTGGCTTCAAAGGAAGATGCGAAGAAAATTACACCTCCTGAAAAGGATTCGATAGAGTACACAAAGATATCTGGTAAGAATAGAATAAGCTAAATTTTATACAGTATAATAAATTAAGGCTACACCTTTTTAATCATTTTACGAGTTTATTTTTCTCTGGTTTGGATATTACAGAGCCCGGTTTAGGCATTCCTCCGACAGTGCAGAGGTTGTGGACCAGCGGAAGTGCAACCTGCACAAAACCGGACCCCAGAGAAGGAAGCACAAAACGTAAGTACAATTCTGTATGTTATTGGGGAAATCAGCTAGTAACATCCACTAATTCACCTCTGCAAATGCTAGAAATCTGAATACCTGGTATGTGCTGAAACACTGATGCTCAAATAATCCTTTAATTCCAGAAAAAATTGATACATCAAAAATTGACGAGATAACAGATGAGATGCAAATCTCTGTGCATATGTGCAAAAAGCCAACGCTTGATATTGCTTAAAAATTCTTTATTTTTATTCTTTAAAAATTATGAAATTCTAAAATAAATTTACATCTGATTTACAAAATTATGAAATTTACATCTGAAAGGTGCGTTGTAAAGAAGAAGTGCCACTATTGAAGCAGACTTTATTACTGTTAACTTTCATATCAAAAACTTGAACGAAATCTCGAATAATTTCCATCTTGAAAGTTAACATAAGTTATTAACATTTTCTTTATTCCTTAGCTGTCACAAGTGATGAAATCTATAGAAGAGTTTGTGAAAATATAGAAGCAGCGGTTAACGGTTAGAAGAATTTTTTGCGAAACTGACAATTTTTTGCATTCAAAATGACAAAACCACCTTAAGTTTGAACTTTTATCTAGAGTTGTGTTTGAGAGAATTAGTTCAGTTTTATTTATACGATCGAAATAATCTTCAAATCCTGTTTCAGCCGCTCAAGAAAAGTTTAGTTCACCAGGTAAGTGAATGTATAATTTAATTGCTTTACTTTTGTGTCCTTCCATTGTGCTATCAACAGCCATAGTCTCAAACAATCATATCATCGTATTTTGAATTGCAGTCTCTTGGCGAACAAGACAGAAATTGCTGGAAAAAACGTCGCAGAATGATTTGAATGGTAAAAATTTCTCTCGACAAATTGTAAACAACTATAATAATTTGCTTTTCTATAAAAAAATCATCCAAAGATTTATCTCTACTTCTACGACAATTTTTTTCAGTGGTACTGCAAACGTTCATTGCAATAAAGGCTAAATCAAAATACAACATACCCTATTTCCATGCTTAAACTATTTTCCCGCTTAAAAACGCATTTTTGCGTTTTTGTTTATTTGGAATTTTGGGCATATACACCCAATAATTATTTTCAATCATTTTTAAAACAGAAAGACTAACAAGTCAACCAAAAAAATCACGTATGGAATGTGACGACTTGAATATCCTCGATGTCGACTGTGTAACGGAGACCGATCCTGCAAACGGTATAGTATCCACCGCAATCTACTTACTACATACAATATCATCATTCATTTCCCCGCTACAATATCTAATCTAAAACACGTTCATCTGGATTCAGCACTATTTTCAAAAGTAAAAAAATTGTTCATTTTCTTTAGTATTGATATGCCTTTCACTCATACTTTTCAAATGATAAGCATTGGCTTCAAATTTTGCTCAAGAGGTTTCACGGAGAACTTGGGAAATACCTGATAAAACATATCTCTGCACCTAATTTTACCTTTATCAGATATAGCTATACTTTGTGCGAAGAACGCTAACTGAATCAGGACCAATGTACACAAGTTTAAAATGCCTCCACAAATGTGGCTTGCAGAGGGGAAAAGATTTTTTATAGTCACGATCTTTCATGATACCAGTGACTTTTTTACCTACCCGTCTCATTTTAATCTATCATATTTTATTTCTTTCGTCAGTGCTCCAGCATATTCTGTCTCATAAGCCAGCAGGGCTGTTGTATTCATACTTCAAAGGTACTGCAGTCTATGACAAAGACCTGGCCACGCTTCGGGGCGACAGTTACGTCAATGATAAGGTATAAGTAGTTCATTTGTAGTTTTTCCAAATTTATGTATTGAAAAATTGAACTATGAATTGTATCTAAACTGAACTATGAATTAAGCAGTTATATCAAGTCTTTTTTTCTTGCAGATTGTAGAGATTGGGCTAGAGATTATCGCTCAAAAATACAGAACTGAGGTTTGCAATCTTCTTTAACTTTCCTAGATATTCTGTAGCAATGCTGTGTATCTGTGAAGACAATTACCATGTGTTACCATGTAGATGTTCTTAAAAAATTCACGTAAACTTTATATCATATTTTTTCTAGTTACATCTAATAAAAATAATGAACTCAGAGACAGTTACAAGGATGGTAACTGGTTCCGAAGGCAGTCTGGGGACAATGAGGCTCACGATGGTATTAAGACGTTATCAACATATTCATGCAATAATCGTAACAATTTTCATATTCATGCAATAATTATATTACATCGTGTGATCTTTCCTCACAATTTTCGCTTCAATTACTAGAACAAAATATTAATTCGAACAGAACTTTATAATCATCACATTCTCTGAATAGGAGCAACTGTTCAATGCAAATATTTGTGTGGGTTGTTTCAACAAAGCTGGCAATCACTGGGTTTTGCTGGTAAGATCACTTAATGTTCTTGCACGATGACATCGTAGTCCCAACAGGAATGTTCTGTTCTATTGCCTCGATTTCTTATGCGAAGTCTTATTGAGACATATTTTCCCGAATAACGACGAACAACCTTTTCTTATCTTGTAGATCATTTATCCAGCGAAACGAAAAGTCGTTTATGTTGACCCGATGGGGGCTTCAGCTTTGGAGTTAAAAAATATGGAAAAAAACTGGAGGTAATAACATAGCAGTTACTAATTTGCCTACGGTCACCAAAGGTTGTTGATGAAGAAACACTCTAGCAATTGTTACGATTAAAAGTTTTAGATTTCCTTGATATGCTTATATAATGCATAATTTTACACTATGGAATAGTAGTATGCCAAACATATAACACTTATATAGATCCTATCTTTAAGATACAGAAAAGAAATGTAAGAGTAATTTCTTTTCAACCACCTTCAGCCTCTTATACTCCTTTTTTCAAATATTTTAAACTTTTCGAGTCATTTGCTATCTTTAAATCGAAACTCTTGACTTTTGTTTTTGATTCTATTCACGGAAATTTTTGATTCTATTCACGGAAGTTTGATCTAATAATTGTTCGTTGCTTGGTTCATCTGCTCATCATAATTCTACAAGACAGACGAGTAGGGTGTAAATTGTTTTCACTAAAAAAATTACAACTATATATCTAATTGTTGTAAGTAAAGTAGCAATAAGTATATTAATGTGGCATAAATTGTTTGCTATGTTGAATTTTAAAATAAATAAACAGAACTGAACAGAACTGGGAATTTTTTTTCAAAGAGCATCCATGAAGGCCAGAAAAGACATAAACTTCGAGAGCTGGACGCTTGAAAGGCCACCATCTTATCCCAAGCAACAAGATAGTTTTTCTTGTGGCATATATTGTCTGCAGGTTTGGATGTATTGACGTGTTTTTACTATTAAAAATAATATTACTTTGATAAGAAAATATATTCTTAAACTTCTTAAACTCATTTTGCTCCAATTAAACCCAAAATATTATCGGAACTTTATTATCAAGGCATTAACCAGTGCAAAACATCTGAGACATTGCGACATGTCTTAGATTTATTTACTTCAGTAACTTGCTTTTTGTGCAGTCACATTTTATCAGTTTCGAAAATATCCACAAATCCGCAAATCCAGAAAGCGGAAAAAATCCGCAAAACTAATGAAAATATTTTCATTCCCAAGTATGCTGAAACAATTCTCGGAGAGAAGTGTTTTCCAGCATTTGTAGCTCCAGACCAGCTAAGAAGCTCCTTTGGTGAAGCAATCCTAACCTTTTCAGGTAAGGAAAAACTACTCTAAATGCTATTCTTGTGTATAACCCTACAATACTGCTATCGGTAAGAATATGACAATGCTACAATTGCCGCCAAAAGTAGTTGGAACATCGCGATTGCACTCTTATTAAATGCATATTTTTCGGTTCATTTCCCTATTTCAAGCAGACGGATCCCCCTCCCCCCCCTTAAACAATGTTGGGAAGGGAGATAAACATGTCGCTAAATATCGGTTACACAATTAACGCTCCAACCTCCATTTGTTGGCATTTTCCAGTCGGAATCCAACATTGTACATGTGGGGAGGGGGGACTTTTAGTAGGAAAGATGCAAGGACTCTTGCAACACTTTTGGCGGGCATTGTAGTGTATAACAAGAACTGTGATAATGCCAAGTATACTAGGAACTTTCTAATCAATTAATTTATAATATATTATGATGAAAATGAAAATCTAGCAGCTTGCTATGGGCAAAAAGAGTTTTAAATGACATTAAACTTTAGGAGAATCATTCGAGTATTTTGCAAACTTGTTTTGAAGGATGCATTATTGTTTCTTACTTTAGAAGAAATTGAGAGCCTGTGTAGGATTTGCAGCCAAACAATAATGAAGCAGTCAGAGCCTTGGGTAGGACATATTCATTTTTGTATCGTTAATGTTTTGGCTGTGATTTGTTTTGGCAAACTTTTGGCGATTCATGCATCATCAGTCATCAGTCAATATCATCAGTTATGATGTTCTATATTTAAATAATATCTATACAGACGAACTACCTTTAGATGTTGCGTCAACTAGGTGCTTTGACTTTGACAGATCTGGATCCAACTCAAATGACTGTTTTCTACTAGGTGTGCTGTAAAAAATGCTGCAACAAAAATTTTCATATTGCATGTCTCCCAGACCATGTGAACGCGCAAAATGTGGATAACTTTGCCTGCACGATGCTACAATACAAAGCTGCAGACAGTAGAACGAGCATTTCAATGTCTTCTGGGAGTAGGAGCCCATGTCTTGACACGCAGCCATGGCACAATCCAGGCGAGCCGTTCGTTTTAGCCAGAAAGACTGGAAAAATTTCCAAATGTCAAGGCTGTAGCAATGGCTATAAAGATGAGGAGTTTGTTGTACGCCACAAAGAGGGCAAGAGAATTTTTAACAAAACATTGAAGAGACAAATGCTAGTCCAGGGCAATGGTTACTATCATGCCAATTGCTCATGCATCCGAAGCCGCCATGATTACTTCACCCCCAAAAGCCTTGTAGTGCCGCCAAATCTGCCAATTTCAAAGGAACAAATACAATTTTTAAACGAGAAGCGTGGATTCAACATCCGATCCTGATTGAAATACAGGGCCACTGTCAATCTCAAACACTTCCATTTCTTCACAAACATAGAACAAACAGAAAAATATAGAACAAACAGAATATGCAATATACAAAACCAAGAGAGAGATTATACTAAGACTAAGAAAATTAATATCTTTATACATAATTTAAGAAACCTGGAGAGGTATTATACTGAGATTTAGAAATTTAACCTCTATATACGCATCTATATATATATTTAATAATCTCTACACGCAATCTGAAAAATCTAGAGAGATATTATACTAAGATTAAAACATTTCAAATCTATAACAATTTTGATGAAAATTCCAGTTCTTTGCTTGCACATTTATGTGGAACCAATTTATTCAAGTACTTAGGCCCTGAATAAATGTGTTCCTTCCCTCTATTTTCCTAAAAATAAAAACTGGATCACTGTGAACACTTTCCTATTGTAAACAAATAATAATAGAAGTATTTTGATGAAAATTCCAGTTCTTTGCTTGATTGGCTTATTGCACATTTATGTGGAACCAATTTATTCAAGTACTTAGGCCCTGAATAAATGTGTTCCTTCTCTCTATTTTCTTAAAAATAAAAACTGGATCACTGTGAACATCTTTTCTTAAACTAAATCCAATTCTTCTTTATTCTGGTCAATAAAAGGTATTAACGGTAAACCTTTATAGACTACCTTCGTCATTTGTTCGCCTTTCTTTGATCTTTTCCTGAATTGGCGGTCGTGGTCGCTGTAGTTTTAGAACCTTACTGAAGCGTCCAGGTCAGCCTCGATGCCGCGGCGCACATTTATTCAGGGAACATAATATTTCGCGACACCGGTTCCCAATTAGGGTTGTAAGCAAAGGCACAAAAAATAATTTTTTGCTGAAAATAAGTCACTTACAAGTGGCAGAAATTAGGATGCAAAAGCAACATAGATACCAAAAACGTGTTCATTTCAAAATAATTTTGAAAAACCTATCATATAAATATATGTTATATCTAAATAAAAATTCAAAATTTAATAATTTCTTTACAATCTATTTCTAAAATTTCTTATAATCAAACCAGTTTACTAAGATCTGCAGCTGTTGTCTTGGTTCTGATGCCACATGCGCACAGTCGAATCATAACTGCTTGATACAAGCAATGAAAATTCATTGCAGAACATCAAATCCCGCTGAAAGAATAAGATTATACCCCTCCGTTACGCTGGCGATCGCTTAAAGGCAATCGAAAGATACAAAACTGGCTTCAGCCACCTGTCAATCAACATTAGCCAATCAACAAGCGTGGGAGTGGAATCACACTCATTGATTGGTCAATTCTTGATTGAAAGATGGCTTAAGCGCCATTGGTATCTGTCGATTACCTTTAAGATTTTTCAGTTCAAACATTACTTAATAATTATTAACATGCTGGCAAAACAAATCTATTTTTCGACATGTCGAATTAAACTAAATTTGCTCTTTAAAAAGGTATAATCAAAAAGCAAGACAAAAATCCTCACCACGCGCCCTTCATGTCCTTTTAATCTCTGGACAATTTTGCCGGATGAAACCTCAAAGACGCAAATACTATTGTCATCAGAAGTCTGTAAGAGATATTTCCGCTGTTAAGATCATGCTGCTATAATTTCACGTTAAAATTTCAAGATATTAAAGAATCGTTCCCTTTCCCGGAAGACAATTTCCTTCAAACTTTAATTAGCGATATTGCTAGATATTGCCTATCTAAACGAAAGATCAATCTGGCATATAACATTTACCCTTTTAGAATGTTGAATAATATGGGTTCCGGGTTCCGTAAACGGCGTTCACTAAACGGCGTTCCGTAAACGGCGTTCAGTAAACGGCGTTCAGTAAACGCGAGGCGATCAGTTTGGCAACGGATCCATTTAGATTTGACCCTTATTGTTTCACAATGTAAAAATAATCGTTCAAAGGCTAAATTTGTTACTTACCGTGTAGAAATATCGTTCAGAGGGATGCCAGCAGTTCCTCGGCTGACTATATTCATCGTTAATGACCCCATAATAATTGGCTACCTAAAGAAAACAGGGGGTTAAGAAAATGGCATTCACTATCTTTCATTCAAATTATCTTTGACTTTCATAAAACCAGAATGAGAATCAAAAACAGTACTGCAAGCGATTCTAGGGGGTGCACTAGCAATCACAAAAATGCCTCATTGTATCAAAGGTATTTATCAGAATGGCATGCAGCAAAATTCCGGCCTTTCTGAACAATTTTCTTAACATTTAAAGTTAATAGCTGATGTCACAGTGGATCATTATGTGATCTCCTTTGTTTGGACGGGGCTATAGTTCAGTGGACAACTTGGATAGGCCTCCTTGTATGTTTATTCGCTCCTATCATTTAATACACTTGAGTATCCATGTCTTGAGGGGGCATTTGCCACATGGGGTCTGCATCCTATCTTTCTCAGCGTATCAATTTGTGCACTTTCACAAAGCTGCATGATTATATCTTGTATTGCTCGAACATTCCCCCTAAGCCAAGCGCACAAAGCAGACTTTTGCCGCAAAAGACTAAGATTTTTGTTTTTCTCGAATGAACTAGTTAGTATTTCCCCCTTCTTTGCTATGATTTTCCAGTGAACGATGTGCTGCCTTCTTTGGAGGGAAAGAACTCAAAGTGAATCATATGAACAAAAATAAACGTTTGATCGGTTTTTAGAATGTAAAGCCTGTCTTCCGACCCCGTACACTGCACGAAATTTCTCTTTTATCGAAAAGACCAAAGACAAATATCAAATATCTAATCTCAGAGATTATCGCAAAAGACCTTTCGCTTTTGATCCCACACACGGAAGATTTTTGTCGTAAAGGACAAAAATCTTCGTCTTTTGCGACAAAAATCTGCTTTGTGCGCTAGGCTTTATTATGGCTGCAATGACTTTCGAAGGGATGTTTCAAACCTATTACGTCACAGCGCTGATCTGGCCGCGTTCAAGTGGTATAATTTCATTAGATCCGTTTTTCAGCTCACGGGCGGATTATTTAGCAGAGTCCAGGGTGGAGAAAGAAACTGAAAACGACATCTTGACAAGCGAAAAAACTCTACAAAATCAGTTGTTCCCTTCATGTGCCCTTTAAATGCTTTGCTGATAAGTGAAAACATTTATCTTTATCTAAGTGTCATATTTTGAAATTTGACAGCAAGCTCTATCTAGTTCTATTCTCGTTGATAATACCCTGGGCCACTCGTTTCTTTTCTACTTCCCTTATCATTGCATGCCTAGCTTTTCGTTTCATGCTTGCCTGCTTGCCAGAACCAAATCTACAAACAAGGATCACTTGCTAGATTAAACTGCATTAACTGAATCAAGAAATAAGAACATGCACATACCTGTGCTCCATCATTTATGTCAAAAAGGATAATTCTTTGCTGATCTACAAATAAAAACAGTTTCACTGTTCTGTGTTCGTGTTAAGCTACAAAACAGAACTTAAACTAGACTAACAGTAGGCAACGATAGCATGAAGAAAAACAAACAATCATCTTTACAGCGCAAAATAAATTACCATTGCATTGACAGCAGTAAAATTTCTCAGTGATTAAACTTCTAGGAAAAAATGGTAGGGCTATCTTCAAAGGCTAATAGAAAAATCAAAGTCACATTTGATATTCCATTATCATACATGAGAATATTTAAAACGCTATTTATAAATGCATGAAACAATACTTTAAAAATCTGAGCATAAGAGAACTGACAAAATGCTCTCGCGTGCAGGAAAAAAACTAACAAACCGGGGAGGATTTTCCAAGGGGGAATATTGAAAAGAAAAAATAAAAAGGCTTAAGTAGAAACTGACTTGGAAAACTATGTGAAAGTAGGGTCCTTAGAAAGGACCTTGTGGGAATGTAGAAATATGGAAGGGAAAAACATTTAAAGACTTTAGATAAAACTTACTGTGGAAAACTCTGGTGAAAGAGCAATAACGGGGAACTTTCAAATGTGAAATTGTGAATACGAAAACATGTCTTAAGACTTTAGGTCAAAGAATCTTCATAAATTATGTGGACAAAGGAACTAAGGGAGAACTGATGAGAAGGAAAAAATGAAAAGGCTCTAGAAGAAAGCAACTTTGAAAAACAATGAAAAAAAGTCCTAAGAGAGGATTTTCGAACGTGGGAATATTGCAGGAAAGAATATTTTGAGTTGATCTGAGGATAATCGCACTAAAGGAGAAAGGAAAGAACAGGAAAAAGTTCTTTTGAAAAAGTAATGTTGGAAAACACAGAGGATAACTTTCATTGGGGAATGTTTTCATATGTAAAAACTTCCAAATGCTTTGGAAAGCAAACTTTAATACTAAGAGCCCTAACAGGTGGCTTTCGAATGTTGGGTAGATAAGGAGGCCAAACTGTCCTGGGATCCTTTTCGAAAGAAGCTGAGCCCAATCTTAAAATATTTGAGCCTTGCTTTTTAGCAAAATTTTCATCTCAACTCTTGATCCATCTCCTCCCATATTGACCTATTGCAAATTACGTGAAATGTTAATATTTAGATGATAACGCTTCTTTGGTGGCAATGAAAGAATATTAGATACCTGTGCTGGTGAGCAGATATCTGCCACTTGGAGAAATGTTCAAGTCCATGGCATTGAAGCTGACGTAATCATCCCCAAACGCATTCATGTTCAACTGATCACACTGGAAAAGCAACTTGTAAGAATAAAAGCTAAAAGATCAGCCTTAAGCAAATCTTAGATACAGATATGCACAAAAATCATCAAAACGATGTGGACTATGGCCTATATTCTCAGGTGCCGTGTTACCAGCAATAACATTAAATAATAACAATGAGAAATCTTTTAACAGGTAAAAACTTCAATAAATTGTTGTTATCAATACTTGTCCTGTAAAAAGAAAAATGCTTTCAATAAAAGTATAAATGTATTACAACTATAGGCTCAGAAAAGCTCTATTGTATTAATATATCAAAACCAGATACATAGAAATTTTTTAAAATCGAAGCAAAAGCAGATACATTGTCAAATGTCCTTGCATCTAGTGATAGTTCATAAAATAGCTTGAAACCAATAAAAACGGAGTGCAGTAAGGTTGCGGTCTCTCTCCGGACCTTTTCAATTCAAATAGCGAAATGATTCTTGGAAAAATTAGTGATGTGGAAGATTGCATTGTTGATGGAGTGAATATCGATAATCTACGATATGCTTACGACAAGGAATTGATAGAGGCATCAGAACAAAAGCTACAAGATATGATAGACATGACAGTAACAGCAAGTCAAGAGAGAGGACTAGACCTAAACACAAAAAAGGCAGAATGCATGATAACATCAAAGAGACCCTTGTCGCTAAGCAAGTCAAGGAGATTATTGTATTAACATATCAAGGAGATATGTTAATACAATAGAGCTTTGAGCACGTCCACATCTAGGTTATTTGCTCAACACCAAAGATGATGTGTCTACCTGAAGTTAAGAAAAAGATCACTATAGCGAAGCTGCATTCAACAACATGCATTCGATAATTAAAGATAAATTCAACTCAATGAAAACTGAAGTAAAAATCCTGAAAACATTTGTCTGGTCAATCCTTCTATTTGGGTGCGAGTGTTGAACTATAAGCAAAGAGACAGAAAAGAAAATTGTGGCAGCAGAGATGTAGCTTCTACGCAGGATGTTGAGAATATCATGGATTAAGGCCCTGTTCACACGGTACCGGATTCATTTCATATCGGATTCATTGACCCAATCCGATAAGAATATCAAGCTCTGTTCACACGATACCGGATTCATTTCGTATCGGGTTCACTCCTGTTCACACAGTGCCGCTACGCTTCAACACTGCTCTGAAAAACCCATTGTCTTTTAGCAGTTGCATAGCAACGTGGGATGTGGTTCGTTGTTTTGCTCTTTTTCTGATTAAATGCATTCTTTGACAAGACATAATTGATACGCTGTTTTGTTTTGAAGAAGAACTATTTCGAAATCAATTTAACCATCTAATTTTCCTTTGCATTTATCTTGTGAAGCTCATCATCATCATCGCAAGAAGCATATTTATTGTTTCACTGGGATCCACTGTCATTTCGTGCCTTGAAAAGAGTATCAAACTGTTTTTAAAATCCCCGAAAACGAAGCTTCCTTTTCGAAACAGAGGTTCCGGAGCGAAACTGTATCGGATTCATGCGTTCACACGAGTTAAAAGTGATCCGATATGATTCTATTCCACATTCACTCACAGCGGAATGGTTTGGCTCCGCAAAAACGATAGGGAGCGTATCGGATTCAAGCGTCGTCGTGTGAACAGAAGGCCTATCCGATATGAAAAGTGATCCGATACGAAATGAATCCGGTATCGTGTGAACAGGGCCTAAGAAAGTTTCAAACAAAGAAGTGTTAAGAAGAGCCGGTGTCAAAATAGAACTTCTCTGTATTATAAAAAAGAGGCAGATGTCATTTTTTGATCATATATATAGAAAAGATGACGCTGAGAGAGCTGTGATGACAGGGAAAATTGAGGGCAAGGGAGACCGTGGCAGACAGAGATAGATGGATCTTAAGATTCTCAACAACTGGGCATCCAATGGATTGAACAAAATCGTGTTTCTAAAAATAGCAGGTTGGAGAGATGGTTGGAGGCTTATGACTGCCACCGATGCCTACAATAGGCCTGGTATTTAAGAAGAAGACACCCATGTAGAAGAAGCCTTTCCTTGCAAATTCAGTTCTTATCTCTGGGAGGTATACACTGCACGGTTATGAAATAAATCATAAGCTTGGACCCTACCTCGTTAATATTTTCCTTCGCAAGGTCGTAAATCGAAAGCATATTGTCGTCTCTCACAGAAGCAATAAGAACATCAGTGTCCTGAATTGAAAAAAAATTAGTAAGTTGCCGAAAGAATGGACAAGATGCTGTAGGAATTTGCGTGCATTGCCAAGAGTTTTGGAATACCAAGAGTGACTTGTCCTTGTGACATGTAGCTACCAAGAAGAAAAATGAATTTAAAAGATATAAAATGTACCGACCTTCTTGAAACAGATCGCCTCAACGCAGCCAGCGTGATCTAGCTTCTTCAGTAAATCAAAACCAGAAGCTTCTTCTTCCTTTATTCTGAACAAAAAAGAATGAAAATAGATACAAGAGATTCAACTGGTATATTTATATCTAATCTTAAAATCTGTAGATATTATAAACGCTTTTGAATATAAAAAGGAAAGAAATTGGAAAGGTTATGAGCAAAAAAGCATATCATGTTTAGTATATTATCTACTGTTAAACAAACAACTTGCAAAGAATAAATGATTTAGCGCACCAATCCTGACTAGGAAAAAGATGATTGAACTCCTGATGCTGTGATACTTGAAGCGTAAATCATCTGGTTACTCAATGATGGATTACCGAATAAGAAAGTGGCCACCATTGCCGTCGCTAAACCTCTGAACATGAGACTGCAAGGTATATATTTGCTGTGTAATGGGCGTGGCATGGGCATGACATGGTCATTGATTGGGTGCATTAGGCAAGGCTAGAAGAAACTGCTACTTCAAATTTACTTTAATAGAAATACAATGCCTGCCAAAAGTCTTGGAACACTGACATCAATTTCCAAGGTCAAAACCAATCATCCCCCTCTCCCCCACGGAACAATGTTGGTTTACTATCAAACGGACTAGGATTTTAGGAAGCACTTTCTTTTGCGCTTCTTTTATGATATTTCTCTAAATCATCAACATTGTTTGAGGGGGAAGGGGGCGGAAGTAGCAAATTTATTTCATGAAAGGAATGAAAGATATCAAATGCAGCGTAAATTGGTGGGTGTTCCAAGTACTTTTGGCAGGCATTGTAAATCAATTCTTCATAGATTCGTTGAACAATCTGTGTTGCTTTAGATTTTAAGATATTGGTTCCTTGTTTCCGCCATTAGTCAATTTTCAGATTTACCGACAGAGCCCTGAGTTTGTTGAATTTGCTACGTGACTGTCATACGTCATAAACCGCATCCTTGTTACAAACAACATGTTTGATGGTGCTTCAATGATATATAGTATCTTTCAAAAGATTACCAGGAAAAAAACAATTTGATTTTATGAAAAAACATTTTCCTGATCAATCCTGGCTTGATTCACAAGGCATTTGCAAATAGACTAAAGAACATGACAATTATGCAGGCTTGATTCACAAGGCATGACTAACTGCTTAGAAAAATATGCTGCTGTTTGGGTACTTCTGCTTCATGCAACAATTACCTTACCTTGGTACTTAAATCATACCTGAAAATGCAAATGCTTTTGTCATAGGAAGCTGTGGCAAAGTAACGGCCTGAAGGGGACCATTTCACTCTTACAACATACCTGAAACAAAAATGTGACAGTATTAGATACTCTCCATGTTGAAGCAAGAAGCTGAACCATAAAAAAACAAACAATCTTTTGGTGGTACAAAACTTGAGAAAACATTTGAAAAAAGCAAACATTTGAGTACACTAAAGCTTTTCGTTCGACACTACTCAAAGTATAAAACGTCAGAACATAGATCGAAAACTCTACGAAAACTGCATATGGAAAATGTTACCAATGGAGTCCTAAGGTAAAAACGAACTTCTACACAATAGCGGTTTTTTCTTGCTTATGTAGATAGATTCCAAAGCTGACAGATGGATCAATGATCGGGCTTTGCCAATAATTCGAAACATATCGCTATAATAGATTTTTTGCACAATCTGGGTTTTCTAGTAAATGCTGCCCGATGGCAGAATCGCAGGTTTTAGTTACTTTTTTGATCTGCAAGACCGACGAGGCTGTTCTAATTGGGGGAGAGTTTCATTTCTAATGCTGGAAGGTAAATGCTGTTTCATTCTATACCAAATCTTTAGGTAGTGCGTCCCACGCAGCCAGAATCACACCGGCACGTCAACTCATAGATAACGGAACTCACTTGGGTGGTAGGAAAATTGAAGAGAAAGCCACTTGAAGACATCACTACCAAAGAAAATTTGCAAACTTGCCAGTTTTTGATATTTCAGATGGTTGAGATTTATTGTTTTGGCTGTTTATTATGTTACAGTTTTTGCTTTTATTCTTTGATCCTTAAACAAAGCCATCACTAGCTACTGTGCTGAAGGAGGGCTTTCAGGCCCCATTGGTCAGCAAAGTTGATGGACTATCTTTCATTTGTCAACAAATTTGATAATCTTCTGAATAAGCACCCATGAATGGGAACATTTCTTGTCTTTGAAGCAGAATTTTTTAACCAGGGTACACCTCCATGTCTGTTCATAGAAACGAGCCAGCTATCAAATTGGGGGGACTTGACAATGCAATAAACTTGGCACATTGAATTGTCCGTCTTGAAATAATTGCATGTTAGATATAGTTTCTTGGTTCATGGTGGGGATGAGACGGTGTCAACAAACCAAATTGTTTCTAATGCTTTTTTTTCTTAAATAATTAAATCCAACATAAACTGCTTAAAGATAAAAATTTTAACAATAAATCATAAATTACGCACATACTTTTTGTGATTTTTATAATGTTCTAAGGGAATTTGTGAGGCTTCAAGATCCCATAAGCAAACCATTCCATCCATTCCTCCAGTTAAGAGAAGACTTCTGTATAGAAATCATAAAATACAACACAAAGGTTTTCAACAACAATTTGCTAATCATTCTATTATTTTTAAAGTCACACATTTCAATCTCGTTATAAGAAATACTGATAAATTGCAAGAGCGCAACCTTTCATACTGGTTTTGAGAACATTTTTTATAGATTCGAAATTGTAGCTATATTTAACACCTAACAAATGACATTCAATGCTGCTAAAAGATATTGTATAGGTAGCCAATCAAAGTTTCAAATAATACAAATTGAGCCATGAAAGACTATAATAAGTTATGAACAAACAATAAAAGTTATATATTGAATAGACATTAAACAAAGGCAACTATCAATTCATGAAGCAGGTAAAGAACATAAAGAAAGAGTAGAGCATAGTGAAAATTACATACAGCATTGATTTAAATGAACATTTTATATGAAAATTTGTAAAATTAAAAAGTAGATTAAAAAGACTCTAATCCTCACTTTTTGGTTGGGTGAAAATCAAGGCAAAGAACAGCTGCTGAATGGAATGGATGTGACTTAGGAATTGTGGTCACAGATGAAGCTTTAAAATCGTTTCCCAGTTCAAATGTGTAGAGCAATGTGCCTGAACATGATGATGCAAGAACTAAAATTAAAACAGCAGTTAGATTTGTATTGACCCTTTTTACCAAAATCTGAAAATTGAAAACCGGTAGGCAGGCCTAGAGTAAAAAATTGCAGATGAATTTATAAAGCAACTTAGTTCAATTGATTGAAATATTGAAATTGTGAATGTTGAAAAGAAAACACGGAAAACAAGTATACCTCCATTTGAAGATAGCTGGGAAGCTAACACATTTGCACTTCCTGCAAATCCACAAATAACACAATACTCCTAATAAAAGAAATAAAAAACTCATTTTCAACATTTCAGATTAAAAAAATAAAACACAAACACAGACATTAATAGGGTACATTTAAATCTTCATTAAAACTTCAGGAAAGTTTGAAAACCAGAATAGATATCATTGCCAAATGAAACTCATAAAGTATCTAAAAAACATTGGCATTAACTAAATAGTTTGTAAGTTATCTCATAGGTTTTCTGTGTGTTTGATGAAGACACTTTTCCCTCTCTGGGCTTTACCAAATTTAAATTTCAAGAAAACAAAGTTCCTTATCAAAATCAAAATTTTTCTAAAGGGACAGTTTGCATAAGAAACAAATTTGCAGATTATATAATTATCATAGTATCTAGTTTTAATAATTTTATATAATTTTAGATACTGTAAATATTAATTTTTTTATTTTTTTTTTAAGATTTTCTTTTGTTCTACCAATTTTATGTTGCAGGTCCACATAAGCCATTTTGAGGCTGCCATTAACCTGCTTTACAAAATAAATGATGAATGTATGTATGTTGGGTGTATGTATGTAGCTGATAAAAAGGGGATGAAATATACTTGTTGTTTATGTACTTGGCTTCTCAAAAAAGTATTTTGATAACATAAAATACATTTATCATTAAAAAAAGGATTTCCAGGTCTTTGTTATTCCCATTTCATTATATTCCACTACAGATAAATTGATATTCCACTACAGATAAACTGACAGGGGTGTAGCTAGCAGAGGGTGTAGGGGTGTGACAACCTCTTCCTTCAAATTTTTCATTAGTATGTCGGTAAATTTCTAGTTGGTGCAAAGATTCCCTGGTTTGTCAGTAAACATGCCTATCAGTAGGTGAAATAGCACCTAAATTTCATATCATCTATGTCTTTGTCCGTAAATTTTACTACTCATGAACCCCCATCCCCTAGTCTGAAAGGTCAAGCTACTGAAAGGCCTTTTTGTGATTAATGATACAAAGATATTGCACCAGCAATTTACCTCATTGACAAAATTTCCATCTCCAGATAAAAGCTAAAAGGAATTCAAATAAATGGAATATCAGTAGTTTATATATTATACCAATAATAAAGATAATTTTTGCAAATAGACTAAAAGCCTTCAATAGACCCTTGATGATTGACAGGTGAAAAATTCTAAAAAAAAGGTGAAAAATGTCCATTAAATTGTATCAATGTTAATGGTGTACTTTCGGTTTCCAGTCAAATTTTCAAGATGGATTGTATTGCCCTCTAAGTTTTCCAGCTTTGTAAAAATCTTATCTTAAGTAAGAAAGCAAAATATTCTGTGTGAAATCTTTTTTTTGTAAAATTGAAATAGAAAAATGCACAACTATCAAACCTCACTTCTCTTATTCCGTGTTTTCCCTTCCTTATCTGTCATTTCATCTAAAATTAAATAACCATAAAATAAAAGAAACCTTCCTAGACTTATCATAAATTTTTAAATCATAAATTTTAAAAGGTACTACATTTCCACCTGTAATGGATAATGTAACTGCATGTGCGTAAATATTTCCCAGCCTTAACAGCAAAGGCTACTATCTGCTAAATTACTACTATTACTACTTTGAGTTCAATTGAAATCTTCTCCCCACTAAACAGTTATGATTTTCCTGAAAAAAAAAACCTAACGGGGGGGATTGAACTTCAGCATGATAAATTTGGTGCAAATAGACAACTAGTTGGCTCCAAGGTGCATCTGTTCCCTGTTTCAATTTATAAATGTCTTTATACCTAGATCCTACTCATTTCAATGGATTGTTAATACTCACCATCAATAAGGGCTAGCAGCTTCCCTGATGCACAAGAGTCACTCGATTTCGCATCATACTGAAATTCACTATTTGATAAAAAACCCATATTATTTAATATCATTTACAAATTAGATAGGTTAATTTAACACTGATGATTTAGTAAAGGCTTCTATAACAGTATTCTCTGTACATAACCAAACCATTACTAAAATCAAAGATGCTTTTAGATTGAGAAGAAATTTAATATGCTGTTTTTTCATGTAGCACTTGGTACTTAGCTCATAATTGATTAAATTAGACATTCAGATTTCTTTGATGAAATGCGTGCCAGCAAATCTGGTGTTACTCTGTTTAGCAGATTTACTTTTTTACAACAGAAATAAAAATAAAGCAACCTTTCTGCAATAAGTTGTTTCAAAGTTTGTTGATAACCTTGCTCCTCCAGGAACTGACATATCATAAAAAGTGCCCTCTTTTTTCTCTCCATAATTGTACATTGATTCGTGACTGGAAGGTCAACTGCAGATGAAAACAAATGAGGTCAACGTGACTTCCCTTCTGCTCACCTCCTTTTGAAAGCGAGTCCAATAAATAATTGCATCCTTGTTCCTATGGAATCCTTTGCCAATGTAAACAACTACAGAGCACACACAATAGTAGGTCCGAAGTGTTGGATTCTTGTTGAATAATTAATATTTCATTTCAAATTTATGTATCGCTATGAGTGGTAGCACAGTGGCCAATACGGGTCAGGCTTTAGTGAGCTTTGACTCCAGAGTCAGTCTGGATGCAATGCAGGGTCTTGTTAAGTCACGAAGTGATTTGTTCATGACGGCCTACCACAGAAGACAGGAGATGCTGGAATCAGCTAAGGTCAATACTGTGTGGGATCTAAAGCCAATTGACTTCTCAGTGAAGATGTATCAGCCAAACCCTCCGCCAAGAAATACAAAAGAGTCAATGGTAAAAAACTGGAGTGTATTGAAATTAAAAAACAATTTGTCGTCAAAGGAAATTAGGAAAGAGTCAAGACTTGTTGAATCCTCTGTTCCTTTGTTAAAGTTACCATCTCTTCTTGTTCCCAAAGATATTGATGAGTTGCCTGAATTTGTTGCAAAGTTTAGACCCCCCAGCTCACAGACTTCCAGGCGATCATTTATCAGAGAAGGGATGTACGCGAAAGACCCATACAAAACTGATAGTGTAGGAATTCATCGTCGAGATATTTTTCGAAAGGTATGCTAGGTACACTTTAAAAAGCTTCATGTTATCACAATAAGAGCCAATGTATACTAAATATTTCTGTGATGATTTGCAATGCTTAGCCTGAGGCGAGCTTGAGTTATTGCCACCCTTAGTAACTGACAAACTTCTTATTGTTCCCATATTGTAATCAACTCAAACTTTTCTGATGTCATTTTTATAGTATTTGGTGAAGCCACAATTCATAATTTTAGTAAAAGATTTTCATGTCTAGCATTCTTGAAAAGGAAATCTAACTTCGAGTTTTCGTCTTGTTTGTTGAATTAAATCGAAATTTTCTTTATTAAAATTCAGTGCTAGAAATATTTAGTTAAAGCTTGAAATTTATTGACCTTAACATTTTAATTGTTTTCTTCATTTACAGTTAGAGGACTTTAAAAAGTTTAGCAAATATGGCATACAGGACTTTGACACCAGCTGTGCCGCTGATCCTCATGGTCTAAGATTCAAGCATAATATGTTATCAAAAACTCTTCCAGGTATGAAAGTTGGCAGTACATAATTCTTCGATTCTGCTAAAAATTATATCTACACATTATGCGCCACATTCTGTATTGCGCAAAGCATCAAATGGCCATTCGTCTTTGAAATTGCCATTCGTTTTTCAAAAAACATTTTTATACATACTTTAGCTCAGTGGCGGAATTTGTGGTCGGCAAATCTGAGACTTTGTTGGTAAATTTAAATCTGGTTTTGGTTGAAACAAACTTCGTTTGCTCATGGCTGAGGGGGACGCGGATTGTGCTTGGACATAGCCAAGAACCATGTAACGCAAAAAAAAGCTGTTAAGAATTTTTTACTTCACTACAGATCAGCTATTGACGATTTAACCAGAAAAGAAATAGAGAACAGCTGACAGATTTAAACGCATTGCAAACTTTGTATGCTTGAAAATATACACAAAGTATGACAACCAGAAATGCATCAATTCAAAATCCAACCAATGGGTCATTAATTTTAAAAAAAGTTCTTTCTTATCGATACTATAAATATTTCATATGCATTTTCTGGCTATATCTAGAATGTCATATTTCAAAAATTTTCTCGCTGCCAACCATGGTGGCGGTTTTCACTAAACCATTGACCAATATAAGCATTTTTCCCTCGCTTGCAATGAAATTTCCCCCGAACTCTTTCCATGGTATCAATGTTCTGATCTCAGCTGCCTGAAAAACAATCAATGTACCTGGCTGCTCAATTCATGATCGGAAAAACATCGAACCTCGTCATGTTCAAATAGCAATTATCACATAAAAAACAATTTAAAAATTTTATAGGGCCCCCCCCCGTTAAAATTTTACAACTGCATCCCTGCTAGAAATGTGGGCAAATTTTTTGTCAGTGTCTTCCCCTCCCCCCCCCCCAGAAAAAATGCTCAATTTCCGCCACTGCTTTAGCTATTTGTTAGTTCTTTCTCTCAGTTTAGAACTTCAGACTATTGACCGAAAACTCTAAGCTAGGAAGTACATGTACCAAGTTGCGGGTCGAAATTGGCCAGTCAGTAAAACGAGCACCTAACTGTAATGGAGCACCAGTCCAGTGCCGTTTTGAAATTCTGTTCCCTTAAAAATTGTTCATAAATATTTTGAGAAACCTTTTACGTAAAGCAGTGTTCGTAAACTGGTTTTTTTTTTAATTTACATTTAGTTTTTTGAAATCTAACAATTAAGGAAAATAAACAGTGCTGATTTGGCTATTATCAGCATCGTCCAATAACTTATTTGGCATATACATACAAAAACTGCAGTTGCCTGATGATCACAATAAGCGAAGCGTGAAACTTGGAAAGGCAACTAAGAACCATTCTGTTCTACACGCTATAAGCGTGCACAGCTCGGCCCATACAGCATTGAGCACACGACAGACCATTTACGGCAATTTTCGTACAAAATAGTATAAGATATCATTAACTTAACATTTATACTTCTGTTCTTTGTGTCATCAAATTTGACGTAAATATTTTATCTGCGTTGAAATAAATCTAACATTTAGTGATATTTCTTAATAGAACTGAGTACAACTGAACAGATATCGATACGAACCTGTCAGTCGGAGCCCATGCCTAGACTACACCAGCCACCAAAATGGGAAAAGCGCAACCATCTACCGAGATCAGTAAGTTGTCAGTTGTTCATTCAATAAGGCAAATTGCAATTCGAAGTGCAGCTTTAGATCGATGAAATACTAAAAGCTCTTCACACTCATAAGCAATCAATACATAGAAGAACTAGATGAAACTTTTGTATCTTCAAACGAACAGAAATAGAAGGAAAAGAATCTTTATGCTTTTGTCATTCGTCAGTCATCTCTATCAAACTGAATTCTAGAAGACCGTCCCTTGCCTTGCCACAAAGGGGCTTGAAAACTGCAAAAACGCAAGATCCAGTGCGCATCATCAAATTTGGGAACAATTTGGTCAAATTTTTAAGTTTGGCCTAGTTTTGAGAGTCATGAGCTGGTTTTAGGTTACTTTTTATGATCAGTGACCAACCATAGTATATTTACATATCCACCCTGTTTCCACTGTTGAAATGCCACGCTTGTCTTTTATGGCAAACCCCATTTGCAGAATAGGATTAATAATATGATCTGCAGTGTTCCAGACCTACCACAACCCCGAGTGCAACACTGTATCCAAAATGAATTTTCTTGTATATAGCTTGGGTTCGGAAACTTAATGATTGCGTTGAAGACCTAGCGGAGCCTTCTTGACCATATCTTTTAATTGTTATTTTATCTGACCGCCTATATAATTCGAAAAGGCATACATGATTTTTATGAAGCGCAACTTCGTGCTCTAATGTTAGGATGCATTTTTTAGAAATCGTTTCATCCTATTCAATGAAAACTACCATAATTTTAGGCTTATAAAAGAGGAAAATCTCCAGGCACGGTACTAATGGACAGCGTACAAAGAAAAGCTGTTTGGGTGGATGGTAAGGAGAAAACTGGTGGAATTATGAGACCTGACATTTACGACTATAAAATTAAAGATTGGTGTGAAGTAACACAAGCTCCAAGCGAAATTGATGGCCCATTTCCTTTGGCTTGAAAAGCTAAAAAGCATTATGGCTTGACCTTAGACATTTTGACTTAGCGTCACATTTCATAGGTGCTGTAAATCTTCGAATTGCCTCTTTCCTCGTAAAAGTTCATCTCCCTTGAAATTGCAATTTTTTATAAGCCCCCATCCTGACATGTCACTTCTTACAATACATGGTTTTAGTTAATGACATAGAAAGCATAAAATAAAAAGAGTTCTAGAATCATCTTCGCAACGTTTTTTCTCAATATAAACGTAGTTTTTCAAAGTAAGCTTGAAAAAATATAAAAATTCCATAAAAAGCCTATAAGCATAGCGATCTTAAGATGATTCTAACAAGTCATCATCCTCTTTTAACCTTCCTTTCGAATCCTCACCCATTCAAAAATATCCTAAACTAATTAGTCAAAGAGGGCAAATTTGAGGCTTTACAGTAACACCGGCTACGACGATAAGAATCATTCCAATGCAGCTGGCTTCTTGATGGTTCGTTGCCTTTGGATTAGAGTTTTCAATAAGGACATGATGTAGCTAAAAAACCAAGTTTTTTGTGCAGTTGGGTTGATTATGAATTGTATATTATTAATAGAGCTAGTAAAATATTTTTGAAGATGTATGCCTTTTTCTAGATTTGAAGAACTATATCAAAATATATCGCATTTTCCAATTAAAACATCTGATTTATGATTCGAAAGTGGCTGCAGTCTTGAACTTATGGTTAGGCTTGGTCATTTTTTTATACTGGAAGGAAAAATAATTGGAACGGATTTTGCATAATTTAATAATCCTGCCTGAGTGAAGGAATATTTTCACTGACTAGAATTAAATGCTTAAAAGAAAAAGAAACTATGTGGTGATATCTGATCAATTTACTGTGACACAAGTTTGTCCAGGGAAATTGTGTAATGTTTGTGAAATAGGAAAGAAAGTTTGGGCAGACAACTGACATTGATTAACGTTTTGTTTGGAAAATTTGAAATAAATCTGATACTCCTGATATAATACTCCTGAAAATTTAACCTCCTTTAAACGAAACAGAGTTAATTTTATCAGTTCATCATCCGTGCTAATAGAAATTTCAGGTAGAACTTTATTGTTTAGAGGTCTTAGAAACAAACAACATGATGAGCACTCGAGCCTTAAATTGTTAAAAAAATAAGGACACCGAGCCTCGGGAAAAACAAGGGAAAATCTGGCTCTTGAAAATAGAATTGTAATGGGGGCAATGTGCTGGAAATGTCCTCAGGAGTATTTTTCAATTTTTTCTCGCTAGGCCGAGTTTTGCACTCTGTGAAGTTGTTGTGCAGATCTAATGACTGCTGTTGAAAACGAGACAACGAACAAAGTAAATGACTAAATGTAACCAGGCTGATCCTATCCACCTTTTCGGACTTCACTATTCATAACACCACTTGTTTTGCATAAAATCAATTAACAGAAGCCTTATGCAGCTCCAATTTCTTAAAGATTCTCTAAATATATTCTGTGTGTAGAAGTGTAGAAGTTATGAATTCTACGAAAAAATGGGCAGGTTTGGAAGGGTAGAAAGAGCCAAAACATTAAATAAACAGCGAGGTTATCAAAGGTCTTGACATGACAATTTATTGTAATTGTAAGCTCTTATTAGTCCTCTTTCGCATAATTTGTTAATATTAAAGCCATTAACACAGTACCTTCAAACAAAAGGGCGGCAATCAAAGTAGTTCTAAACAAAATTTTTCTTTTGGAAGTCTCTTCTTTCTTTTCTCACGAAGGCTGTTGCGTTTGCCAATGAATTGAATCTTAAGCCCTCCTTAGATGTATATTTTCACTTTACAGTCATATTCAACATTAATGACAATAGCCATGCCAAGTAGATTAGCCATGGATACTTCTTTTGTTGAGAAATATATATTTCAATGGTTGCTTGTTTTGACTATGCTGTCGGAACTCCAGAATGGAGCCTGACTGCACGTCCCATTATATTTCTATCCAGACATTAAATCCTTGATTTTTCTTCATTCTCTTTTATTTTTCATTAAACTTTTTCAATGTGGGTTAGGGTCATAAAAATCTCTTGTATGCAGCTTGCTAGTATGCAATAAGACGTTGGAAAGTTACCGAATTTGATCTTTTTGTCGCCCGGGCATTTATCAAAACTTTAACCATCAGCGACTCGTATTCGAGAGGGGCGTTTATTGAAAAAAATTGCTTACTGAAAGATAAATGATCTTTTTCAAATCGATTCACACGCTCTATATGAAGGTACAAATTCTAATATTTGCTCAACGTTCATCCTCTTCTTTATCCGAATCTATTACAGCTGTTAGCTTCTCTCCACGTTTGCTATTTCAAAAGGACCTGTTTTTTCACTGTTATCACAAGAAGTGATGGTCTTCAATTTTTCATATCCTGCGTTGGACGGCTTTATTCCATCTTTGAAATATGATACTCTTAAACATCTGCTTATCTAGACTTTCATTGTTAGGCGACATGGGCAAAACGCAGCAATGACTTGATGATGATAATTTTAGGACCTATTAGTATAAATGGGAGCCTACATAATACAAAAAATATTGAGAAACTCTTATGGAGAATTTCAATTGTTATGGAGAACTTGGAGAGAAGTTACAGAAAATAATAGAATGTCGTGGAGCAGCCGTTGTTGACTGTCTAACAATAGATTGAAGATGAGCGTGCAGTTACAAAAACGAGAAAAAAGCAGTAAAAGTACCATTGAAGTATAAAGATCCTACTCTTAAGTCTATTTAACATTAAGACCACTAGGAGAGAAGTTATCTAAACGATATGGTCAAACGCTTCACTCCTACTACCACTGCCAGTCGTTCAGAGAGCAAAAATCCACACAAGAACGTTTGGGAACCTGAGATTGTAGATAGAAAGAAACTGATCTCAAAATTTACTATATCTGTTAAAATTATTATTTAGAATAGAATTTATACAATAATTGCGTGTATATAACTTTAAAATCATGAAAATCATTGGAAAATATAACTGCATCGATTTAGGAATATACAGGCATTTTTAAGGAAGTACGTTATAAGGAAAGCAGTGCTCGAAAAAGGCCTAAACTCTTTGTTTTCTTTCAACCACTATAAGCAATGAAAATAATGCAGGTATGCAGCAACTATAGTACCGTCGAGGACCTCAGAAATTAATTTTATGATATCTTACTTAAATTTGATAATACGATTAAAAAGATGATGTCTCATTGAGTTGATCCTTTACATGTTAAAAAGTGTCTTCTGAGATCTTTATAACCAAATTTAATTGTTACTTAAAATTCACATGAAGACAAGGAATTTTGAAAACTCAAAATACCAAAATTGAATACCAAAATTCAGACATCTTACAGACACGTCATTTACTTAAGTTTAAAAATGAATATTCTAGTTTCTTGATAGATATAATAATTGCTTCTGTAGACTACATAGACTTTACAATTATACAAATGACAAATTTCATATACATACTTATATATATATATATAAAAGACTTAAAGCATTCGATCATAAATTAGGAAATATCAAATCTATCTTTTTTGTACTGTCCATTTTATGAATTGATGATTTCATCAAGAATCTCCAGGCTGTCTCTTTCATTTTTCTTCCTCCATAACTTCTCTTTGTATTTTCTTACTTCAACACCCTCCCATGTTTTGTTTTTCAGTGGTTTAAAATACCTGAGAGAAAACATGAAGACGAAATTCTTACTTAGTAACGTATTGCGAAGAAAACGCCAGTGCTGAAAGCCTTGTTGCATCTTCAACATAAAATAAATTCTCAGTAAGAACATTTGTAAACTGAAAAGCACGGTTCAGAAGAGAAGTAAATTTCACCAATTGCAATTCAATTGAAAAAATAATTTTTTCTGTTATTGCAACAAAAGATAACAAATTGCAAAATTCTTCTAAGAATCCAAGATCCATTGAAATATTTAGTATTTGCATGTATTATTAGTTACAAAGCAAATTTGACCGTCTCTTTCATGTGGCACATAGACTGACGAACATATGGAACATCTTTGATGTGTCGCGTTAAGTCTTTCGGTCGAAAATTCAAACGTCATGACTGCTTTGCTAATAATAAAATATGGAGAATAACAAGCGAAATGGAAAACAAGCAAAGGGCATACTATTCATGGGATGGTTGAGTGAAGAACAGTTTAATGGTCATGTTATCTAGTTGTAGTGAAATGGTCTTGGAACAGGGTCAGTTTGATTCATTTTGTGGCAAACTGGTTTTTCGAAGCGACAAAAGTCGTTGCAAAATGTTGCTTTTAGACTGGCCCAAAATCGTTTCCTAACTAGTTTTTAGCTCAATCAGTAAAATTAAGTAAACTTGAAAAGTGACATTGTCCTGTAAGACGTTCATGTAAGTTTTATTTGCGGATCAAAAATGACTGGTTAATGAATAGTGCATTTGATTGGTCACATGTTTTGACCAATCACTTGGCTGAAGATTCCAAGTAAGAGAACCAAACCCGTTGTCCCACAAAAACCTGAACCTTCTTGATATGGACACATTCCAAATCGTCTAGATTAAAAGAGCAACAGGCTACCTTGGTTGCCCTTCTCGTCAACTGTTTTGTAGCCTGCGTCGCAGACCATAATCTGCGACGCAGGCTACTTGTTTTGGCGCGTACTTTTTTAGAGGAAGCGTTGCCTGTTGTCAAATCATATTCAGTTAATTATATGAGGCATAGCCAGTATCAAAGCATGGAAACAAACCTGACTTCGAAGATCCCACTTTGATAAAGTTTTGGAATTACTAAAAGGCAGTAACCGGTTGAAAATGCAAACAAAGTTCCACAAGCTTGAAGACTAGCCCCTATGCTCTTTGTACACAAAAATGATTGCAAGAAATGCTCAAGAATATCAAACGAAACAATACTTATGCTAATGAAAACTGAGGTTAGCTGTGTGGCAAGAAGACATTCAAGGAATTAATTAAGTTTTGGCATACTTGAAAAATTATAAATAAAACCAATGTTTTTTATGCCAAATTTCTAAATGAAAAAAGCAGCAATTGTGGGTTTTTGCTTGATTAAGTTAGAATAAGGCCAAGTAGCTTATAGTAAAGCTCTTGCAACGGAAAGAAGGAATAACATAAGACAAGGGGAAGGTGAGGTCAAGTTTGCTTATCTTAGTTTTGTGAAAATCAGAAATTAATACAAGACTTGATGCCAAAAAGCGTCTCTTTCTTGAGAAAAGGTCTCTTTTCCGCAACAAATTGTCTAAAAAATATGGAGGTACTAAGCTGAAAAATAACTAGTCAGATGCGGAAAAGTAGTTCCATTTTTAAGATAATTTGAGGGACTGACAGTTGAAAACGAACTTTCAAATTGCACATATAAGTTGCCCCCGGGTTTAGATGGTTATGCACTCCCTCAATGCACCCCACGCACCATCCACCCTCTCAAGTGACGGCCCATTGTGTACTGTTTGGACCTACAACCGTTGTGACTTCATTTAGTTCTATTTATTCAACCGGGTGATGGGACAGATACTCACGTCTCCAATACAAAATTTAAGCAGCTTTGCTCTTTTGGGGTAAGTGCTTCACACGCAGCTTTAAAGTTGGTTTCAAAATTCTTTGTGCTTGCTGTACTGACAAGGGTAGTCGGTATATCCGGGTTGGCACAAGTGAAATGAACAGCAAGTCTTGATATATCCACGCCTTGGGTCTGCAAAAGTATAACGAAATCTACAAAGAAGTTCTTTTCACAGTTATAAAAAAATTTTCAAGGCAGACAACATCAACATGAAGCGTCTCCTCCCCATTTTTTAAAAGTTATTCTACAACTTGTCTCTTATCTGGCTCGTTTTACAAGGAAAAACATGCTTCATAAATCAAAAGAACGTAATTCAATAAATCAAAGACGAATAGATTTATCAAACTAGCGATAAATTTATCAATTTTAATATCAGCCAGAGTTAACTACGTTTTAACTCTGGCTGATATTAAAATATTTATATTTCATCATTATAGAGCTTTGTTTCTTGAGAGGTTACTACAGAACCAAATTGAATACAGAAATTTTGCTTGGTAGTGAAAAAAGTCCAGTATGAACCAGAAAGGGGTGCAATTTTGTCTTACATTTTGATAAACAACGATGACCCACCTTGCAGTAGTCAGCTGCCTGTTTGCAAGATGATTTGATGTCATCCATTGCAGGGTGCCAGTCTGGCGGTCCCCTGTGCGTTAGTAAACCCATTCCATTTGGGGAAGCATTTAGAACACCGACACCCTTTTCCTATGAGCATGAAATACATTTCATCAGGAATATAAGGTCTAGCAAATATTGCGAAAATTGAGTGTATATAGACAAAAAAGGGTGCTGACACCTAAAAATTTGAAGGGAATGGTTATGTATTTGTATGGTCGGGTGGCATGGCAGCTGGCCACTTTGGCTATGACTTCTAGCAAATTAATAACTGCAATCAGCAAGCATTTCGAGCAAGGTCATAAAATTCTCGTTTGTTTCTGCTGTGATATGTACTTTTTTGACAAAATCTCCAAAGCAGCTCGCAGTTAACTTGATTAATTCTAACGTGAAATCGTACCTTATTCAAAGACGAAACTAATTCAAGCTTCTTAAGTGACCGAAAATAAAACACAAAGAAACTGAAAGTTAAAGCATCTGTTCAGTACCGCATTTATGCTTAGTTCCATTAGTTCAGATACATGGCAATTTAGGAAAAGCTATGGAAAAAGCTGAAAGGCTCTAATTAAAAGCGTTGGTGGAACATAACTGCTTGAAGTACTTTATTGTTATTAGTTATATGAAAACCTATCGATAACAATAACCCAAAATAAAGCATTAAAACAGCTTCTTGATGGGCGGGAAACCACTTAGCAAAATTTAGCAAATAATATAAAATTCTGCTTCAAAACGCCCATTCTTGAAGTTGTTTCAAAACGCAAAGTCATTATCATTAATTTTTCATCTAGAATTCTGTGTTTTAAAAACGTTTCTTCCAAGTCCTAAAATTCTCTGAGTACCCTGTTCACAAGTTTCGATTTTCTTGCATCCCTGTACTTTGTAATTCTATTACTTTTCAGCAAAGAAGATCCTTTCTCTAGTATTTCGTCAACATTTTGCACCCTTCCAGCTTGTTTGGACAGTTATAGGAAGGTCCCCAAGAGACGATATACAAATTCCATAAAAGAAAACCAAACTTTCAGCAAAGGAAAGAAATTTGGAGTGTTTGGAGAGAAATTTCCGTAAAACTGTCGACTAGCCTATGATCCTTCCTAACTTGCCACATGCAACCACCTTGAATTTTATACTGTTTTCTCTCTTGGTTAAACAGCTCAATATATCTTGGTCGTTGGTAATCAAAGGAATGGCAAGATAATGTTTCGCTCAAATATAAAACATACAGTCTCACCTTGAAGTATGACAAATAGTCAGCCAGTGAGGTGTCATTCAAGCAAAAATGACAATAAGTCATCACTGTGTCGATCTTTACAGTGCTTTTTTCAAGGATTGTCCTGTCGAAAAAGAGCGAAGATGAAAGAGAGATAAGGAAGATCAAATTGTGAAGATAAGAGATACCAAGCATTCTCTGGAGAAATGTTTGTTGTGAAAGCTTGAGTTGTTATAATAATATATCATAACATAACAATACTCACACAATCCTTTTGATCTCGTCTTACCTTCAATCAATTTTTCTCAATCAATCCTTAGAATCTAATCCAATCCTAAACATCTTATTATCTCGTTTTATCCCGTATCACCCCATCCAGTATTCAATTCAATTCTAATCCATCCAACTCTCATTATCTCATTCTATCTAGTCCTTGTTTATCCCATCTTCAAAATCTCATTCAGCTTTAATATGAAATTCAGTCCTTAAAATCTTTGTTGTCAATACAAACACACCTAAAATTCTCCAAAGGGTAGCCAGTGATTCCAATGAATTTTGCCTTCCCAGATTCTTTCACCTAAGAACAATTAAAATAATTCTTCAGCCTATAGAAATATAATTGCGTCTCCCAATCTTCGCAAACACATATTTCATAATTTTGCCTGTTAGCAGAAAATTCTCAAACTTTGTAGTTTGATTAATTGAGAACGATAAAAACTCGTTACACGATCAATACTAGCGGGGCTTGTGAGCCTCTAAACAGGGTGGGCAACCTCGCTATCGGCGCAGTTAGTAAAAAGTAATGCGATGCCGAGCAAGAATTTTTCGCAATTACAGTGAGTAATAGCTAGTTATTTTTCAAATAGCGCCACATTGCAAGCACTTATATATAATGATGTCCTCTGTGAAGCCTGTCAAGCTATAAATACCTATTTAGATTTCCCTTCCTATCAAAGTATTTAAATCTTTGATGTAAAAAACTATAATAAAGATATATAGTGACGAGGCTGTTGTTTTTTGCTGCAGACAATTTGAAGAAACAAAACACTTCTGGATTCCAACCCAATGCAATCTTGAAGGCTAACATCAAGGTATGTTGGGGCTGGTTGGGCAGAATTGCCTTCGTATGCTTCAGCACCAGAGGTACACGACTATTCAGTATATCCTGGAATGTTCTCATCACTCGCATGAAAGCACGGATCGTGTGCAGTTTAAAGGAACAACATTAAAAGAATTAATGAAAAAGAAATTGCTCTGAAAGATAAGTAATTTGGCAAAAGTAGTCGGTTAATTGAACAGGCTTACCTTTTGGAGAGCAGGCAGAGTTTCACTCAATATTATATCTAATGATGGAGCGAATTCCATGTCGTGAATTTGAATAAGATCGACATAGTCAAGACCCATTCTCTGAAGGCTTTCATCGACACTTTGAATAACACGCTCAGCTCTAAAATCGAACATTTTGTCAACCTCTGGTAAGTATCGGCCTACCTGAAAGTAGAAACGGGTTTTTATGCATTAAAATACAAAATGATTCAGTGTTTATTATGGTTGCTTCATTGCATTCAGAATCATTCAAAATTATTCAGAAAAGATTCATGTTGGATGAGACTGTAATGTAGCTACTTTGGCTTTGCTGATAAACAGGGTGAACAAACTCGATTCTCAAATGAGGAGAAATTCTTGTAAAAACATAAAAGGATGGGTGAAAACTGGTGAAAAATTCTAGGAATGGGGTTTCTTAAGGAAAAAATACCAAAAATGAGAAGTTCAAGAAAGATCAAAACTTAGGATGGGAAGTAAAAGTGAAAATTTAACGCTAAGAACAGGTGAACCTCTGACTAAACGTTTTAAAAAAAATCAATTGGGAAATCAAAATTTAAAAAATAATCAAAATTTCTGATAACAAGTTCCTATATTAAAAACGAAAATCAAAGTTGAAATGAAAACTAAAAATAAAGAATCCAAATTAAGTAAAATAACGTATTAAAGTAACATATGCTTATACCCCTGTTTTAAACAAGGCTTCATTACATTGCTATAGCCTTAACATACCTTGGTTGAAACGTATATAGCCTCTCTTGGAATCCGTTTACTAACAAGGGCCTAAGAATAAAAACATCGTTGAAATTCAAGCAAAAAGCAGTATGTTTTTGATAAATTTCAGATCTTGCAGATTATTTCTGTAGACATGTTTAATCTACATGCAAGCTGTTAGGGCATCGAATTGCAAAGCTCAAAATTAATTAATAATTAAACGAAAAAAGCACAATGTGTAGTCTCTTTTTTTGCTTCCTCCATCATAATTGCTACTTTTGATTTTCAGATGCTAGTGGACATTTTTTCGGCATTTCATCTCTTACCATATTGCTGAAGTGCTGAAAAGATTGTAATTAGTTATTGGTTTATAGTTTGGTAGCACAGATGAGTTACCAGAAATCTGAGTAAAATAAATTTCAAAGAAACATTAGGAAAAACCAAAATATGATGAGATTAAATGATTTTCAAAACTGTGAAGGCGTCAACACGGCATGAAAACGATTGAATCTAATTAAATGTTCGCTTCCCTGGGTAAAATGCATAGCAAATACATTATAGGGAAACAATGCTAATGCTCAATCGAGACTTCTCTCTATCAGGAAGAAGCAATGAGATTCTACTAGTTAAATCTTAAAAGAAATTTGATATAGTTTTGTGGCTGCACAGTCTTCATTTCGCCTTAGTGAAAAGCTCCTTGTTGCATTTCCATGAACCTAAGGAGTCTGGGCTGTGGGCAGCATCTTCTCTGACTGACGAAGCTGATAAGAAAACCAAGCAACGGAGTGTTAGGAAAATCAGGGATAATTCTTTATTAATTTGTAAGTGGCCTTGTTCCATCCACGCAAACGTTATGCCTTCAGAAAGGGGGAAGAGGCTGCTCATGTAATTTGCCCTCCATAAGCACGGGAAAAATTCCATTGGATGATATCCCGGGCGCCAATTTGACTAAAGGGAGCTGTATCTTTAAATAATCCAATAACTTCAGCTATCTCCTAAAATTTCTTAAAAGTGTTGACAAACATCCACTGAATCATTACATTTCGATCGTTTTTAAGCTCTCAGGTTCTCTTATTCTAGGAGGAGCATTGCCTACAAGTTTCTCAATTTCCCTCCGTCTGCAACCGTTCTGTTATGCTTTGTGTATAGTTAAAATCTAGGGTTTCTAGACCTTCTAATGGCCTAGCGGTGTCTTGCCAAGTGCCCTTGATGGTGTCTTGCCAAGTGCGATTGAAGCATCCACTCTTTTGTTATCTTCAAAGCTTCCATCTTATTAGAGGAATCTCCTGCCACCAAATGGGTGATCATTCTTAGCATTTGAAGGAAGGTTTTAGCTTGTGTTAGTGCCCTCAGGATATTTAAATATTACGTCAAGTGCTACCATGTTACCTATATTTTGAGTCTATTCTGCTAGCGTCTTCTTTTTATCGATCGAGAAGTCTGTCTAGCTTTTCTTTTCTCTATGTTGATGATTTCGCTTCCTTTCAGATTTTCTTTTATTTCGAGACTTTTCACACAAAAGCTTTTATTTTCACATTATTTCAATATCTTGACCAATTTGGCAGAAATCAGCTGCATGGAAATTACATTTCCAGCAAGGCAACCACAATCTGCTGCTCAAACAAACCTAGTCAATTTTTCTTCTTGCAAGAAGGACATATGACGCTAACATTCAGAACTTTTCACCATGGGGTGGCTGGTTTCATTCCCTTAAAACAAAAGACCACTGTTTCAGTGCCAGCCAAGAGGTCCTCTTGAAGAATTAGCATTGACATATCCCAAAACCAGATTAAAATGGAAGTGTTGTAAAAGTGACAATCTTGTTTCAACAGGGCGGAATAATGACATTTTAAAATCCTTGTCAGCATTCTATGTTGGTGCATAGACTCAAATCAATGATATTTTGCATTTTCCTGTAATCGTTAAGCGATTATAGAATTACAGCCATTTTCAGATTTTCATCAATCTACGCGATTCTTTGTCCGGGATGAATCTAATACAACCAGTGAATTCATAGGCTTTGCAAGAATGCATAACCAGATACCCTTCCCATTTCACTTTTCTTCGCTCTGTTCACCTTAATTAATTTATGCCCAAAATTTTTACATCATCATTTTTTAAAAGCGTAAGAAACCATCCATTCCAAGTTTTGCATATCATATTTTGTTAAATGTTTGACTCTGACATTTACCAGGGAACAAGCACTTTTAAGGTAAACTTTTGCAATTTGATTTAATTTGAAGAAGAGTTAAACTCTAACAGTTGCCATAGTATCGTCTGTTAAATATGCATCTGTTGTTTTCAAAGTATGGAAAGGTTTCCGTTAGATGCTTTCTGCGTGAACAATTTTTGGGAAAAGACGGGATTCTAATTTTCTACATGATGTGTTGAAACTATTTAAATCATAGCATGAACTATTTTATCAAATAGGGGGATTTTAGTACTATTCCTCTCATTCAAGAGATGTGAGAACTTAAATGCTGTTGACAAGACAAGGTTAAAGACACTTACTCGTCCAAAGACTGTCTCTCCCTTACCATGGCCATACCAGGGAGCAGCATCAAACCAATTTATCCCAGCTTTTACTGCAGCCTCAACAACTGCCATCCCTTCACTGTCTATTGTTGGTCGAAATACACTCCCAAGAGCTGAAACACCTGGGAAAACGAAAAAAAAAAGCTTACAAAATGACATTTCTGCCGTTAAATTTCAACCGCAGACTTCTAGAGCAAAGTTTGGTTCTTTTAACAAGAAGAAAACAAACGTTCAAAAGGGAGAAGCTAGTTAGAAAAAGTTTTGATAGGATTTTTACTTGATAAAAACATCAGAAACCTTTACAAGTAGACTTATATTTTTCCATGCTTATGCAAGTAATCCTTCAGCATAGGTGATGCCAAAATGTGCTATAATTGCAAAAAGGTGTTTCTATTTATTTGGAACCAAATAAGGAAAAAATTTGCTAATGGAATACAGTGCAAGTGTCATTGCCTTCTGTTGTGTTTTACAAGGAAGATTGAGAGCAATTGCAACAAATCGTTTTTATCTTTTACAAAATTGAACTTTGAAAGTGCAATGTGAATGTAATATTAAACCCTTCTAATTAAAAAGATGTTTGCATTGCTGCTAAAAAGTTACCAAAGCCCAGCTTAGATACAGCCAATCCAGTGTCACCAAGCACTCTGTATTCCATCTTTTTTACCATGCTTGCATTATGGTATCCTTCAATATAGGTGTCTGGTAGCCTGCAACAGATATTGATTTTAAATAAGCAGCCATTAAGCAAGCCTTCCGGGAGAAATAAAATTGATATCGCTATTGGTCTATGTTACAAACATTATTGAATAGTAAATACTTTATCCTCCAAAAACCATTTCACTGAAAACAAAAACTAAAAAAATGTACAAAAAACTCTCATATCTTCACATTAAAAATACTGAAATTCAGATTCTGCAAAAGTACAGAATAATGTAAACTTTAAATGTTCTTAGCACCAAGAATTAATCAAAACTTATATGCTGATGACCTTTAAATGGTTCAGTTCCAGGAGAAAATTGAGCCTTGTTGTGAAAGAACGTTTTTGGCCAAATGGTATTTACCAACCTATCTAAAGCTAAAACATTCAAATAATTATACGGCCTCTTTTTTAGTTTTATCCATTTATCCTTCAGTAAAAATTTTTTATCTCTTATCATCATTAATAAAATTTCCCTATAATTGTATTGAAATAAAACATTTTCCTTGTTATATTTAAGTATATCGTAATTAAATTATTGATGCTGTGAAAAAGATTTCGAGTTTGAGTTGGGAATTGGGAATGGGTCTCAATTCAAATGAGGGATCTCAATTCAAATGATTAGCCCTAAAATTGTCTCCATGAGCTAACCCTGGAACTATCTAGCATTCTAAATTTCTTCTAATAAAGCAAGAAGCCAAAAGCTTTTATGATAACATATGTTGTTAAACATAAACAGGCCTATAAAAATATTAACATAAACAAAAACATGAAGTGGAGATAAAATGACGATATTGGGCCTACTTTATTGTGTGGACTTCTCGTATCCCTGGAGTTGTTATCATGACTGTATTTGGAAAACATTTTATTAGCTTTGTAAATAAGCTTTTTTTAAAAGAAATCGACTTCATTTACCCCACTTCTCTCGTTAGCTTGTTCCGCCTTTGGGAAAAGAAACATATGTTGTTGCTGCTGCGAAAAAAACTGGGTCACATGAGCTCCTGGATCTTCAAGGCCGCAGTGCCGTAGCCAGTCGTGACGTGAAAGACCATTCTCATTGATGGGGTAAGTATAGTGAATTTTCCCAAATTTGTTGTTTGTCGGTCTTTTCTTTTTCATTTCCTATTCCAAATTGTCCGATTTTCTTGATGATTTTCAACAATTTTGGGTGGGGGAGGGGGAGGTGGGTGTTGGAGTTGGCAGTTGCACAAATAAACCCAAATAACTTCTGCTACATATTTTATAAAAGCTAAACAGAGTACCAAACGATGGGGTAAAGTCTAAAGTATTCCAATTATAGAATAATCTGACTAGCTCAAGTCTTGTTTCCCTGCCTAAAATTGCACAGAAGTTCTCTTTAACATTTATTTTCGAGGCCCGTTTCTCCGAAAACATTTCCCATCCCCTGCCGGACAAAAAATGGTTCCTTTTCTGTTCCCTGCTATATTTACCTGCTATCCCCCGTCTTTCACCGTCATACAGGATTCTTTTGGAACAATACAAAGGTCTTCCCCAGAGCCGTCGACAGCCAGCTCGGGCCCGAGGGACGATACACTTACAGGCGTCGATTCCATATGAGTAGCTAAAAAGGTAGCTTTTTCAAACTCAAACTCAAAATCTTTTATCAGCAAAAAACAAATATTAATTACAATATACCAAACACTCAAAGTTAAAATACAGAAATTAGCAATTTCAAAAATTTAGTTAATTAAGTACAACAGATAAATTAGTTTTTTATGCTGAAGGACACATGAAAAACTCGTGAGAGCTTTGAGGCTAAATATAACAGTAAGAGTAGAAATTAAAAAGTATAAGAAGAAAAAGAAAAAGTATAGAGAAAAATATAAAGGCGGTAGGCTTGTAAATCAAAGCCCCCTTAATTCCTTTCTGGCTGCTTCACCCTTGCATCCCCTAAATTTCCACGTTATTGTTTCAACATTGAAGTGAAATGTCGAGCCTTTAATTAAAGTAGTTAGGCCCTGTGCTTGCTGGATAACTAGGTGAATGAGGGTAAATCAACTGATTTTGCATATTGAATGACACCCCCACACCCCCCGGTCGCGACGCCCCTGAATATACAGGGAATTTTGCATAACCATCTAACAAACTGCCTAACCTAAGTTTTTAAAGTTTGAATAATAAGAGTAAAGCCAATGATCATTTGAAGTCTTGGGAACATTCCGGCAAATGACCGGAAGTAGTGTTTCAGAAAGCGTGAAAAATGCCTGGTCAGCAAAATTTTGACCTTCGAATTTTTCAAATCTAATGATTTTTTCAGAAAGATTTTGCAAAAATGAGTAAAAAATACTAAAACATCATTGTTTCCTGGCGTAATTTGACGTGCTGAGTAGAATAAGATGCAGCTCCAACTTTAAAACATAACATAAAGCTACTTTTAGACTTTGGTACTTGTGCCCAGGCTGCTGTTGGGTATCGCAGTATAACCTAACAATTAAATGCACGTTATTCAACTGAATCTTTGTTTTTGAATGACAGTTTGCATACAATATTTTTTATAAGAACCAGTTTATGTAAGTTCAGGCTGACTGTTCCTTTTTTCTTTCAAAAATCTGAGGCTGGATTGTTCTTAAATTGTTCTTAAATTAATAGGGTGTAAGCAGTATGATTGCTAGCTTTTTCGCTCTAGGGAGGTTGTCAGGTCTCGTTTGCCAACAAAATGAGTGAAACAACCTTCATTTTCCTACAAGTTTGAATATTCGCCGAAAAAGCACCTACACATGGCCAAAATCTCATTTTTGAAATGAAACGTTGTTCCAAATTGTATTTTGCAGAAGCTCAATCTTAGCTTGTTCGTAATTTGTTCTTAAATTTTGACCAATTTTGAGGCTCGTGTTCTTATAAAATTGTCCTTACAAAAAAGAGTGTATTTGAAATCAAATTTTGTCTTCCTATGTTTTCGTTGCTGTTTGGCCGTTCCTACAACAGTATGGAATCTATCAGCGATCATAACCACGAAACATTTACTGCTCGAGCTGCATAAAAAGGCAAGGCACGCCATTCAAACCTACAAGTACGTATTTCGGTCGACGAGGCACGTCCGTCCGTGATGCCTGGGTAAATAACTTACAAATTCCTCTTTACTTACCCACTGTATTGTAATGCCATCGCAGTCGACTTCTTGACTACAATCCAATATTTTCCCTCCCTGCAACAACCGTTTTACTCAGGCCACTTTGATTCAACAGGTAACTCTTGCAGTCATCTAACAGCTTCCTTTGAAAACTAAAGTGATGTTTACCTTAGGCATCAAACTAAAGAACTGTAACGAAATCATACCGATTTGTAACACTAGAAAACAGCTCAGTGCTTCCTGCAAGGTTCCGCTAGCCTCCAGAACCCCGAGTTTGCGTTGCAGTCCCCTGTATCGTTACTAATGTGATTCAGGTGGATGTTAGACAGGAGGTCATTGTCAGCTTTTTTATTCAATTTATTTTTTGTTTGTTTACACAATCATAGCCAATAAACAGCTAATTAACACCAACTGCTACTAAGATTTGATTGAGAAATAAATGCTACTAAGGACAGAGCAGTGCGATAAGGGTAATCTAGGGGTACTGCCCCATCCCCTGAACTATATCTTTCTGTGTACATTTAGGATCAAAGAAAAATTATTTCGGCTTTTCTTGCTCTACAAAGAAAGAAATATTTTCTCATTCAAATCTTCGTTCGTTTGTCTTCATCTTAGAAACGTTTTTGTCTCTCATAAATTCTAAGTGAGTTTTAATGCCATTTTAAAAAACTTGTAATACGCTCTTTTTTATAAGAACAAGTAAATTTAAATTCAGGCTGACTGTTCTTAATATTTTCGAGAATCTGACGGTGCACCTTAATTTGTTCTTAAATTTATAGGGTGCAAGCAGTGCGATTGCCAGCATTTTCGCCCTTGGGAGGTGTTCAGGCCTCATTTGTCGACAAATGAGCGAGACAAGTTCTAATACTCACCGAAAAAGCAGCCACACATTGCTAAAAATCCTCCTTTTTGAGACGAAACGTTGTTGAAAATTGCTTTTTACAGCAGCTCAGTCTGTGCTTGTTCTTATAAAATTCTTCTTATAAAAAAGAGTGTACATGCGCTTCGCTGAATGCTTGAGAGCCATGGCTTCCGTATCAATTTTCATTCTACCTTTTTCAAGTCTTCGATTAGAATTAAAAGGCCTTAGTTTTTCATGATGCATCAAATTGAAAGTGTTTTCATACGATATTGCATGCTTGCCAACCGAGATATCGAAAAAAGTCCTGGTGGGCTCCTCAAAGTGTTTTCAAATTGGCCCTGTTTGCAAGCTAAAATTGGCCCTTAACCTTGAATTTTCACGAACATTTCAGGGTACTTTTTTGCTGACAGCACGCCCCTGTCTAGAAGGGATGGTCCTGAGTTTTTTCTGGGCCCTTGCCTCCATGCTCTCTTTTCATTTCTTCCACTTAAGGTTCTGTCTAGATCATCCAATTAACTGAGAAAAACTGTGAGACTGCAGCTCACTCAATGCAAATATGAAAAGAAACAGTAAAACTTGGCTAGTTGCTGTGAAGTCAAAATATTGCACGAGCAAACATGATATTTACTTCCCGGCCCGGTAAAAACAGATGAAAACAAATTCCACACTTGGAAATCTATTAGGCCCTTTAACAGAAGTTGCAGGATAACACTTTATTTATCAACTGATTAAATATTTTTACCGCTAAAGGAAAAGTTTGTTTTTGAATGTTTTTGACTTCTTGAGAACTGTTAGCGTCAGGTGTAGAATAATAGCAATGAAAAGTATTGCAATTGTCACCCCGGGCTTCAGCATGACTAGTTAACCGAGTAATTGTGAAATAAATTTGGTGATTCTTAAATGATATTGCCTAGGCTCCGGCCAGGCTTTGTCCGCTATTGCCCTTGGTATATATACTAACGCACTTTCTTGATTTGCTTAAACTATGCTGAAGTTACTGCTTTTTTTCATTCTGCTTAAAAAATTTCGACAATCACCAAATTTTCAAATTGTGACATGCTGGCTGAATCTAAAAAAACGGCTAAATGGTCATCAATTTAAGTGAAAAAGAGACTCCGATGATTTTCAGACCCCATTTTCCCCTTGTATAAATTGATGCACTTTGTGGTTGACTATCCCTTCTTCCCTGTCAAAAGTACGCAATGCTTCACACTTGTCTGAAGAAAAGAGCCCAGGCAGTTTAATTCAAGATACCATGCAAAATGTATGATCTGTAATTTTACAGCATTACTTATATCATCATAAGCAATATCTTTTGGTGGTACAAAACTTGAAAATGGCTTTAAAAAAAGCATGCGTAAGCTTTTCGTCTGACACTCTTCAGAGTTTGAAACGTCAGATCATAGATCGAAAACTCTACGCTAGGAAATATATATCCCCAGTTGTGGATCGAAATAGGCCAATCAGAAACGCGATCACATGACTGTTGAGGATGCCCAATCAGTGCCGCTTGCCTGTTATAAATCTTACCGATGGAGTCCTAAGGTGAAAGCGAATTTAATAACGACTTTTTCGTGTTTAAATGATGATAAACCTTAGCAATATCATGGTATGTTGTAGACGCAGGGTTCTCACGTGACTGCATGTCTCTATATAAGTAATAGGAAGTTGATGAGTAAATTACTTTCTTGTGAGCAAAGATGTAATGACAGTTAATATGAAATTATTATCGAAATGTTTGTTATCGAAATAAATTGTAGATTTCCTTTCCATTGTACACTGATACAGGATTATAGGAGTACCTTCGTAAGAATATAGTATCAATAAAAATCATAATATGAATACATTGGAACGAGGTAGCCAACTTTGCAATTATGCGAATCAATATGACGAGAAATCGCAGCTGCACAACAGCAGCAACTCGTGTTGCGTAGGCAATAATTGAATAAATTGTCATAAATAGTCAATTTTGCTGAAGTAATCTGGTTGTTTTGCTTGAAGCTTTATCGTGTTGATTAAATTTCGATTTACAATCAAAGTTTAACATTGCTAATATACTAGTCATTAATCTAACGGCGCATACTCAGCTAACTGTTTACGTCGTTGTGTGAAAATAGTGAAAAACACCACTAGCACTGTTGAAGATTTTCATAAGTAAGTGTATGGATTTGGTAAGCTTGTTCATCGTTTTTATCAATTGACTATGCTTAATTATTTATGGATAACAGATACACGTTTTCCCACGAATATTTAGAGTTCCCTCCGAGCAATGATCAGAATTTTTTCCAAGGAAATGGTACTAACACGTACTAAATAATTCTCTGTTGGCATTTTCTACAAACTGTTTGCTTCCAATCATTTGAAATGCTTCTTTTTAATTTAGATTTTTCATTTCAAGGTCTCTTCCATCAAAAATCGTATCTTTGGGTGGGTATTGACTTTATTCAAATAAAAATTCTGCTACGTGTGATATTATGAGAATGGATTATCTGCCAAGTTGAATTATACAGAAATTTTCGAGAAAAAAACTTACTAGACGAAACGATTTCATGAAACTTTGGCATTACAATGAATGACATGTTTTTACCGGAAGTTGATATCTCGCTAGGCCTTAAAGCAACTCTCGAAAAAACTACTTGGTTATTGTTAGTAAATGAACTCGGTAAGTTGCTTGATTGTAAGTCTCCCAATCCTATTCAAATCTCGACCAAAGACAATGGAAAGAGTAAAAAAATGAGAAAATACAGAATGAAGTAAGCCCCAAAATTTACAGTATGATTATCGTGGAATGATATTGGTGTTTACCAATAATCATGACATTTTAACTTCCAAACCATCGACTGAGCTTTCATTTTAATAAATTCTTAATATTTCAACAAGGCAAAGATGCCTGTGATAAACATCCGGTCTAGCATTTTACCTGTGTAAGAATAAGGAAAACCAAAATCACAGAAAACTGGATTTAATGTACGATATTTAGATGAAAAGAGTACAAATTCAATACAAAATTCAAATGCACTTAATATTGAAACAAACAAATAAACATCTCTTATCAATATTTAAAGGTAGCTAGAGATGGTGCAAATTTAGTCTTCTTTCTCAGTTCATTCCACAAGTTTTCCCCACAAAAAGTAAACTCTTTGACCATTTTTATCAACAGAGGTCCTTGCAAATTGTTCCAATGGAGAAATTAGAAAAGGTGAGAAAAGGTGAGCACTGGAAGTGTATCTGGAATTTGTACATATCTCAGATGACCCAGGATCACATCTTTGATCTCCTGAAAGCAATGGCCATGGGAAAAAATTGAGACTTAAGCAACAGCGCCGATTAAAAGAGGTAGAAGAGGCTTTGTAAAACTTGCGTTTGTTGATGAGACGAATGGCTTTTGAGTTGGTTCGAGACTTGGTCAAGACTTGGTCAAGACTTGGTCGAAACTTGGTCAAGACTTGATCAAGACTTGGTCAAGAAGGCATAAAGAAGAGCCCAAATATGAGAGCAATAGTTTGGAAAAAGGAAGGGCTTGGGACTTTTAAATTGTTAAGAGTTATGGTTGTAAGAGAAATTCACGTGCTCTAAAGAGGGACTAAAGTTATTGAAATAAAAGTTTAGAAATAGAAGAAATTTAATGTTTGATTTCCAATATAATTATTGAGAATTATTTTGAGAATCATTTGAGAATGAAGAACTCAGATAAGTGTCATCAGCAAAATAATGGATACCTGAGGTGGGGGAAGATTATAGATCATTGATTAAAATGATGAATAAAGCAGGAGATTTGACAGAACCATTCTGAAGGTCAGCATTAATAGACCAGGCGGAGCATAGGGGAATGGTCGCCCGAGAGCGAAATTTATGGCACCTAGTGCTTTTCGTCAATTCGAGGGTGCTGATTTTGAAAATCAAGGTTATACGGGGATTTTAGGGGGCCATCAACCTCTTTTTCTTGTTTGAAGTCTCGTTTTTACGTATATGAGAAAAATGAATCAAAAACAGTTTAAATGAAAATAATTAAAAGTCTTAAAGTTAATTAAGTATATTTCTTGCACATAAATGCCTAAAATTGAGTTATGGTCTGTGAAGGGGGCCAAATGCCCCTTTTTACGAGAAAATTGCGTAATCTTAAAAGCTTAATACATCTTTTGTTAGGAATAATTTTTGAATTGTCATCCGAAGGAACTAAGCAGCGTTTTCAATTACTAACTGATAAATAACACTATGAAAAACACAACAGAATCATCTAAACATAGTTTAATCGTTTCAAAGTTCATCAAGATCATCTTCTGAGTCACTGCACACGACACTCTAAGCGCAAAGCTCTTTTTTTGACAATAGAATCCTCATTCACCCCAATCATGATCAATCTACTAGGAAGTCCAACTGAAGCATCAAACCACCTTGAAAATCATGGAGATATAATTTGCACACAGAGTAAGAAGCCTTCTGTTTTCTTTTCATGGCGGCAGAAAACTTATGATCTCTTTTTGACTTTGGAACTTCTGCACAAACAACTTGTGTCGGAAAAGATTTACTCAAGATGTTCTTTGATTTGTATAAAATACACGACAAACCTCGCTTAATCATTGCCCGGCTTGTCCGCTCTCAATCAGTTGTGTACCCATGCTCATACAAGAAATACAAAAAGACCCCTTTCCTCTGACTCTATGTGAACGTTTTATTCCCTTTTTACTGAGATATAATACCAAATGATAATGAACTTTGTACAAAAGAAGAAAGTGAACAGGAGTTACTGCTCTGTTACACTATGATTCTGTTACACTACTTTGACTAAAACTGTACTTATTGGAGAATGCCGGAATTTATATGATTCTTATTTTTATTGGTTTATAGGTTTGTCTAGAATGATGAAAAGTGAAAAAAGAAGACATTGTCAAGCAAAACTGTCAACATTTCTATTATAAGTTGCAAATGACCTTTATACATTCAAAAATCTTGTCTTGCAAATGTTGTATTAAATCAAATCGAGGCGGTACTCTTTCTCAAAAATCTTTGAGATCCTGTGATATTGTCAATAAAACGCAATCGTGATCTACGTTGGTTGTAGAAAGCACCTTTTTTCAGTGATTTTTGCAGATTCAAAAAGTACCCCTTTTTCCAAGTGTACCAGTCCTAGGTTTAAGAAAAAGACCACCCCTTTTAGAATAGGTTCCAAATGAGCTTGGGTACACCTGACGGTGTCGGCGGTATTTATCAAATGACAGTTCCCTCGAAAATACTCACTTTCTATTTTTAAATGAACTGGAAACAAAGTCGTTGCAACCTTCAAGGATTCGTCAGTGAAAATAAGCTGAACATTAAAGGAATAAAAAAGAGTTTTTAGAGAGACATTTTTGGCCTTATAGTTGTGCACTCGAACAAGCACGATGCAGGCAACTATGTCAACGCCTCTCAGCACAGCAGATGGTGCCATTAGAATGACTGTTAGAGATAAATTGCATGAAACTGCCACAAGTGACCATCGTTAGCTCCGATAAACTATCACCTGCAGAGAAACTGAACAGGTACGGCTTGGACCTTGCTGCAGCCAAATATTTGGTTTGCCCTACATCTACCAAGAAACAAATGGAGACCGAAATACCAGAATTGCTATCATTCCAGACCAGTGCACAAAAATTGTGATTATCTTTCACAAATACAAGGACAACAGCATATAAAAGATTGTGAAAGTGTTGAGAGAGGTGAAGTTAGCTATACGCCTTAACGACTCCTGACATTAAGGTGCTATGTGACTTCAACAGCTTCCATATCAATGAAGAAAGCAGTATTGTTTAGTACTTTCAGCATATCAAAGAAGTATTGTTTAGTCCTTTCAGCTAGCAGTTATTAAGGATCGTAGTCAACTCTTTAGCAGGGCAATGATCATTTCAAACAAATCTCAGTGTACCAAAGTTACAGAGGATCATGTTGACGTTCTCAAAAACTGAGCAAGTGACCATTCTAACAATATCCTTGTCCCATGAATTGGGTGGAACCAAGATTTTCACAAATTCTCGTTGTACTTGAAAACAAAAGAAGATAATGGACATGGCATCATGAGTTCTAGAAAAAGAAAGCATTACTTGGCCTGCACGCTTTTTCTTGCTATAACTATGTTTCTAGCTATACTTTAGCTATACTTGGTCGTGTATTTTATAGAAATCATATTGCTTGTGCAGAAGTTTGAATGACATTAAGATATCATAGTTTCAGTCTTCTGTTTCCATGTAAAGAAAACACAAGGCTTTTGTTATATCTCTATGATTTTCAGGGTGGTTTGATGCTTCAGTTGGGCTTCCTAGTAGATAGATCATGATTAGGGTGAATGAGGATTCTATTGTCAAAGTGAAAAAGAGCTTTACGCTTTAAGTGTCGTGTGCAGTGACTCAGTTGTGTGGTGAACGATTAAACTACGTTTAGATGATCCGGTTGGTTTTTCCATAGTGTTATTTATCAGTTATTAATTAATAGCGCTGCATAGTTCCTTCGGATGACAATTCAAAAATGAGTCCCAACATAAGATGTATTAAGCTTTTTAGATGTATATTTAAGGATAAAATTTTTAGGATTACACAATTTTATCGTAAAAAAGAGGCTTTTGGCCCCCTTAACAGACCATAATTCAAATTTAAGCATTTATAGGCAAGAAATATGCTTAATTAACTTTAAGACTTTAAGTTATTTCTATTTAAACTTTTTCCCTTGTCTACTTTCATATACGCAAAAAGAGACTTCAAACACAAAAGAGAGGCTGATGGCCCCCTAAAATCCCCGTATAACATTGATTTTCGAAATCAGCACCCTCTAATTGACCAAAAGCACTTGGTCCCATAAATTTCGCTCTCGGGCGACCATTCCCCTATTCTCCGCCTGGTCTATAATTAAATGGAGAATGGAGAAGAATCCATCAACTCTGGAGAGGTGGCCGTAGGTGTATTACCGGTCTTCAGTTATACAGATCTTTTTTATTCCTGTCACACATACTTTATGCTATACCGATTTTGAGTTATACTGGCATTTTATTTGCCAATCTTGTGTTATACCGATCTTCTTTATCCTGTGTTTTTCGGTTGTATGCTATACCGATCTTCTTTATCCTGATCTTGTGATTTTCGGTTGCATGCTATACCAATCTTCTTAAAACAAATCTTATGTTATTCTAATCTTCTATGGAAGAACGGTTAAACGTATCAAACCGAGCTTATGTTGTACCAATCTTCTTCATGAAAATCTTATGTTATTTGATATTCTTCATACCATTCTTATGCTAGTCTGACATCATATCATACCAGCCTTATGCTATAGCTATACCAATCTTGTCTTATACCGAACCACTGTTGAACTTTAGCTATACCAATCTTGTCTTATACCGAACCACTGTTGAACTTTAGCTATACCAATCTTGTCTTATACCGAACCACTGTTGAACTTTAGCTATACCAATCTTGTCTTATACCGAACCACTGTTGAACTTTAGCTATACCAATCTTGTCTTATACCGAACCACTGTTGAACTTTAGCTATACCAATCTTGTCTTATACCGAACCACTGTTGAACTTTTCATACCGATCTTATGTTGTACCGCTCTTATGTCATCCGGGTCTGGTGTTGTACCGAGCTTTCGTTATACTAATCTTAATTCATGTCATATCGATTGAGTCATATCTTATGTTATACCTTTCATACTGATTTCGCTTTTACGAATCTTCTTAGTATCGGTTTTATGTCCTTCTCAGTTCTTTTTTACTTCCAAGCCATTGAGCATCATTCATAAGTTTAATTTAATGAGTCGCCTTCACTTCATTCTTTTTGGGTGTAAAATGATTATGTAGTTAGTTTTCTTTGGGTTAGGGCTTAACTTGTTTATTCTTACATATTTTGATTTTTTCTTTTACTAATACTGTACTTTTTCAATAATTCTCTGATGTTGTCGGAGTCAATATGACACTTATATCATTTGAACGAAGTGCAGCTTATAAGAATTCTGAACTTTTACAAAGTCATTAAGATATAATTGAATAGGAGAGGTCCTAAGCAGTACCCTTGAGGTTTACCACGGATCACTTTATGAAGATTAAATCAATTCCTGTTAAAGCAGCAATACTTTTTCCTGTTGCTTATGTAGGAGATAAACCAGTCCCCAGTGATGCCTCAGATCCCATATGACGGTAATTTCACTACCATAATTTTTGTGATTGACAGTTTTTAATGTTGACTTGAAAACTAGGATGGTATTTGCTAACTTCAAAATGTCCTGAAAAGTTCTTAATGCTAACTGGCTAATTTATCACAGCGGCAGCATCTACTGCTGCGGAAATTTTATCTAGTTTTTCACATTGCGTGCATCATCTTCTTTGTAGACTTGAGGATAAATTGCTTACCTACTGATTCAAACTTCACTTTATTTTGGATTATGATCTAGAGATTATATTGGGTCATAATCTGGCTTGAATTTATGCCATTGGAAAGTTTGGGGCCAATAGTGACAGCATCACCTTCCAATGCTTTTCGTTGCGATGCTTCTCGACCGGTCACTGATTAGCGTGGCCTGGTATTTCATCGATAGAACAAGAGAAAATATTCCTATTTTGTATCAATTTCTTGTATTGATCTGCTCATAGAATAGCCTTCTTCCAATGTTCTCCTCCTAACACATACTTGTAAATGTAGTGATTGCTGTACATCATTTTGGCTCTGCTCCATTTCTCAAGCAGATTGACCAAAGCCATTTGCAAAAGCTTCTTCGTGTATCCCAGTGTCATCAAGTCTGACGAATTTGGCTATTGCTTGGTGTAGAACTTTTTGAACTGTGTCAGTCTTAGTTAACAATAGCAGATATTCTTGCAGACGATAAGAGATCATTCCAGGCCTAAGAGGACATTTTTTTCTTCTTCTAATTTCTTATAGCCTTTTTTAAGAAATCTTAAGTTATGTAATGCATAGCTCGTTGCTATTCGACACAGTCTTAAAAATCCCTATTGAATAGTTTCTGAGTTGAATATTTTTTCGCAAGAAGAACCGCTTTCAAAAACTTTCTCTAATTCTATTTAACAAACCTCTTAAACTTGCAGGCAAAGAACTCATTATCAGAAGAGTTTTAGGGTTTGAAGGGTAACAAAATATCGGAACAAAATATCGGAACAAAATATCGGAACAAAATATCGGAACAAAATTGCAAAAAAGCTAAAAGATTCTGAGGTACAACTATTGGTTGTGTATCAGTGTATGTCCTTGAAGATGTCATAAGATAAATTTCTCAGTTCAACCTCTTAATGTTTACATTTTGACAAGACAAACAATAATTGATTGATGCATTCTCTTTTTATTCTATCATCTTTACATGGGTAACGTTGTTTTGGAATGCTAAAAACATGATCGATTTTACAGTTATCAACTTTATATAATTACAAGTTAAAAAGTTCTTGTATCAAGATTCTGGAATATTTTTTTCTACTTTGATAGATTGTGTCCTGTGACAAATAAATTGTATGTAGCAAAGTGGGAGATTTCTGCTGACATATCTAGAGAAATTATGGTTAGCACCATTATGTGTTAGTTCTTCGCAGATTTTCGAATGGTTAAACACAAATTGGCATTGTTATAGCACAAACGCACTTGAGCCTATGGCATGCAAGTAGGTCTCGGCCGCACTGGCAAGCATTGACAGAGTCGGTGGCCGGATGGAGTCGTTGGACTGTGGCTGAGTCGTGGCTCGTAAGGCTTGAAATGTGCAAATGATCTTGGCATAGGGCAACAACTACATAACGGAATTGGAGGAGGACCCTGTGTCCTTTGGCCATCAAAAGGTGGAAAAGGGACCATAGTGTTTCGTCTATCGTATCTGTGTAGGTGAAAGTCACGGCGAAGCTGTCCATATTGATAAACAGGGCTGGCAAACCTCAAATGCAGTCCTGAAGCAAGGGGTGGCTTGGGTATACTCGTGGGGGAGCTTCTAGACGCAGTGGCAACTGAAGTACAATATTGTTGCTTCCACTGTTTTCTTGCCTTTGCTCTCCGATTTTGAAACCAAACCTGAGATTGAAGAAAGCATATATAAACTACTGCCTTCTTTTGTCATTAAGTTGATAAAACGCTACTAATTGCACCCAGTTTGGTTTGTTGCTTTGTATGCAATGCTGCTCTTGTAAAAGACTTTTGTGAATGAATCTACATTACAGACAACCTTCGTGTTTTTAAGCATTAAAATGACGGAAAACTAGTTGAAGATATCATAAGAAGATAACAAATAGATATTTAGAGGTCATACTTTTTGGAGGATTGCAGTTCAACAAAAAATTTTTCGACTTTATTTTGAAGATACACCAGGTCTAAAATGGCGTTGGTTATAAAACTTATGCGAATTATCCGCTAATGGTATAACATTACTGGCTAATACCTGGACGCGATCATTGGAGACTTTTAATTCCTGTGCAATCCTTTTCCTCATGCTGGCCTCGGGGTAAATCGCCTCCATGAAACATCTCTCGAGGTATTCCAATTGCTCCGCACGGAAGCAGCGTCGAACCTTTCTTCTGTTGACCTGACTTCCTGTTGAGTCTTGCGCCGTTTCTTTTTCTTCTTCAACTTTTTCTAGAACTAAAGCAAATGCCAAGGTTAAAACAGCACAAGGAGTTTGTATGATTAAAAAACATTAGGTTAACTGATGACTGAAGATAGGTCAGTCATGGCAAAACAGGCAACTGCAAAAAAATAATATATGAGCTAAGGCTGAGCAATATTTTTATAATATTCTTGAAACTTGGATGATTCTGAGCTTGAATTTTCTTATAAACAATATTCTTATAAAGGAAGAGGAGTGTATACAAAAGGCAGAATTTTCGTCAAATATTGTAAGCTAGAAAATAAGGGAAATAAATTATAAACTACTTAAGAATATTCCTTCTGGTAAAAATGAATTCGGAAAAAGTCGTGAGCAGCCCATTGAAGAATTTTCAACTCTAAACATTCTGACTCTCTCATGTTACTTTTAAATTATCACACATTTTTCATGAAAAAATTACTTTTGATTTCATTTTTTTCTCAACAAGAATTTAATGACTTATGTTTCAGAAATGGGTATACACATATTTTAGCAGAAAGTATTTTTCCTGATGTTGTTTTTGACATCCTGCACTTTGGTTTTGTTGCTGATAAAGAATGAAATAGAGCACAAACGGATTTCGTATTGACTGAATAAAAGTTCCTGCCATGACTGACCTTCAGCCGGAAAATTCCAGGTTTCGAAAGGAGAAATAAAGCTCTTTTGTAGAAATTTCAACTAAACGATGCCCTCAACATCTTTTTAGGGTTTTTTAAAGACATGAGAGCAAACAAACATAACAAGCATAACATATAGCAAGAGGCTGTAAGAGAATACGGTTTTCCATGAAGCACCTCTACTGAGTTGTTCTTAACAAATCTAGCAGGCAGATGACTGTTGAATAACTCGCAGAAATTTGCTTGTAATCAAGCTTAAAAAGAAACACGCCCTGAGACAACAGGACATGAATTCGTTCACACATAATATTAAGTCTGCTGTTCTTCTGCAAGAATTTTTCACTTCTCTCATTTATTAACATCTAAGATGGTTGTGAATATCAATGTTAACAATGCGCGCAATTTAATTTTTATTATCAACCTCAACAGAAATCGTGATTAATTTATTGCTTTTGCACAATACAGTTGTGCGAAATGCGCACATTTGATCATCTTAAAAAGCTAGTTCTTATGAAGCGAGCTACTAACGCCAGGTGTCAAAACTCATTTAACAATTACATCATAAACTTTCCAAGTCTATTTTATGCGTGAGCCCTTTAGGCTCTACTTCACCTCTTCCTCACATCGAGGCTGCCTGAAACAGCCTCTGGTCACATGATTGAAACCCCTTGACGTCACGAAGAGGCAGCCAGAGCTCACATCAAGTCCGCATTTCGTCAGCTCCTTAAATTTTTGTTTTCTGCCCTAACTTTCGCACCTATTCGACTTCGATAGAAGACTTCTAGCAAATCTCAAAAGCAACTGACTGCAGCAGACATGAAAGCATTAAAATTGATAATAAATGACAGCATGAAATAAAATGCCTCATTGCCTGAAATTTTTTGATAAATATGGGTGGAATTACCTCACTATTTTATTACTCTATAATTCAAACAATCTTTTGATGGTACAAAGAGTTTTCGGTCTATGTTCTGACGTTTTAAACTCTGAAGAGTGTCAGACGAAAAGCTTTAGTTTACTAAATATTTGCTTTTTTCAAAGCCATTTACTTTATTATTTTATTACTTTACTTTAGTATTTTTTCTATTCATCTTGTTTTTATTTTTATCTTCTCTTCATTATTTGCTTGTTTATCTTTATATCAAGAAATCAATAGTCTATGAGATCAAAAACTGCCAATTTTTCAACAATTGTACTTCTTTCGGCAACCAATCAGCCAATCAACCAACCAACTACATTTTGCCAAAAGAGTTTACTACGTTCCTAGCAAAAAATCTTGCAGCTACTTTTATGCTCTTATTGACGCTTTTGTCAAACTCTGGACATGCGCTTTTTTCACTCAATTCGAAGAAGGGTGCCGGTTACTGGCATTCTGACAACAACTATGTTATTTTGGCCGAATAGTTACATAATTGATTTAGCTTTAAAGTTGCACTTATTGCCTCTATATATTGGGGGCAATGTATCACTGTTTTAATTGTGAAGGAAGGACCTTAGCAGAGCCGCATTTTCAAACCTGACAATAGGAGGGAATCGAGTCTTTTTAGACTTATATTGCAAATGAAATTGGCCGTAAAATTTATTTTGCATTTGTTACTACTTGAGAATTGCTTCTTTAAATTGACATCAGAAATGTTTCAAAATAAAGAGCATTGGTTTGCGAATGACAAGTCTGTATCAAACTAAGAAAGTGAAAAATTCCCGTTTGTGAACATTGGGAGGGAGCCAACCTTGACTTAAACTTCCAAAACAGGGGTCCAAAGCTTTTTATCATATTCAACAGGTAGAGGTGGAGTAAAAGAACCCCAGAGGTGGGCGCTTATAATTTGCCTAATAACAAGTATTCTAGTTCAGTTCACCGAAATCAACCCAAGAGCAGCTTTCTGAGAAAGGCTCGCTAATGACGTAACGAAATAAATTCACAGCTGCTGAAGTTCGATGACTGTGCCAACAAAAACGAGATAGGTCGACACATTTAAATTTAACAGATGCAATGTGTACGCTTTGAGACAATTTACTTTACAGGATTTTTGACAGAAAAGCTTCAGTTTGCTTTTTTTCTTGAATTCGTCTAGAAATTGTCACTTTGCCATCCATGTCACATTTTTTTTCCTTAAACGGGGGATGTTCTGTAACTGCGCGACAGAAAATTCGAATATATAATGGCACAGCCACAAATGGCAAGATTTAAAATGTGTAAAAAACTTGTTTGATCTTCTTTATTTTGATAACCCAACTCTTTATATTGATCTTTTTTTCAGTGGCAATCTATCCCTTGTGTTTTCTATTGTATTGTCCCTTGTTATGCACAATCTAACAATTGTCAAAAACGATTTCTACAAACGTTTATTTTAGTTTTCTCTACCCCCGATCATTAATTTTTGGGCTCACACGATTGAGCTAGTGAAATTAAAGCTTGCAAACAACATTCTAGCAGTGCAGAATTTAAAAATGGCTTTGAATCGATAAAACATCAAGCCTCGTGTTTTATACCATGAAGAGTATCAGGCGAAGAGCTTCTCTTTGTTTTAAAATTAAAGTTTATAGAGATCATTCAGTTTGAAGACAACCAATTGTCGTAAAATCAAAATCTGCTTATTCATTCACATTAGAAACATTTGATACTTTGACTAGGGATAATTCACCCTCGATGCATTCAACTTAACATTCCCGACCAAATTTGTTTGAAATTGTTTAGAATCGAATGCCAGAGCTCAGAGGCACAGAGCTCATATTGTTTTTATTCCAGTTCTTATGTAATTCAGAAAGCAACACTTAATATAGTAGCCTTGAAATTAGAACTGCTTTTAGAGAAGCAAGAAAAAACGTTGAGATTCGAATGTTGCATCATAAAATATTGCGGAGAGCAAATGAAGATGAAAAACTGAAAATGAGCAATGTTAATTAAAGCTAGGTCTGATTCTTGTCCACACTGGCAAGAAGATGAAGGTTGAAGGCTAAGGACAAAAGTATATCCCTTTCCTACAGCAAGGGATGTCAAGAAAAGTCGGTTGAGCTCTGTATTTCCAGTAAACTAGTCGAGTTCTAAAATGCTAGATACACGCCTTTAGACATAGAGGAGGTACACATTGGAACAGAAGCATGCACCCTTTCGCAGAGAAATGACCCTGATGAAATCCTGACGAAAAGGATCAGATGTGTCCTAGTTCTGCTTCTTTTATCTAATTAGCTGCGTTCACAAAAAGCTATTCTATACCCAGCAATTGTGCTTGTTGCTAGTCCCAATTGTTTTAATATTCACAAGGACTTCAACAAGCGCTTCAACAAGGGCTCTTTAGTTTCTGATATATCCTTCTTCGAAGATATACATGCATCTGTTCCTTGAAAGACTCTTTGTGATCAGACAATTGGCAAAATCACAAATCTTATCGTCGAAAAAAACATTAATAAAAGCATCTGCCTCTAGCCTGATATTACAAAAGCAAATTTCAGCCGAGATTTCGAATATATTTTGTAGTTATCAGTTTTCAATCAAATTGTACATGATTTTGAAATCACAGTTGCCTGATGATTGCAATAAGCGTGAAACTCGGAGTGGCAACTTAGAAACGTCCTGTTCTATACACCAAGCGTAATTTCCAAATCATATTATGCTATGAAATTTTTCAAACAATTCGATTTTAAAAGCTGTTTTTCAACTGAATAGCAATACAGCATATTTAAACAAAACATTGAAGTTGCATGTAACGAGATGTTTTATAATCGAAGATTTTTAGCATAGGTAATGTCTTGATTAACTTGCCAGTCAAAAAACTTTGTTATTAATATATCGATTTTCATTCATGTTATCGATTTTATGCAGAATAAATATACTTGGCAATTCATTGTTATAGAAGATAATCTTTTGATGATGCTAATTGTATTCAGTTCTTTTAAGTCTGCTTTTAGCAACATTTAACACTGTTGATCATTGCATGATTTTGGTTCGTGGCAAGACAGAAAATGTCGAGAAAAAATCGCACTCTGAAGGAGAAAAAAGAAGAAAAGAGCACCAATTACCATTTTAATACATCAGATTTGAAGCTGTCTTTCTTATTTTCTTTGATATGTTCGGAATACCTTACAAATATTCGGTCTCAATGCTTTCACTTCTATGAAATGTTGATAACAACAAACAGCCGATATTATCCACAATACTATCTGCAACCCTTGCTTTTTAGAATGTTAGTAAACTTTGCTACTTGATAGCCCATTAACAACCATCAACTGTCCTGCATTTTATTCTAAAGGGAGAAATTTGCTAACCGATAGTTTGATAAAACCGACTACATGAGTGCCTATCTCTGTTCCAAGACATCGTAGTTTTGATAATCTTGCCTAGATTTGTATACCTTACAGTAATTGAAGACCTTTTTGACTTAATGCTTGGACATTACGTAGTTTGACTAGTAAGGGGGAAGAGACATTGGTAGACTTAGCAAATATTTCTTATAGGCTTTCTTCTTTTACTTTCGTCGATTGCCGCAAAAGTAACTAATTGTATTTGCATCATTTGATTAAAATATTATACGACCTTCAACCGACCATACTCACACTGCCACCATTTTTCCACAGAAAGAAGGAAACCCGATTTCTGAAACAAATTGAGCTAGCAAACCACTTTCATTGCTATAGCGAAGCATGTTTTTCACATTATGCACAGATAGCATAAGATATGTAAGAACAGACTCACAGGACAACCCTTCGGCTCTACCGATCCCCTGCTTATGTCCATAAAGGGTAAGCAACTTCACCGTGCATTGAAAACAAAAGTGGTTCTATTAAACTGGCCGTGGCAAAAATAATAGCTGGCAATGCGCAGCTTATCAGATCAAAAGTTCTTTCTCGCAATTACCTTAAAAGCACAAAGTTATTGTAATTATAGGGTAACTTTTCAGCATAGAAAGCATTATTTTCAACGACGAGATCTGTTGTTAAGCTGGCTGAAAAAATCTGCTTAATAGCTGTCCTAGAAAAAAAACATCCTTAGCATTGACTATATAAACATTTTAGTTCAATGGCGAAATATACATAAATCTAACTTTGAAGTCTTGATCTTTGAAATCTTGAAAGCACAGGCTTTACTGCCAATCAGCTACTGCGACAAAAATTGTATATTTTGTTCATTCATGTTAAGAATCTTGTAATTTAATAGATTTAATACCTTCTTGGTCCGTCTCAGTGTCTTCTGTTTCACTTTTAATGTCATTTTGCTCTACATCAGGCGTTTCATCATGAATCTCCAGGATGTTTTTAACCAGAAATGGCTTAGACGATTCCATGACTTTGCAATTCTAGAGCTGATTGAAAGTGGTGTGGCCAGGTGAATGTCGAGATGCAATTGGCGTAGGTCATATGCTGGCCGCTACTTCACGCGGGAGTGGGAACAAATTCAAATGTCTTGTTACTATAGCGAGCAAGCATGAATAAATTGATGACTGACCGAGCTCGAGGCTAACATTAACGTACGCCTATCTTCATGTATAAGCTTTATTTAAGAATAAGAATTCAGAGATGTGCTACTGAGATGTTCTCTTAGAATGCTCGATTCGTTTGCATATATAGTAATACTGACACAAAGAATCAGCGAACAAATGTATGGTCACGAATCACAATCGCATGAAGGCAATGCTCACATTAAGGGGTGTGGGAAGACGCTAAAATCCGAGCTGTTCTTTCTGAATCTTATCGTAAACTTGATCAAATAGAGCACGCTTGATTTTTTAATGGCTTTAATAGTTTGCAGTCAGGTTTAATTATTTGATATGCTTAGGCAATTTACATAATTAGCACTTGCTAAATAATTGATTGAAAAGATATAATCTCAGCAAAATCAAAATAACTTCAAAGTGACATATTCCCTTCCTTAACTCGTATTCGCCCGCTAATCAAACTACCCTTGCTACGCTACTCGACATAATCAACATAAAACAGACAACAAACACACTTTGACCTATCAGTTCTTGTTATCATCATTTGTCAGAAAAATCTGAAAGCTTTTATGCTGAAGAAAGAAGGTAATTAAGGTTCGAAATGTCAAGAAAAATTAATAATCAGATTATGTTACGGTGCACGTTTTTCAGAAACGTCAACAGCAAAAAACACTGAGGCAGAAATTTGATTTGTTGACCATATTATTTTCCTGTACAAAGATTTTGCTGTTTGTTTTTAAAACAACATAAAAGAGGATACTATTTTGAAGGATTTTTTACTTTCTCCAGTTTACTCATATTTATGATGATGACTTCTCGGAAGTTTTTTCAGGTTCTTGGTTTTCACACAATGGTTAACACTGAGATGTTTCTCAGCTGCTGCTGCGATATCTGTGAATTTGCAAAGTCATCGTTGATAACGTAACAGTCAATCAGCAAATTCATTGCAATGATTTTTTCTTACTTCTTCTTTTTTACTTGATTTCTGGTGTTTTCCAACTCTCATTACAACAGGATTTTTTCAATTGGCATGCATGCGCTGGAGCAAAGAGCCAAAAGGGTGTTATCCTGTCCTGGAGTCTCAAGCCGGAAATGACACCCTGTTGGCAGGCGCATTCCCGGGTAACCAGGGTATTAAGTGTCCCCCTCCCCAGAGGGTGGGGAGCAAAGTCTATGGTCTGTATTTGCATGATAAATCACGAGTTTTGGTGTTCTTCAAGGATCTTTTCCTACAGCACTGCTGCTCTTCACTGACATTTCAAGTAACACTTCATTCTACCTCTTAAATGAAATATATCAATGATAAGCAAAACAAACAAAGGCAAATACAAAGAGAATCCATCTGGACGATCACTTTGAAAAGCAGAAAGAATGATCTTTGATCCCATGTAAACATGGAAGTAAATAATTTTCATATAGCTCCGTGAAAGAATTGGAAAAGCTGAAGCGGAATAGGATTGGATTTATTTTCAATCTGGTATGGCTTCAAATGTTTAATTCACCTTGAAATTAGTCTCTTGCCATTCATGCATGCTAAAAGTGGAATTGTGCAGAAAAAGTGAAGGCTCCGATAAATAATCAATCTAAGTTTCTGAGTTTTTATTTACTATAATTTTGGCAACACATTCAAGAAGAAATGCTTTTGCTTGGGATGCTACTGAAAACCTTGGAGGCTATGGGTTTACAGACAAACACTGCCCCCCACCCCGAAAAATGACTATAAAAGTTCACCCCTGCAATCAAATATTATGAATATCAAACAGAAGAGAAAGCGCCAACCACAAAGTTTAATTTGCATGGACGTTTTACTTATGCTTTCGTAATGCGAGCCATTCAATAATTTTTCTAAAGTCTCCGATGAGTTTGATAGCAATTGATAAGCAAGGGAAATATAATGTGTTCAGTTCAGTGTCAGTTCAGTAAGAAAGATCTGAATGAGAATAATGTGAGAATGTGATGAAAGATCTGAATGAGATCGGGTTGAGTAGTAATTTTGAGGATAAAGATGGAAGAATATAAAGCAATTACCATTCCCAGGTTGCAAAGTTTTTTTTGTTTCTCTACAAGACTAACTTCGATCTAAGTATTCATATATTCATGCAAGAATTGAAATTATTTACACGTTTACACTGTGGGTAGAAAACTAGAGGGTTGACCCCCCTTTTTTAATGCCGGAAAATACCCCTCTTCCTCTTTTGCTATTGGTTCTAAGAAATGTACAGGCGAAGGGCCTCTTGTAATTTTTCATTGCTTTCCGTAAAACATTATAAGATTAAGACCATCTGTTGCTATCACGGAAATTATGTTCGGGGGCAGGAATTTGCAGAGAGAACCTCTGGCTGGAAACACGTTTTGCCCACGTCAGTGTGATGCTTACGATGCAATTTTGTACAATCTATTTTTAGCTTTAAAAGTTGACATCATCAGGGATTCAGAATCGAGGCTGGGACAATATGCAGAAAAAAAGGCGAAGTCGACGACGCGGAGGAAGAAGCACAGGAAAGGCCTCGCCAGTAAACTGAAAGCAATAGCCCTATCAAGATGTCTTCATTGCTACAAATACCGCTTAAGAAATCTCAAAATGTAGAACTGATCAAACCATTTTCAAATTACATTAAAAACACATTTTCAGAAGAGAAATTGAGGGACACAAAGGATGCCCTAGCCGAACTTAGTCAACTAAGGGCGAACGCAGTTGTAAAATCACTGGATAAGCACGAAACATCATTGGAAGTATTACAAAGGTCATTTTGCCTTTTAAATTCTTTAATGTTCTTGTTGCTATGATGATGCTAACCAACCTTTAGCGTTGGTTGAAGAGTCAACTTATATCAAATTCCCACATTGTGCAAGTCCAGTTCTGTTTCTACCTGGAAGTTAGTGATAGTAAAAGATAGATATATAGTAAAAATAAATCCAAATATAAAGTTTATGTTGCCCAAATTTTGTGTAGACAATCTGAAAATCCTATGATGCATTGTAATGTTATTCATGATCTTTTCAAAATCTGATGCTTATAATGATAATGATAATACCCTTTTTATGTTGATTTAATTCCACAATATTGTGAGCACTACCCTATGCAAACATTAACAAAATTTTAGAGATTGCATAATGGGTTCTGTAATGACGTAAAAATCTGAAATGCCTGCCTAATTGACCAAGCCTTTACAATCATAAACAAAGTTTACAAATTCATACCACCTTTTTGGTAATATGTATTTTTTAGTTTTTAACCAAAAACCAACGCTAGCATATCATTAAGTACAAAGATGAAATGATTTTATGCATAAGAAATACATGTATTTATTATGTATTTCATGGTGACCACAGATGATCATGATAGCATGAAGGAACATGCTTTTTCATAAATCCACAAGCATTAATTTGGTATGCAACATCATATTGCCACGTGCAACAACAATCTTGTTTGTTCAATTGCCATATTCTGCAGTGTGCCGGAAAACAATATGAATTACTTGTTTTCTGTAAAATTAAGCTATTGCTCATTGAAAAAAGGTAGTTTGGTAATATCAATCATGTATTTTTGACTTATGTGATGTTTATATAGCAAACATGTTAAGGAAATAATCTGGACAAGAAAAGTGAATAAAACCATGCTGTGAAACAATGTGCTTATGAACTGATGAGAAGCAAAAGACCTAAAGGATGAAACAATTTTTTAGATTTGATTTTCTTAACTACCTCAAAAATATTAGGCTTTTAGAAAAGTAGTGTTGTTTGAATAGGACATAGAAATGTTAACTGTTTAACATTTGTTTTTGCTATTCTGTTTTGCAGATACTATGACCAACTCTGCTCAATGGAGGCTAAGCTTCCTATTACAGAGGACCAAGTATGCATTTTTCCCTGATTACTACTTTCATTATAATTGAATTTGTAACCCTAAGACAAACAACCAGGAAATACAGAAATCCCTCTTTTGCTAGTTATAGTAATGTTCAATTATGCCAAGAAAGATCTATGATCAAATTGCTTTGATAAAGTACCATATTTTTATATTTTTTAAATAGATAAGGATAAGTTTTACATGGCAAGATGCATTTGACAAAGGTGGAATCTTTGGTGCAACCAAAGCATGTAAGGAATTTATCATTTCTTTTGGATTGTTTGATTTTCTTTCTATCATTTTATGTTAAGAGGGTTAATGGAAAATTAGAGACAATATATGCCACATGGATTGTAAGTATTGTAGCTCCCGTTTCCATTACTTTGCTTCTGTATGTTGCAGGCTTTGTTCATTTCGTTTCCTCTTGAGCCCTTCCCATTGCTTTAGCCTAAACTGTTTTTAAAAGTCATTAAAAACAAAGGTGTTCCCATCATTTTGTTTTTTTCCATTTTCATATCCCTTTTTGAGCTCTCTTTGAAACTGAAGATGGATGAACTCGTTTTTAAATGGCGCTGTTTTTCCATTTCTTGTTAAAACAATTTGTTTTACAATGATTTTGTTCTTGAATGACTTTGTTTTCAATGGCTTTTGAAAATGGATGGTTTTTCAAATAGAGTCATTCCATGCCAATTCAACAAGCCATGACACCCATCATCTCAGAATTGCTTCAAATTTTTATAGTGTTTTGATGTACTAAATTTATGAAGAAATCCAAAAGTTCAGCTCAAAATTCCAATTGGTTGCTGAGATATTCAAATTTAAAATTCATCAATTTTTCTGCCAAATTTGCCATGGCGGCCATTTTGAATTTATTGTCTGCCGAACACTTAGAATTAATTTCTTTATGGATAATTCATTGATTTATCAATCCAAATACAACTTTGCACATACATTAAAGGGTAATTGGTTATCTCAGAAATATCAATGCTATTCTCTAAAATAATTCCCTTATGCCCCTTGAGGGCCGTAAAGTTTTGCCCCCTAAAATCAGGATTTGCTGACTCAGCATAACGGCTCTTATTTTGATTCAATATATTTTTGAAGTTTGAAAAGTTTTATGCACTCAAATTTTTGCAGGCATATTTGCCATTATTTGAATTTTATCATATTAAAAAACTGGGATGGTACTCTGCTCTGTTTTCCATTTATTCATCACCAACTTTTGTAAAAAATCTGTTCATAATCGAGGCAATTATGACTTTGAATCGTGTAGTAAGATGTTTGATGTTTTCTATTGTGACATTAAAATAGGTTCAGAAAATTTATTCAGTGAACTTGTTTCACAATCTTACCACAAATGAGTTGTCAAGATTGTCAAGCTTTGCAAACAGAGAGCTGCAAGTACAGGTGTTAATAAGCTCATATATGAATCAAAATTATTTGTCAACCAGAATTACTAAATTTTAGCTCAAGATATTAGTTAAAATAATATATTACAATGCTACAAATGTTTTAATGTTTCATATTTATTTATTTCTGCTTGGATCAAAAGATGCTCATTATCTGTAAAATAGTATTGGCGTCCAGATGAAGTTGTAGGGGCCTTAATAACACATACAATGTGTGTTACTGGTACAAAGCATTTATCTTCTCGTCTAGGCCAATGAAATGATTTTGATGGAAAGGCTGGGTGCATAAACTTTACTTCAATATCACCATTTTCTTCATCAATGTAGCATGCTATACCAATCCACACATGATCATCGTAGTAACTGACGAGAAAGTCAGAAGCTTTAACATTTTCTTTTCCTTTGTGCTTTGATACTGTAGCTCCTAAAATCAAGTCATACTTTATTTCATACTCGTGATCACTGGAAACTCGTTTTGCTGCAATTACACTCTTTGACAGTGGCTCGTAGTAATGGTAAATACGTGTTCCAGGAAGGCTTCCAGCTACCTGCTCATATCTTCTCTCTAAAGAAATACGTTTCAAATCTGTTGGGTCTTTTTCAAGAAAGAAGACCTTGATCCCACTTATTTTTTCTTGACAGAAATAAAAAACATCCTTTGCTGTCAAAATTTGTTGATTGACTGGTCTTTGTAGACTTGCATTAGTCACCAAGCGCTTAATTGTCCCTCCTACACCATCACAGGGTGATTTGCCATGGCTAGTGGCAAAAAAGTTCCAAGAACATTTCACACCAAAATCTTTCTCGTGCAGGCAAATATTAAAAAAATTCTTGAAGTTTTTGTATTGTCCAGCACAACCATCACTGAAATACTGTACATTGTTTATAGAACCATTTATGTTCATCTTTATGAAATTAATAATAACATCCATTACTTCATGAACAAAACTTGTGTCATGTTTCAAGTCATCAGATATTATGCAAAGGCATTCTTCAACAAGCTTTCCTTGTGTTCTGTGATAAAGAACAGCTGGATGAAGGGTGCAAGATTCCTGAGTCCAATGATAGCTTTGTACCTCATCTTGAATCACAAACTTAAAGTTTTCAGCAAAGTCAAGTAAAATTATGCATTCATTGTCCTTGAGATTTTCTTTGCAGTCTTTCAGATGCCGTGCCTGTTCCTTTGAAATGAAAGAATGGGCTGTCAGGGTGCTCAACTTCCCTTCAAGCGTTTGTATGAACTCCTTTTGACTCAGAGTCTGAGTGATAAGCTCTGACCTGTCTGTCGAAACCCACTGTTGAAAGCTTATTTGCTCACTGTTATCATCAATAATGTCACCCTCAGCATCATCTTCTTCATCATATCCAATGATTTGCTCAGTTAGATATTCAACCAGTTTTGATGGATCTGGACAGTCAGGACATCTGTGTATCATGCATTCCTTGCTGTTCCTATCACAAACAAGCATATCCAGTAGTTCATGATACGACTTATCCAGGTCAACCGCATTCAGCATTAGATTGACATTCTGGTGTATAGTACACACACAAACAGAATGCGTACCTGGAGACCCCACTAGAATACACCATTTTGGGCGGAGTGAGCAAAACTTTGAAAAACCAATTTTGCAGCAGTCGTGACTTTTCTTAAAAGCTGCATAAAGTTCTTTGAGGTCACACAACAGCAGTCTCTTCTGAGCATGAACATTTCTGCTAATGCTGACACAATCCTTTCTCCCTGGCATCATGCGGCTGTATTGGTCATCACAGTAGAAACTTTTCACCAGCTCCTCTGTTTCTTTAGGTAGCTTCCTTCCTCTTTTCCCTTCAGGTAACTCAAACAACCCCTTTTCTTTTCGAAGCTTTCTTGCTGATCTCACCATGTAATTGCTGACATTAAAGAATTCTTGAGTCTTAACAACTGACCAAGAGGATGGTACCATTGTCAAAATTTGAATTTTTTTTTTCCTGTTACAGGCTTGTAATTTTTCTTTCATAAGAAACATGAGTTCATCTAAATCTCTTTCCTTTTGCAAAAGTTCAGGCAAATTGTTGTGTGCTTGTTCTTCTACAATCAGAGACTCTCTTGGAACACTGATTACACTTGCCACTGTTTCTTGGAGGCTTGCTTCTTTCTCTTTGAGTTTTTCCTTTATTTGTTGGAATTTTCTCTTTCCGTAAGACTCCCTTGAATGAGATGCGACTGCATGTAATTTTACAGGACTAACATCCATTTCCTCCAGTGATGTGCTGAGATACTCTTTTTGGAATGAATCATCATTATCATGAATTTCATCACTGCTAGTGTCATCGTGTACTTCTCCACTTAAATCATTGTCATGAAGGTCACTAAATTTAATACGGCATTTCGGACAAAGCTTTTGTCCAGGTACCACGGGAATATGGTTGTCTTGAAATACTTTGGCCATTTGAAAAGTGATTTCCCGCAAAGAGCTTTTACTTCCTTTTTTCCCATGAACTTTGAATGGATCACAGCATTTCTTTTGAAGAAATGAGTATCTCAGAAGAAAAACCTGTTCATGGTGTAGGCACACTGTTTCAATTAGAGTTATATCAATTTCAGTCCTCCATGCCAGTATTTCTCTTTCTTGAAGATCAAATAAGCTTATGTCCTTCAATCCAACTTTTTTGCTATATGTAAGCAAATTGCAATCACTGAAACTTATTTTCCCTATTGAACAATTTTCAGTCATCTTTCACATTTGAGAAGCTGTTCTAATGCTGACCATTTAGGATTTTAAAGATTCAAATACCAGTAAGTTCAATTTATAGCTCCAAATGAATGGGATATCCTTCACAATAGAAATTGTATTTCCTGCTTATGACACTAAGTTTATAGGAAACTGATGTTGGCTATTGAATCTCAATGAAATCAATCATAACATCTAAGCCATACAGTATTGCAACCAAATCACATTGCCTCCAATGATTTCCTGTGACATCATCTTAAAGAAATCTATTATGACTATGAAGATGTGTTATTGATTGCCTATATAATAAACTTCACACTTCATGCTTAATGTGAAATTCTAAACAAAGGTGCTTTTGTTCCCTGGTGTGTTATTCATTATTGGATTGTGAAGTGTGAAGTAAGATTGTGAAACAGGTTCACTGAATAAATTTTCTGAACCTATTTTAATGTCACAATAGAAAACATCAAACATCTTACTACACGATTCAAAGTCATAATTGCCTCGATTATGAACAGATTTTTTACAAAAGTTGGTGATGAATAAATGGAAAACAGAGCAGAGTACCATCCCAGTTTTTTAATATGTTAAAATTCAAATAATGGCAAATATGCCTGCAAAAAATTGAGTGCATAAAACTTTTCAAACTTCAAAAATATATTGAATCAAAATAAGAGCCGTTATGCTGAGTCAGCAAATCCTGATTTTAGGGGGCAAAACTTTACAGCCCTCAAGGGGCATAAGGGAATTATTTTAGAGAATAGCATTGATATTTCTGAGATAACCAATTACCCTTTAATGTATGTGCAAAGTTGTATTTGGATTGATAAATCAATGAATTATCCATAAAGAAATTAATTCTAAGTGTTCGGCAGACAATAAATTCAAAATGGCCGCCATGGCAAATTTGGCAGAAAAATTGATGAATTTTAAATTTGAATATCTCAGCAACCAATTGGAATTTTGAGCTGAACTTTTGGATTTCTTCATAAATTTAGTACATCAAAACACTATAAAAATTTGAAGCAATTCTGAGATGATGGGTGTCAAAAGTCACTTTTGCTTGTTGATTTGGCATGGAATGACTCAATACCTCTGTTTTGATTGAAAAATTTGATTCAGAATTGTTATCAAATGACTCTGTTTTTGTGCGATGAAATGATCATTTGTGGAAATTGATCTCTTTGGAATAAAGATGAATAGGAAAATATCATCGAGAGAGCTAGGAAAACTTCAAATTAAAAAGGAAAATGAAAGAAATTTAAAATAGCATCTAAACTTCAAATAGAATCGAATTTCAAACTACAGCTGATTTGACAGAGTCAGGTGGTGATGATAGAATCTAGAAACTTGGCCTCGTTCAGTGGAACATGAACATAACTATGCGATGTAGCATTTAGTTCATTTGAAAATTTCATTAATTGTAGAACAAACTTTATTGTTTTGTGTATTTCTACATCCTAATAAAAAAGAGTTCATGTATACATATTCGTCCTTGCTATATTTACCATTCCTGTTTATTTTTCTAGTTTGCACTTTCCTTTTGAAAGGAATTTCACTTCACTCCAGTCCTTAACAAAAGAATTTCTGATTCAAGTTTAAAAATATTACTTTTTATTATTGTGCATTGTTCTCCCAAAAACATTTTTAACATGCTATTATGAGGACACTACGCTGCCATGTATTGTAGTTTCATAAGCAGTAAAATAAACATATAGATTTTCCTATTTCTTCCTCCTTCTTTGCAATAACATCTTTTTAGTATCTAGCAAAAAAAGGGTGAAATTGAAAAATCACTCATTAACTTCTCCTCAATCTGTCAGTTACCAGTTACCTTTTGTAATTATATTCTGTTTAAAATTTCAGCATTGATAAATGGAGCATATGAAAAATGCTGTGTTCTTTTCAACATTGGCTCGTTGTTTAGCCAGATTGCATGTTCCCAGAACCTTGGGACAGATGATGGCATGAAAACGGCTGCAAAGTATTTTCAACAAGCGTCAGGGATTTTCAGTCACCTAAAAGAAGTAGCGTATCCACAGCTGAATACGTTACCTACACCTGATTTTGCTGTTGACTGCCTTGCTACCCTCAGTGCTATCATGCTAGCACAAGCTCAGGATTGTTATTACCAAAAAGCATCAGAAGGTGAGGCTGTTGTTTTGTGCAGGACATCAGAACCGAGGATGCGCCAGTGGCAGATGCCTCCCAACTTTCCCAAATATGCTCCCTTTCCAAAAATTATTCTCTTTATGACTTTTTGGAAAAGTACCCCTTTTTGTGAGACATAGTGCCTTCTCCTACCTTTTCCCTTCCAACTTTCAAATGCATCTGATGTGTCAAAGCTTAACAAAGAGATAACTTGATATTTTCATTGTATAAGAAGTAAGAGTTTCCTTTTTTAGAGAAAATTATCCAAAATTAAACTAGAATGGTATTTTTTCCTTTGGACTAATGGACAAAAGAATGACCTTGTGGCATCAGCTCTTGGACTTAGTCAATTATTATTGCAGCTCTATTTTAGTAGGTTGTATTTGATTGCTTTAAGTTTTCCTGTTTCTGAAACCTTACCTGCCAAAATGCTAAGCTGTGAAAAAAAAATTGAAGCTGTGCAAAAATCCTATCATTTAATTTTCATCCATTAATTTTTGTATACATAATATGTATAAATATTAGTAGATATATTTTTGTTATTATATAAATCATTATATTGTAGATATTGTCCTGATTTATTTCAGCAGTGTTGATGTTTAAAAATTTGTTTTGATAGGGAAAATGAAAGTGGCAAATTTAGCAAAAATTGCTGCACAGACAGCAGACTTTTATCAAGATGCTAATCGGTTGGCCACTTCACCTATGGTTAAATCTATGTGGGAAAAGGTAAATTTGTCTTTGTGCTTAAATTTTACCAAATTTTTTGTTAAAGTTGTTTTTTGTTGTTGTTGTTGCTATTGTGGTTGCTGTTGTTGTTGCTATTGTTGTTGTTGTTGTTGCTGTTTTGTTATTGTTGTTGTTATTCGAATTCCCTTTGGCCGTTATGAAGAACTTCAGTGAGTTTTTACCCAGTTCCATAGCTGATGTCAATGAAAAAGTTAATCTTCAGCAAAATGCTCTCAGCAGGAGAAGGAAAGGAAAGATTCTGTGTTCTTTACCTTTCCTGTTTTAGCTTTAACTTGTATTTTAGGAGTGGATTCCTATTCTGTCCGGAAAGCAAGCCTATTTCACTGCAGTTGCAGAATATCACCAAGCCAGCGTTTGTGAAGAGCAGAAAAAATTTGGTGAAGCAGTTGCCAGACTACAGGTTTGTGTCTGAGAAACTGTCACTTTAAAGCTTCCAGTTTATACAAAGAGTTTAAAGCTTTTTTTGTTATATTTAGATAAAGATATCAACAATGCCAACAACTTCAAATTAACTGTAATATTACATATTAAACACTGTCCAAACGTTTTCAAACTTGCAGAAAGCGGAAAAGTACATACTCGATGGCATCCGGAATGGAGACAAATACTATGACTGTAGAGTAAGTTGACCAAAGTTTAACCTCAGAGTATCAACCTTTTACCTTTGAAATGGTTGTGCTAGTATTTTACTACTTTTTAAAATGTCTGTCGTTGTTGGTGAGGAGCTCTTCAATATACTGATTTTATTTATAAAATTTGCAAGGCCTCATTCAGATATGATGAAAGTTCGGCAATTGCGGATTGCGTTTGAGTGATTTCTAAAACGAATGTTATATAAAACTTTTAGCTTGATCGTTATATTAAACGATAGCCGGGAGGAAGTTACAACGAGGTCATGTAAAGAAGCGCTGAAAAATCGTTAGAAGGTATCCTAGCTGGGGCTGTTCAAAAGGGTGAATGAATCGTCCAACCTAGAATAAAAGGCTTCCGAGTGAAGTGAAGGCTAAGGACTTTGCTCTGTGCTTCTCTACTTGATATAGGGAAAGATGGTTTTGCTTTAGAATTTGTTTATTGAAGTAAATTGCAAGTGTTCTTTTTTCAAATTTCCAAGCTTGTGCCATAGAAAGATTAAACACTTGATTTATTCCATTTTTCTGTTGCTTTACATTTTTCTTTAAAATGTTGCTGTACATTGTGTAAATGTTGTTTTATAGGAAATGGCAGACAGCATCAAGAAAAAGCATGCAGGCGCAAAGAAAGACAACGATATCATATATCTGGATAAAATTCCACGACATGATTCTTTGGACTCTATCGGAAAAGCGGCGCTGGCTAAAGCTACCAGTGTCCAGTCCCCCTTGTCTAGCTCATTCACAGACCTCTTCCCTTCACTGGTGCCTGTTGCTGTAAACCAAGCAGTAGCCACATTTGAAAGTAAAAAAGCAGACTTAGTAAACAAAGAGATCGGTCGATTAAGAGAGTCTACACAAGTTCTCAACGGGTACGCGCAGCAGAAACATTTCATTTGTTATTTAGAGCCATGGCCTCTGTTACCGCCCTGTGCATCCAAGCTTTTCTCTATGTTCTTTCACGAATCAATCTATGCCAAATCCTCTCCAGTTTTTCCTGCTCATCCTGTTACTAACCTGATTCGTGTTACTAGCGTATTGATGTCGTCAAGTATCCATTTTTTTAAAAGGGATCTAGAAATGGTGTGGGTGGACTGTCACTTAAGCCCTTTCAAAAGAAATTTCTCATTCAAATCTTAAAGGACTGCCTTTTTCTCGATTGTCCATCCGTTCAACCTGCTACCCTTCTGTTTTGCTATAATCCCTCCCCTTGCTTTCTTCTATCTTCGTTTGTATTTTCAAGGATATTGGCATCGTTAAATCTGCCTGCAGCCATCGAAGATTTATCAGGCGCCAAGGTTCCTCAGTCGGTCCTAGACAAATCTACCGCGGTGAAGCAGAAAGGAGGCCTTAACAAAATTGATCAAATGATGCAGGACCTACCAGATCTGCTGAACAGAAATAAAGAAATAATCGACGAGGTTAGGTGATTAAAGTTTAAATGTTGAGCTGACAACATCTTGAGTTTACAGCGACAAAACCAAGTCACCAAAGCTTCAAGCCTGCAAGATAATTTGTTAATGTTTTCAACTTTTTCAGTTTTATAAGAGAAATAGAATAAGAAACAAGCAAAGATTCCTGTACCAATCCGTGTTCTTAATCATTGCCCTGTTTTCGAAAATATCAAATCTTGTTCATGTTGCTTGTAAGTATGGAAGCATAAATTCGTGAACAACTATTTTCAGTATTTCGGAAAGAAGGACATAATTCTCTTTGGTCAACAAGAGATTAAATTGCAATTAAGTCTGATAGTTTTATGTGTAATTAAAAAAACCCCGTTAAAATTTCTATGTTTGATATTGTAAGTATATGATTAGTAACTTATTAATTCTACAGACAATTCGAATGATGGATGAAGAAGAACAAGAAGATACTCAGATGAAAGATCGGTTCCAAAGCAGATGGAACCGGACTCCTTCGAAGCTACTAACCGAACAACTTCGAGCTGAAGGTGCTAAGTATATGTCTATTTTGAACAATGCGACGAAAGCCGACGCGATCGTCAAGACGAAGTACAACGAGAATAGACGAGCCATGGATATCCTGTGTAAATCAGCGGTAACTACTTGTCCTATTTCTTTACATTTATTTGCTGTTGCTAATATCGAAGGGGAATTTTTCGGAACTGAGAACACTCTAGAAGGAGACAAAAGGTCTAGGATTCTTTGTTTTCGATGACAGAAATCCCAACACGCTGCTGTGTAAAGACCGATTTCCGCTAAAGTCATGTGACCCCGGCAAAAGGGAATGAACGAATCAGCGAATCGGCGAATGCCACCAGTCGCTTAGTGCGCATACGATGCGAAAAAAAGAAAGTAAAGCGCATGCTCAAAAATGCATTCGGTCGATTTTGCGGCCAATGAATCAATTTGAAATCACGCCTAAGTAATCCTAGAATAATCCTGCCACGCGATCCTACAATGGCCTTCCCTGCTTGATGTGCTGTGACTTCATTATTTCATACACAATATACAATCTGTTCTGCTTTGCAGCATTTTTTGACCCCTTTGACATTATTTTGCCAGATGAAAGTCGTCAGCAATAAATATTTCCTTTGCCTTCGCACTTTGCCGAACATATTTCGAGTGTATTTTTCGATGAAAGGTCAAACGAAGTTTATTACACAAGAGAAAATTTCCTGCTCATGTGATAGCTTCCTCTTTCTGACTATTTTCCTGGCACATCATCCTGTCTTTCCCTGTCTTGCCAAGAAATATACTGCAACTCTCCTTTTCTTGGACAATTTAACGACTTGGTGCATTCTTGGGGATTTACTATGCTGCGGTAAATCTGTGTAGCTACCAAGAACGTCTTCTTCTTCTTCAGTACAAATATACCACAAGTATGTCCAGAAAGCAATAATCAAAGTGCTGTTTTTTTCACTTTGTTCTTAAATTCTCTGGCATATTTGGAACAACTATCAGCAGATTGGTAGGATGGTCCTTCCTGACGAGGTTGAATGAAATAGCGCTATGTTATGGCCCCTTTTCAAAGACCCCCCCCCCCCTGTGATATTTAACCTAGTAGTGAATATTGATAAAATATATGCAGATAAAAACGTTTCCACATTACCAGTTAGTTATCTGAACTTATTTAATCCATTTTCCTAATTTTTTGAAAACATTATTTTTCTGTGTTTAAAAGAAAATTTAGCACTAAAAATCTTAACTTTTACGCCTTTTTATGTGCGGACAGTTTTACTGAACACACTTAGCTGGGTAGCCTTGTCTTATCAACAATGCATGTTTTTTTATTTCTTTACTTAAAGCTGGTACAATTTCTAGCTATGCATACTCAAGCTAATTAAAACCAACTAATTTAAATTATCAACGCTAAATATAATATAAATCAAATATAACCGATTGTGCTAATGTATTCCTTGCAAAGATTACAAATACAATTGAATGATGTAAATTCTGAAATTTTTTTCTTGAATATTTGTAAAGTAGGGGAGTCCTTTATCTCGTTTGGAACTGAGTTCCAAATTTGGCTACATCTGTATGATGCGGTATTAAATCCATATATTTTTCAATGTGGCTCCGCTGTTTTGAGTTTCTTAAGTAATATGGGCATTCATTGACGGAAAATATTTCATCCATAAAAGTGGATTCAAACCGTGTAATGTTTTGTAAATTTCTATCGCAAGATATTGTAAATTTTTCTTATGAGAAGTTATTGTTTTATTCTTCATTAAAAGTTGTTCAAAAGTTGATTCATAATCATCATGGGCTTTTCTCATTGCTCTTTCATGAATCTGGTTTATCCGGCAATTACATTTCCTACTGCAAAACATCCAAATAAAAGGACAATAGTTAAACTATGATAATATGGACGTTTTCATTAAAAGAATTCGCTTAGATTTGTTCATATACGAAGCAATCCTGGCTAGAGCGTTTACCTTTTTCCCAGCTTCTTTACAAAAAACTTTAATATGTTCTTCTAATCTAAGTTGATGGTCTAGTGTTACTCCCAAAAGTTTAACATTCTTACTTTCTATTATAGTAGAACCATTTATTTGAATTTTAGATTCCTCTAAATTGGATCGATTGGCTTTAAATGTTATAAGCTTGCTTTTATCGCCTTCAAGCACCAACAAATTTTCATAAAACCATTTATTGAGAATAGCGGCTTCCAATTCTAAGTCGTCAGTTAGTTCATTCGTATCAGTACTTGACAGCCAAATTGTATTATCATCTGCATAGTTGCATAAGTTGCTTTTGTTCAAATGCAGAAAAATATCGTTTATGTAACTATTCAAAAGCAAAGGGCCTAAGATTGATCCTTGAGGAACTCCTTGCTTTGTTTCCATCCAATCACTAAAATCTGAGTCTATTTTTACTCGTTGTACTTATTTATCTAGATAACTATACATGAATTTCATTGATTTGCGTTGCGTTGTCGCTGAAGCCATAAGATTCCAATTTGGCTGGTAAACAATCAAATGCTTTTGATGAATTCATAAGTACTGCACAAGCCACATCTTTTTTATCCAGGCACTTTTTCAAGCCTTCAATAAGTCGTAATTAAGCGTGTTGTGTGCTATAACCTTTTCGAAATCCACAAATAAAAGGGAACAGTTTAACACCGATGTAATTGTAGATTTGATTAAATATTATTCTCTCAAATATTTTTGAAGCTGAGGGGAGCACACTTATTGGTCTATAATTCTCTTTACTAGTTGAATCTCCTTTTTTAAAAATAGGGCACACATTAGCCATTTTCATAAGAAAGGGAAATGTTTTATCAGAAATAGATCGATTGAATATTTCAGCTAGTGGTTCAGAGACAACGTCTATTGCCATTTTAAGAACTTTCGGGGGGATGTTATCGGCTCCTGTTGATTTGTCTTCCTCTAGGTTGTAAATGTTCTCTCTTACCTCCTTGGAAGTTATATTTTCAAAGTTAAACTTGATCAAACGTTTCCTTTTTTTTCAAATACTGCGGTGGTTTTCAAAGCATTTCAATTGATCTAATAGTGACGAGGCTATCCTTTCGTCAGACGTCTGTTACACATTATCAGATAAAGGTCAGGCTATAATGAGGCGTTCAGTAATATTTACGAAATGATTATTCAACGTTTGTGCTACTATTTTGCTGTCAGACAGGATTTTATCGTTCTCTATCAGTATGATTTTATTTGCTTTTGCATTTTTATCGTTTAAGAAAGGCTGGATAGTTTTCCAGAATTTTTTATTATCCTTGACGAGTTTTACATCTAAATTTTCGAAATATCTTCTTTTAGTGCGTCTAATTAATTTAACACATTTATTTCTGACTTGTTTGTACCTCTCCCTATTAGAAACTGTTTTATTTTTGTTGAGCTATCTTTTTGCCTTAGATCTCAGCATTATCAATTTTATTTTATCTTAATTCATGAAAGGCGCATTATTTGCTCTCACTAATTTTTTGTTCGGAGGGGCATGTTTATCGAGAATAGAAGTCAAAGTTTGATTGAAAATATCGTGCGATACATTTTCTTTAGGTGTTTTAGCTAAATTAAATTGAAGATCCTCGTTAAATTGATCGGTAGAAAAAGTTTTATAGCATCTGTATGAAATAGAAGTGGGTTCAGATTTTACGAATTCAGTTTTTAGTACAGTATAGGTTAGTTTATGGTGGTCAGACAAACATGTCTCATATGTACCTGTATTTATATAGCTGTATTTCTTGTTTGTTAAGATCAAGTCATAGCATTTAGGCGGGTTACTTTTGTAGCATGTTGGCTCTTTCATCAGATTATATAGATCATAGTTTCCCATAAAATTTTCTATGTTAAAAGAACCAGGTTCCATATTAAAGTCCCCAAGTATTAGAATTCTTTCACAGCTTTGTGAATAAAAATCCAATAACTTAACTAATTCATCAAAAAATAGATATCATTTTGGAGGGTGATAAATTCCAATAATTATACATTTTTGTTTTTTAAAATTAACTTCAACGGAACTTCAATGTCATTTGCTGGGTTGAGATTTCTTGCGGCCTGTTTTACGGCCTGTCTTACTGCCTGTCTTACGGCCCGTCTTACGGCCTGTCTTACGCGAGTTTTTGAAAATAAAGTGCTGCTCTGATTTCTGTGAAAGTCACCCGTGTGCCATACAATCCACGTGAAGCTAGATTCAAGTACAGCAAGGCTTCCAAAGCAGAGATTTAGGTGCTCTGCTAGTTTGTCTGTATGGTGCATGTTACAGTTCAGATCAGGACGGCTGGTAAATATTTCATTATTTTTCTTTTTTCTCCATTTTGGAGAGGACAACGGACAGATTAGTTTGGTGCTAAATTTGTATTTGCCTGTTGAAAACATTTATAGAAGATTTAGCGAGTCATTAAGCAAGAATTTGTTGAAAAAGGGCGGAGATTCACAGTTTGATGCCAGGAGTTTTAGGTAATAAATATTTAAGGAGGCAGGAATTAGGCAGAAAACGATGGTTTTACAAGCTATCAAATTGACATATACACGTTTTGGCCGGTTGTTGAACCTGCTTTAATGGATTCATGCATCTGTGTCCTTTCTCAAACTAAATGCCATGGGAAAATTCAGCCTGTTGAACAAAGATCAACTTAAATAATTATATTTAATACGGGTGATTATTATTGAACAGACTCATTTGTTTTTTAATGTTTTGATGAAACCCCTGGTTGCAAGAGCCTGGTCAGCGTAAAATGATGTGAAAAAGACTTGAAACAACACGTGAATCAATCGTTGTTAGTCTTTTCGTGTCAAAATGCATACATTTTGGAGAGATTAAGGTTGAAGAGGTGGAGTGATTGCTTAGTTTTCAGATAGTTTGTACTTTAAGCAGCTTGATCTTCATTAAACCTTTCGGGTCACACAGTCAGGTGACCAGATTACTTCTCTTTTTGACTGATTGGTCGCTGTGTGGCTTTGCAGATTTCCCACATATAGATTCATCACATCTTTGCTAACCCATTTGGACGTAGCTCTTTGTGCATCAGTTAATCCTATTTCACGAGAAGCAGACAAAGCTGATACAATGCTGTTTTTTATTATTTGTTAGAAACCAAATGGAAAAGTGTCAGTGCCCTGCATTGCGAGCTGCATTGTGCCCTGAATGGCCTTCCACTGTTTTATTTGCAGTGGATTTAATTGAACTGCATTTACTTGTTTCTCTATTCTATCTGCAGTAGATAAAGTGAAGGGTCTTTTTCTTGCATCTTTTTGTTTCAACTCCTAACTTAGAAAGAAGAGCAATAGTTTCTGTTTGTCACATCTACATAACTTTCTTTTTATGTAATATGTAAATAAATTTGTTTGATTCGAAGACTAATTTCACATTTGCGTTAATGCAGCTAACTATGTTTAGCGATATGCGTTGTTGAAGTCGTAGTGTTTCATGAATTCCATAGCAGTGATATTAAATCGTAAACGATTGAATTCTTTGCTACCTGTCTTTGTATTACTTTATCTTGCAAAGGCCGGTGTAAGGGTGGTGTATTAGGACTAGTGTAAAACGTACATTAACGATTTTTCAGCAAGAAATCGAGGCAGCTTTGCCAAAAGGAGGCTCAAATGTTGCTGGAGGTGGACAAAGTGCGGTCCAGGAACTTAGGAAACTAATGGCTGATGTTGACGAAATGAAAAAAGAAAGAGAAAAACTCGAGGAGCAGTTCAAAGAGACGCCTTTGGACATGGCCCCGAAATTCCTGCAAGCTCTTTCAGCCGAGGGATTTATTGACAGTGAAAGAATCAGTAATGTTGGCTTGGAGGAAAAGTATGGTGAATATCAGAGAGAGGTTGATGAGAGTCTGAACCAGCAGGAGGCTCTATTGGCAAAAATCCAGGTATAGAGAATTAATTAATGGAATAAGTGATCGGATAAGAGTTAAAGAATATTTTTTTATGCCGCTGATAGTTCAAAGTTTTAATTAATCTTAAACTGTTTTTCTTCAGGAAAAAGCGATAAACACAAATTTTCATTAATAAGCGCAGGAGAATTATCAGGCCATTATAAAACCTTTATGGTAGCATTATTGTACAGTTAATGATATTTCATGGAAGAAGAGGAGCTGGCCTTGTAGATTGTGACTTCTGTGGTGATAGTTCACAATGTAAGCCTGATTACAGTCTTTTAAACTTGAGCAGCGCCGCGTTTAAATATGACACTGCATGTTTATGACTTTTTATGGTTTTTTAGGATGCTAACAACCGTTTTGTTGCTGAAAAGCAAAGCAGTGGTGCGGCTAGTCAACGGGATCAAATGCTTAAGGAACTCGCTCAAGCCTATGACGCGTTCATTGAACTTCTCGGTAACCTTCAAGAAGGAAGCAAGGTGCCTTTTTATAACATTTATTTACGAAATACGAAATAAACACGGCTCTTTGGATCTGAAGAGACATTGTTTTGTTAAACATTTTGAGCGGATAAGACATGATGCTTATTCATAAAAACGCCCAAAAAACTCAGATGCTAATTCCCAAGTATTTAGTTTCCATTCTAAGAGGGTGTTGTTAACGTTTTTTGGGGATTTGTAAATGTTCATGGGTAAGAAATTCAAAACTTCAATGTTCATACCAGTTTTATTGAATACTTTCTAAAATTCCAAGGAAGCCTATGATTTTTGGCCATTTGGAGTCTATTGCCCCCCCCCCTTATTATGTAACAGGCTCACTCTCCTGTCACATGTCACGCATGCGCTGTTAATTAATAATCACATGACTTTTAACCATATATATTGTAAATAGAGATTGAATTAGTAGCAGAGTTAAGTTTTTGGCCATTTGGAGTCTATTGCTCCCCCCCCTTCATTATCAATAATCAAAACAGAGCTATACACAGCTTTCTTCACTTGTTTAAGCAATCTAACAAAAAGCAATCGTCATCTTCCAACTTCATCGACAATTTTATTACAGCCCAGTTTCAGCCCTTAATTAAGTTTTTTTTATCATGCTTGTTTGCATTCTAAAAAGCTTTCATGTGTGCTCGAACCTAATCTATGTAACAATCAAAGTCCAGCCTTGCTTCGAAGCCTTGGTGACGTTTTGAAATGGTTCTTTTTAGATTGTATTTTAGAGGTTGAAAAACTTGATAATAAAACTGATTTTTTCGTTATCTTTTTCAGTTTTACAACGATTTGACGGAAATTGTGTTGAAATTTCAATCCAAAGTCAGTGACTTGGTTTTTGCCCGGAGGACGGAAAAGGACGATCTTTCAAAGTAATTTGAATCTTTTAAATTTACTTCGCTACAGTAATATCCACTTCATTACAGTTGCCTCTGTTCTAGTAACCTCCACCTCATTACAGTTGCCTCAAGTTCGTTTTAGTAACCTCCATTTCATTGCAGTTGCCTCTAATTCAATTTAGTAACCTCCTCTTAATTATAGTTTCCTCTTCCAATGTCAGTAGCCTTCTTTAATTTTTGGTCAACTGCAATCAACCATCCATGATGCATGCTTTTTTAACAAGACTCTCTCTGATAACATGACTGTTTTCAATGTTTGACATAATCTGCTAATAGTGGAATATACATAGTCAAAGTCAGAAATTTTAGACTCAAGCTGTAAGCACCATTGGCTGTTGTCTTAAAGCTCATTGCTTAACCTTTTTGCTCAGTTTTGAATGCCAAACTTGCTGTTTTGGTTATTAAATTCAAATGTGAGTCAAAACCCCATTGCCTTTTGCAACAGGGACATTCAAAACCAGATCGCGAAAAGTGCGCCTGAACGTGCCCCTGCTGTTCCATCGCACATTCAAGGTATGTATGACGCCTGAGTTGTAAACTGTTTCGTTATTCAAGTGATCTGTTCGTTTTTTTCGCCACATTTATTCATTTAATCGCATTTGATTTCTGCCCACCCGCTGCCAGTTGCTAGTAATTTCATCTTAGTTGCTTTACTGGACAGCGGAAGCCACTGGTACCCGAGATGCAGATTAGAAACTTTAGCGAAATTGCTTTGTTTTCAAGCTGTTTTATAGTTGAACAACATGCGATTTCTCTTTAGAATATCATAAAATCGTTTGCTAGGTGCAGGTGCTGAATCAAGCCTAGATTCTTTGTCTATGGATAATACGCGCGTATAATGGCATCGATCCTTTTTAGCCTCTATAGAAGAGCATCGATCCTTTTTAACAAAAATAAAAAATTAAAGGATTTTTATGTTTGATATCTATTTATCTTGATTTGCAGCTCAAGAAAGATCAGTGCCAGACCGCCCGCCCCCACCGAGGTCATCTGCTCCATCCCAACCACCGGCGCAACAACCGGCGCAACAACCGGCGCATCAACAGTTTCAACAGCCTCCACAATACTGGACGGGCCCTAACGCTCCAAATGCACCCTACCCTACCCAGTCGTACATGCCCCAAGCAGGCATGTATGCACCTCCTGGTGGTATGGCTGGGTATGCTCCAGCGTACCAACATGCCCCCCATCCACAGTATCAAGCGCCTCCGTATGGTCAGCCCTACGGTTATCAACAACCGCCTGTGGGCTATTCGGGGTATCCATATCAACAGCCTCCACAGCAACATTGATTCAGAAGGGACTAATTATAATCAATATGGCACAATAATATCATTTAAAATTTGGAAATGGGCATATTTTGAGAACGTCCTAATTATTTCTATAAGATAATTGTCTGTAGAACGAAGAAATTACCAAAAGCATAGACTTTGTAGGCATTATATCACGAAGAGGGAAGCTGCAAAGGCTGAAGCTTCTTGAATGTCTAGATTTTCTTCTCTTCATATCCTATCGTATTTTATCTTGACAGCTGTTCCTTTTTGTAGTTTAATCTTTTCCCGACTTCAGATCTTTCTAGTTTCGGGGTTAAATGGTTTAGAGCTGTCCAATTTTGTATTTTCTTTTGAATGGCGTTCTTGTGTTTACCCTAAAATAAAGGATTTCATTTGGCGGTGTAATTTAGATTAAGATATGGGACATTTCCCCCAGCCCTACCATACCCTTACAGTTTCAGCATGTGTTCGATGTTCACTAAAGACTAGTTATAACGTAGTTCATGGATTTTTTCTTTATGTTGTAACACGGACTAGCTCTTTAATTCTAATTTTTTAATTCAGTCAGGTTTGTAATACGAGTATCTGTTGACCATAATTTGATGTTGTTTTCAAGATTTCCACCTAGATTGTTCTTAGTGATTCCAATATTAGAAACTTGCTGATAGCACTTTGATTTGTAAATTTAAGTGATTTGATTATATAGTAAAGCTGTGAAATCCACTTGCACGGCAAGAAATTTATGACTGCTTAACTTCTTGCAAACCCCTGTAACAAGTAAAATCATATGTTTTCAAATTGATATTTAGCAACCCCCTAAATTTTTTCCAAGGGTGGCAACTTGGTGACAATAGGCTGCTGCATGTCAACGCATGCAGCTGAAACCAACATTTATAGTGTTGAGTTTTCAAATATTATGGCTCCAGTTTTGAGCAAGAAAATATCCTAGAGAAGTCTTGAAACTTCTTGTTGCAAATTCGAGAAAACAGAGGATAATCGTAAGCTCTTAGAATCATGATTTTGTACGAAGAATTAGTATGCTGAGCTTTTTAGGTTTTTTAAAAACAGGGTTCCTAAAAACATTGGAAGGCCCCAACAAATGGCTTTAATTTTCAGATAGTGATTAGGTTTTGGTTTTGCCTTCATCAGTACAGTTGGATTAGGAAACCGCATACTGGAGTTCATCAACGCTTCGTGAAATTTTCACTGATTTTAGCCAAACAGGGCCTGGATAATCTAAGATTTATCACCGTTTAACCTTCAGTGAATGTTTTTACTTCAGCAGGCTAGGCTGAGAACTAGCCTGCGCCGCAGTCCACAAATGCTGCCGCATAAATAAAGCAGCATTTGTGAACTGGGGCACAGGCTAGCTGAGACCTTGCTGCAGTTTGTTTTTATATTCACCGTTATCTCTTCATAAAATGAACTCCTGACTAGTTTTACCAACCGTTTAGGTATTAGTGCCGAATAACAGAATAGCTATCAGCATTTGATCGGAACTTTTAACGATCGCATATACGACTTTAATCAATATAAATTCATTCAAGAGAAAACGTTCTAACGCTTCTCCGCTCTTCTGTTCTATTTCAGAGCTCGAATTCATAAAGCTCTGGTACCCCTGATGATAGATTCACTCTCTCTGGATTGTGTACGCAAAATTTGAATATACAAAGCTCTGGACAAGAGTTTTCCTTTCCTTAAAAGCAAAAAATTTTCTCAATCTTTTGAATTCGTGATGCAGCTTTTCTGCAGAGTTCAGAAATATGAGGTTCAAAATTTAGTTTGTAATCTAGCTAGATACCTAGCAATTCTAAGGTTTCTTCAGTCTTTATCAGTTTACCTTAGATGTGGAAATCTTGTCCATTGGTATTTGTCTGCTCAACTTCTTTCTCCATTACCTCAATCAAATTTTATAAATTCATGGAAAAATAAGCAAGAGTATTATCATTGGCATAATTATACAATGTTGCTTGTTTTATAAACCAGAACAGATCGTTTATGTAAAAATTGAATGAGAAAGGGCCCAAAACAGAGCCTTGAGGTACAACCTATAAAATGGTTTGAAAAGGGCTATGCGTATTATTGATTCTGCCTTTTTCAGATAAGAGTATATAAGGACGAGAGCGTTTTCAACTTTTTCATAGGCATTTTTATCAAGACATGTTGCATGCAATATGATTTTCTGTAAGTAGCGATGAAAAGCAAAGGGTTTCATCTAAGTATGGAATAGGTTGGTTTTTCAAACCTTTTTCATAAACTTTGGAGAAGATATTCAGTATAATATTAAATTAATCAATTGTTATGGCGTATCTGATTACAGATATTGACGATAAATGACAGCTTTTTGAATTAAAGTTCCAGCATCTCATTGGTCAGCAGCTTCAGACTATCCATTTGCCTTCTCCTGTCTCTTTTACCTTCCGTCGATAGCTGATGTTCTAAACCTTTCTTTCTGCATAAGTGCCCATATACTAAGAGGACATACGATTTACTTCCCCCTTTCCTAAAGGGCTTCTTTCATTATCTCCTTCTTCTCCGTCTGCTGTTTCTCCAAGTTAACTTAAACATCTCCCCTTCTTTATTTTCTGTTTCTCTTCTTCTTTACCCTCTGCCTCTCTTTTTCTTCATCTTTTGTTTCTCATTCTGCTAAGTTTTCTCTTCCTCCTCCTTCTTCCTTGTCAAATGTTTCTCCTTCTTTATTTTCTGTTTCTTTTCTTCTTCATCCTCTGCCCCTCTTTTTCTTCATCTTTGCTTCTCCTCCCGCTAATTTTTCTCTTCCTCCTCCTTCTTCCTTGTCAAATGTTTCTCCTTCTTTATTTTCTGTCTCTCTTCTTCTTCATCCTCTGCCCCTCTTTTCTTCATCTTTTGTTTCTCCTTGTGCTAATTTTTCTCTTCCTCCTCCTTCTTCCTTGTCAAATGTTTCTCCTTCTTTGTTTTCCGTCTCTCTTCTTCTTCACCCTCTGCCTCTCCTTTTTCTTCACCTTTTGTTTCTCCTTCTGCTAATTTTTCTCTTCCTCCTCCTTCTTCCTTCTTGAATGTTTTTCCTTTATCATTTTCTGCTTATACTCTTGCTCATCTTCTGCTTCTCTTATTCCTTTTTATTTTGTTTCTACAGCTCTTCATCTTCTTCTGCTCCTTCTTCGTCGTCTCTTCCTCCTTCTTTATCTTCTGCTTCTTTTCCTCTTAACTAGAAAGATCTCAATATCAAAAATTGTCACCCGAACATAGCAACTAAACAAAAAATAAGTCGATCAGCTGAACATTTCACGAGTTATCGCGTTCTAGTTTCTTGTTCTATTGTAGGGTTCTACTTTTTTACGATAAATTCATCTTCAAAATCGACATCAACATCTTCCTCTACTCTCATCAGATCTGCGCTGTTTATGTCGTTTGACCATACAACTATAAAATTTAATTTCGAAACTAGTGACATGGTTTATTTTTGCTCTGAATTTTTAATGTTCGCTTATTTAAGAGTTTAAACAGGTTCTCCTGCTTTAACACTATCAATTTCGTGTTTCGTGTTTTTGGCTCAAAAAAGATATAGCGACTATGAAGTTTCGCAAAAATTATATTACCTTTACATCGAATGTCTTTCTATACAGGGATGGCGCCACCGGGGGTGCTTAGGGGTCAGGAGCCCCTCCGTCGGCACTTCAATTTTGAGAAATTTTAAGCAATGTTGGCACTTTCATAACTTCCACTTCGTGGTTTTTTTATTTTTTTTCATTGTTTGATTTTTTTCAGTTTTTTTTTCACTTTTTGAACTGGAATTACCACAGCGGAAATGGTGTTATATTAGATCTTTGTTGGTGGTTCACTCACTGTCGGCACTCTGACATTGCAGCCCCCCCAGCATTTCTTTTCTCGCGCCATCCCTGTTTCTATATCTATAATTTCTACATCCCAATAGGTCTTTGTTTAATTTGGTTTTTCTGACATGCTGCCTTGGGGGGTTGAGCCGAATTCTGAGCTGGTGCTCAAGCTCCTAAGTCCCAACGAAGTCGGTACCTATGAGATTGAGTATAAAGCAACCAGTATGGTTTTGAAGATTTTGGTAATATGTTGCTATCTTTGTGCTAAAAGTCCACGACAAAATTTTGTCACGACGAAATTCTGAAAAGTTATCCAAACTTTTTTTTCGACGAAGTTTATCCGCGGAAAATTTATCTGAGGAAAATTTTTGTTGTTAATGTACCTCGATTGAGCTTTTGTGACGTCAAATTCGTACTTTGACCCTAAGATATGGGACGCGCCATGCCAGTTACGCACTTATGCAATGAAAGGCACATGAAAGGGCGGCTTTCGGAGTGAAGAAAAGCAGCGATTTCCTTACGAAAACTCGATAAGTTAAAAGAAGTAGGAATTATTTTTGAAAAGATGAAGCTTTGGTCTTCGCAGCATATATTTGGGTAAGTCCTAACTAGTAGAGATAGCTTATTACCACTTTGGTTAATGTATGGCCTAGTCAGTTGCTTTCTAGGCCAGGAAAGGGCGTGCTCAAGACCGCGAGAGTACAGTTCTAACCTAACTACAAGCGTCTTTATGTTTTATGAATATATTTAAAGGAGTTCGGTTTATAAGAGTCGAAGAGGTTTCAAGCTGGCTTTGAAAATTTTTCACAATTTTCTATTTCAGTCAATCAGTAACCAGATGTAGGAAGGAGCACCATTACGCCCCATTTACGGTTTAGCGTGGACAGTTCTGTCTTTAAGACATAAAAACTGTGCAACAGATTGACTGACAGCATTCCTCATTAATTACATATTATATTCAATGTTAAATTTTCGCATTTTATTTTGATAAGCAAATCAATCAAGGGAAAAGTAAGAATGATTGCCAGACCCTCCTAAAATCATTGTTCATTTTTTTAGACACACTTGGGATCGTGTGACACAAGCAATATGGAGGAAGTATCCAAATAAACTAAATCCAAATGTTGTTGCAGTAGATGTAATTGATAGAAAGTTGGAAGAGGATGGGACGCTGCACACTGTCAGAATGCTTGGCACCAACTGGAACATGCCATCATTTGTAACTGCAATGCTTGGCATGCCTGATATGTGTTATGCTTTAGAGTATTCAGTTGTAGATCCAGTTTCAAAAACAATGACCTTAAAGACTGTTAATTATACATTCAGCAGCGTAACAGAAGTTATAGAAGCAATCAAATATTGTCAAAACCCTGAAGATATCAGCAAGTAAGTAACAGGTTTTATATTTGAGTTTTTTTATGGCTATGATCTCACACAAATATTTGGTGTTAACAGCCTTCCTCTAATTTTGATCTTAGAAGGGTTCTGGAGGAGGTTTTCTCTTTCTACAGCCTGAAATTTCATGCTAAATTTTTAGTTCTAGTATTATGAAGAAGCTCGAGTTTGCAAATGATGTTAATGGAAAAAAATTGGCACTTGATATGTGACTGTGACTTCTTATCAAGATTTGTCTTATTCAACGACTGGAAGAATTGCTCATTCATCAGAGTAAAACAACACATCAAATACCGTTTTATGCGAGTTTACATGGAAATCTTGTTTTACTAATATATATATACCTTTTCTTTGAAAAGTACAAAAAACTTGAGGCCAGATATTTTCTATCTGCATGTTACAAATCCAAATTACTAATTCTCTTCCTAATCCAAAATATCATTATATACTTATATATTTCTGCTTTGTAGTAGACATTGATGTGAGGAAAATTTCTGGGTTTCATAGAATTTATACGGCTAGAAGTTGTGTGAAACACTAAGAAAATCTTACAACACTTATGTTTGTGTATATCTTAGAATCTAATCGGATACTTGACATTCTCTCCACAAAAATTAGGAATAATAATCTTATTTTTTTCTTCAAAGCACGCTGATGACACATGATGCTATAATAAAAGTCAGCGGTGTTCGATTCAAGGATTATTGTGAAGGACTTATAGCAAATACATTTGATACAAATGCTAAAAAGGTATGCAATTTTTTTAAACTTTGTAGTGAGTGACATGAATATATGCACCTTCAACAGGATGTAAAGCAAAAGTAGTTTTTTTTCATTGCATTGGTTAATTTAAAGTTGTGGCAATATCTTGACATTTTTAAAGATATATATATTTAAGTATCATAGATTGAAGAAAGTAAAACTACATGGTTTATCTCTACAAGCCTGTTTCGTGAGTAACTCACTCTTCAGGAGATGTCCTGAAGAGTGAGTTAGTAACAGGACTTAGTAACAGTCAATGTCACATCTCCTGAAGAGTGAGTTACTCACGAAACAGGCTTGTAGAGATAAACCATGTAGTTTTACTTTCTTCAATCTATGATATATCACGCTCTACGTGCTAACGTATTGAGCACTGTGCTACGGAAGTATCAAAAGACAAATTTCTATATATTTAAGTAGGTATATATTTAAATAAATTGGTTATACACTTGTGAAAATAAGTATTGCACAGGCTGAAACAGAAATGGCTGCACTGCAGCAAAAGATTTTAATAAACCAAAATTAAAATGGCCTTAGCAAGTTTCATAAAAGTTATAATATGACTTTTTAACTGGAATATGTTGGAAAATTTATCAAGGTTTGATGGTAAAAATATATATGAATATTCATGAATATTCTTGATTTTTGCCTATTTATAAACAATATTGACAAGTCGCAAAAACACAAAAATTGAGCCATGATGATTGAAGTACCTGTGTAAACATTACAATAAACAAGTTCATCTTTGCACCAATTTGTGATATCTTATTACAATGAACTCCAGGGTACTTATTTTTTTGGGGGTCTAGAACTGCTCATTTTCCTCACTTTTGTTAGAGAATCTGTTAAATTTGGTCTAAAATTTTGGAGCCGCAATGAGCCTAATTGCAGCGGCCGCTTTGTGATATGTTGCAGCAAAATTGAATCAATAAAATGTGTCACAATTCGTAAAGTCCATCTTTTCCAATTGATTGCGATTTTGTAATGGAAACAAATAATGCTTAAAATTGCGTAAAATAACATTTTGTCCTCTCATCAAATGAAAATTACCAAAATTCCCGCGATAAACATGTTCACTCAAGTGTCCCAATAGCTGTTAAAAAGTAGGCATAATAAAATGGCTTGAAATATGCCACTTTCCACCAAATACATGGCCGTTTATGATCTTCAACACCTAAATGTGATCTTGCAAATGATTTTCTGAACTTATCATGTCGCAATTAACAGAACCTGTTACTAAACTTTTGATAAAGTTTTAGCAAGTTTCACAAAGGTTTCAAAGCTGGGAGACTGTCCAATAAAAAGTTGAAATTTTTTTCAACTTTTAAATTAAAATTAAATGTCAATGGTTTGAAATTTGGTTTGATTAGATTTTGACCATAAAAAGACACCTGATGGCTTCACAAAAATGGTTTGAATTTTGATCGCTTTGTTGTTGACAACGTGGTCGCCATTACTGAATTGTCAAACCAGTGCAATACTTTTGCTTACTAAGTGTATATATCACATTTTCAGTTTGGTCTGTTTCTGCTGGGAAGCCCTGCAAATCTGCATATATATAGAATTATAAGCCATCTGACAAAATTTTGTTTTTATTTCCATTTCCCGCATTGTAGGTTCTAATACTTTCAGAGAATTTTCAGAAAAAAAGTTTTTTATTGGCTTGCTCTTTTTTATGTTTTGTTTCTTTCTTTTTTGATTAATTTGATGTATATATTAGAATTTCAGTCAGATAAAAGATATTAGAATTTTCAGTCAGATAGAAGTTGCCTAAGCATATTTGAATAAACAATGACCAAATATATATGTATGCTTCTTATCATATTTTGCCTTCAAGGATTTTTTACATTCCACTTTACGATTCCCTCAAAACTTGAAATCATAAACAGCTGTAAATTGATGCTAAAATTCCTAAATTCTTCCCCTAAATGTTTAAGCATTTATTTTCTAGGGACGACAAGCAGTTGAGCAAGTAATAGCAAAAATAAGTTTAGAAACTATTGCCCAATCAATTAGTGAACAAATGGACGAATTAGCAAAAGATTTTGATATAGCACTTACCAAGCTAGACAGTGAATTTGGAGAAATTACAGCTAAGCTGAATACAGAATTCTCACAGCTGATCCAAAAACTGTCTTATGAACTGGATCACATGACCATCACTATGAAGACAGATGACAATGAACATTCAACCAATTGTCTGCATGTTCCTAGTTTAACAGATGCAGTAAAACAAGCAGGTTTAATGGAAACATCATCAAGTTGATTTTAGCTTATCGTTTAGATAATGGAAGAATTTTTTAAATCCGACAGTTGCCCAACAGAATATGGTCCCAGAAAGGATATTACTTTACTTATGGGAATGTTGATCTTAGAGCTTTATCTTATCTACCTATGCCATTTTTCCAGTCAGAAAAATGTCACAAACCACAAGAGAGCCAAACCCCCCCCATCAAATATCTTATAGCTTTTTGGTTGTATTATGAAAGTGAGGTGTGTTAAACAATTTCTTTTAAAGTTGCAGCTTTACTTCAAAAGGTAGAGTGTCACATGTGAAGTAATCTTTTGCTATGGGATCATATTTTGAAATGTGCTGATACTTGAGGTGGCACAAAAAACTACAAGTAAAGTATTTTGGTGCTAATCAGATTCTTTCCCCAAAAAATTCACTTGTTTTTTGTGTCACAAATTGTTATACTGTTAAACACATTCAAATCTCTTAAACTTATTTTTGCATTTCATTTTATATTTGTATTTAAATGAATTGAATTCATGAAGTATTATAATAAAAACATTGTTTAAAATTGATATTAAGTAAATGTGAGTATTTGTCGTTTTTTCTGTGTTAGCACTGCTTGCCTGAAAAAAATTCACCTTGAAAAGTTTTAGATTATGATAACGAAATAAAGCTATGAAAAGATAGAGGTGAATCTGGGTCTGGTATGAGATGTGTGGGTAGAGAAGTGCCTCATATAAGACTTAAATGTGCCCAAGTGAGGTCTTAAGGCTGGAATACACTAGGCATTTAATTGCCAGTCAGCTAAATGCGGCAATTAAATGCCTAGTGTATTCCAGCCTTTTGAGGAGCTCTGTCTGTGACCTGTGTTACCAAGGATCTTGGTTAGTTTTAGCGAGAATCCAAATAAAAGAGGATCCAAATGCTTTCAAAACATCTATCTTATCTGTTTTTATCAGGACGGCCAATACGGTATGGTATTGTTAAGGTACCTGCTGCTATGAAACTGGAAAGATTACTTTTAGCAAATCATCTTGTGGGGCAACTGTATTTTTTAATTGTGAACCAGTTTAACAAGGAAAGCTGTTAAGAAGGTTTACGTTCAGATACAATGGAAGCAATTTAAATACTGGCGGAGAAGCAAGCTTATGATCAAATCGTTACAAATAAATATGACTGAAACAATAAAACTCTATGTTGCTATCTGTTCTTCGGTTTTTCCACTGCTTTCCTTATTCATTTTGTTTTTGCTGGTATGCCAGTAACTCTACCGTTGTATCCTGTTAAGTCGTACCCTGGATTTCTCGGACTGATTTCTCCAAGTCTGGTTTTAAGTTCAAATCGAATATTCCTACTTTTCAAGTCAACAGGAATTCCGATGATAAGTCGGATATTCCTAAGATAAGCGGTCTCCTTTTCCCCTTCCTCTACCTTAAAGGTCCCATCTTGCGGGATTGAACTGGATCTCTAAATTGATGTTAATACCTTTATGCTTAAAATAAATAGTAAAACGGGTTTTAACCCTCCATGTGCTCCTTTTTTCATCAACCTTACACCAACTCTGTTGAAAGGAAAGCACTATGGTGAGGGTACTCAATACTCGATAAAACACTACCCCGATTCCCGAATCCCGCCCACAAAAATTTGCCAGTTTCCGATTCCCAACCCCCAACTCCAAAAACATTTTGGCTACTCTGGTAAATACATTGGTCACTTTTGGGTAGTAAACACGTAATTTGCCATTTTATGGCACAATATATCACCGGTAGAAAACTGAAGAAAAACTTGACATTTATGCTACTATCGTTGTCCCCATTCAGTTTACCAGCAGGTTGTACTCCTATCTTTATGAGTTCAACTTGGATGATAAGCCGATACATGTAACCAAACGAAAATTGTTTATGACAAGATAGATCCACGATGATTAAGGAAAACGACCAAAACAAGTCAATTTTGCGTTACCAAAAACGTATTTGGTTATTAGGTCATTCTTTCAGTCAAGTCTTCACAACCAAGATGATTAAACCACAACAAATTTTCAGATCAACTTCCTTTATTTTAAAAAGTTTTGTTCAATCAGCAAACCATTTTAACAAAGAATAACGTGTTTGATCCTTGTATTTCGATTCAAACAAATCTTAACGTTCGAGAGATACTAAAAGCCAAGACAGGAACAAAAACTCGGTAACAGGATTTGGAGAGAACAGACAAATCCAAGAAACTTTCATTTTTTTGCCAATGAAGATCGAGGGTTCGTCTAGATTTAAGCTACAGAAAGTCAAACTATTCAAAAAACTTTTCTTAAATCTAAGATTTTTCTCCTAGCAAAATCTCATACAGTCCAATCTGCACCTTTGCTGTGTGTGGTGTACCAATAACATTTGAAAGAAACCATTTGAACGATCAGGCTTGCAATGACTTCTACATTTTTACAGAGAAAAGCTTTTGCAAGCAAATGTTTGATACGGATGGTCTTGTACAACGAAAGGGGTAGGTTAGTTAGCCAGTCACTTTATGTCTCAGGACGAGCTTCGAATTCCCAGAGCTTGTTCCAATTCGGCCCTCTTCTGTTGTACCTACGACAGAACAAAGATAACTTTATAACAACGTAAAATACTTCTCGCAAGACCTTCCTCAGAGTAAAAACGTCGGACAATGATCAAAGGTAAGGAGAACATTTATGTCCAGACGGCAACTGGTAACCTTCAATCTAGTTGAAACATCCAAGAAAGAAAACCAACTTTTCAATCTTAAAAAGTCCGTTTAATTTGTTTTGTGTAGATTAAGTCTGAAACACTTAAAAGAAAAGACAACGTTGCTTGTCATTGTATATTTTGTACGTACTCTTGATTCTAAAGCAAATGCTGGCCCATTTCCGAATTGCCTTTTATTTAGTCTTATTGATTTTCGCAAGAGACTGTGGGTCTTAAATAATCAATCTATTGCAATGAAAGAATGCAAAGTTTTTAAATACCTGTTTGTAGAAATATCGATGAACCGCTTCCTGAGTCCACGGCTGATTAAAAAACTCAGAACGTCTTTCCTCCTCCGCATTCCCAGATACATCAGTCATCGTCTACAGCAAAAACAAAAACGACAATTCCATAAGAGAATAGTTGGAACAGAATTGTCAGTGCACTAGAAGCGAATTCGGGGTCGAGGGCAACTGGAGCATATCAAGTCACTTCACAATGCAGCCAGTCCGAAAAAGGTAAAGATCTTGAACTAGGTCACATAGTAGAACTACAAGGCACTTGTCTTGTGTTTTTCAGTCTGTAAAACCTTTTATTGAAACATAAGTGTTTACGATGTGGTTTGGATCTAGTTGATCAAATTTCCTTTATGATATGCATAATCATTTTGTTTTGTGCTGTATTTTTACAGTTTCACGAATAGAAATGGGAAACCTTATTTGAATAGAAATGGGAAACCTCATTTGAATAGTAATGGGAAACCTCATGACAAAATTGATACTCTGAAGATACTGAAAAAGGTGAAAAAACAAACCTTTAAATCTTTGCTTTGAGAATAAAGCCAGTCATTGATGAATTTCTAAAAATATGGTACAAAATTCAATGAAAAGTAACATTGTTTTATTCGAGATATTAAAAAAACGATTACTTTTCATACTCTCTTCCCATGACATAAATTTTCTACAAATGGGTTGAAAATAATAAGCCATTTCTCGCCAATTTCTAAGCCAATTATCCAGCCATTCAATAGAATACCTGTAGCTACTTACGACATTAACCTTGTTATTTCTTTCTATTTCGTCTTAACAGCTGCATCAAGCTAGTAAAAAGTATATATAATAAAATTACCTGGGGGTCATTGGCAAACGATAAAAAGAAATCTCTCTGCACTTTCAGCTGATTGATTCCCTCAACAGTTTCATGAATCTTAAAAAGGAAGATATCAATTAATCACAACAATTGATAATAAAGGTATTCAAAAAAATAATCTTATGTAATTTTCAAAAAAATTGTGAATCTGAAAATACATACTAAACAAAACGTAACATGTTTATAAAAATTCATATTTACCAAATCATATTTTTGAATGTGCTATGTTAGAGTGCAAGGTGAATAAAATACTGCGATTGAAATGAAATTCTATTTTTATGACATATTTCTCTATATATTAGAAAAAATAAAAATGGATTAAAATGGGCTTTTCATAATCGAAAAGATTCATCCCAGAGTTAAAATTCACTTGACGAAACACATTATACAAACAATTATGAGCATCGTGATCAACACGAGGCTATCTGCTACTAGTCAAGAAACGGGTCCGCTGCGTGGGTGCAAAGGCATACAATACCACAAAGCCTATACACAGGGATACTGCATACAAAAATAAAGCATTTTCGGTATACCAGCTTATCCTATTGACAATAAGAGACTAACCTTTCCATCAAGCGCAGATATCTCCTGCTGGCTAGCGGTAGACAGTAGAAAAGATTGCATCATCTCTCGCAGTGAATCATCCTTTGAAATACAAGATTTTGACATCAGATCTCGATTCATCAGGAAGCCAATCAAACAAACGACTTTCATAAAATAACATCGAAAAGGCGTCGGTGATTTAATGTTTCAAAACAAAGGAGAATATCTTTGGAATGCCTATTTAAGTTTATAGAGATAAAAAAGGAAGGGGTTTCAACATATCACTTAGAAAATTAATGCTGTGAAAACACTCACCACAGGAAATCAAAGAGGATTAAAACATAATTCACCTGCTATATTATCTTGTTCTAGTTAAAATAGTTATTCGATCTTGTTTTTGCTAGTATACTTACTGTTAAGCTTTTGACTATACATTTTTGTTAACGGCCTAATCTAGAGAACATACTTTTCTGTGCTTTTCTTGGGTTTTATATATTATATATTAATCTACTTATAAAACTGAAGTATATAATACAAAATTGAACTGAAAGTGGAGCAAACTGTATTATGGATTATAAATAAATTATATAAGAAGGAAGAGAACTTACGATTTCAACATCGATGTTGTAGCAAGTGGCTTTTTTCCCATCTTGCCCAACGATTCTACAAAAAAGACCAAATCGAAAATACTTATCTTATACAACAAACGATGTTTTTGAAAAACGTGAGTTGCAAATTATATAGTAAAAAAGAGTTGCAAAACAATTACTTGATGTTGTGCTGTATAATGATTGGGTCTGGGGGATGCAGGAGCTTTTGAAGCCTTTGAGGAATTTCACAAAACTTCATCCTCTCGCACTCGAATATCTACATAAAAAGAAAACGATGCTTAGCATTACCAGGTATTATCAAATCGAACACTTGCTTTTCCAAAAAAAAATATCGCAAAAACAAAAAAGACGATTCTTGAAAAAGCATTGGTGCAATGCACTAAAACCTCGAGGAAAGTTACCTGACGCAAATATTTATCGTTATTAATGTATTCTCTTTCATTTGAGTCTTGTAGGTTGTTGTTCTGCAACGAAATAAACGATATCTTATCCTCACAGAACCATAGTATCGATTATCAAGTGTTTAAAAGGAGAAGGTTCGAACAACAATACATAAATTGAGAGTTGGTTACAAAATGTTACAAAAATAAGCCTCGAATCTATAAGAAAAATATGCGAATTGACACACCATTAGTAAAAAATTGTGGAGTTAGGTAGCTCATGCTATAGATTAAAATACAAGGTAAAAGTGAAAAAAACACAAGGCGAAAGTGAGAAAGTAACCCTACTCAAGAAATTTAAAAGAGAAACAGATCGCAGAGTATTCGGCACCACTAATTTGCAAACACATCGCAGAGAATTCTTACCTTCACATACTGCCACAGCGCATTGACAATCACTGGTCGAGTTTGGGTATGAATGCCAAGAACACGCCCCAGTCTTTCATCAAGCTTGAACTGAGGGGGCTGTGGGGAAATGATGGGAGGAGTCTCAAAACATAATACTTGCGTTAGAAGGGGTTAAGGCTAATATGTTATCATTAGCTAAATGAGAAAAGAAAACAAAAGCACATAAGAATAAGATTGAATTGTTCATAAGTACCAAAAAACAATCATAAAAAAGAAGAAATCAATTCATAGCCATTATGGCCTGTACCTGATAGTCAAGCAGCAAAAAGATGGTACATTTGACTTCCTTGTCACCAACTATTGGCCTCTTGACCTGACAATTGCAACAAAATAAAAATAACACAACTATTTCTTCTTGAAAGATATGTACGCGTCATAAATATTGTTTAACTTCAATGAATAACCAACCTCAGACATTTCAGTGGAAATAAACACGTGGAATTGGAAATTTCATATGGGGAAACTTTTTCACCTGGAATCCGTCCGTCTCTTGCGTTGTTGCCGTTCTATGCCACTGAAACAGCAATTTAAAAGTTAACAGAACAAAAATGATAACTGAAAAATGGATTTTCACTAATAAATTAAAGACAAGAATTACATTTAGGATCATCGAGATTAAAAAACATCCTTTTACAGATACATTTAAAACTGAATATTATTTAAAGAATTCAAACTGGGATTTCTGTCTTTTTCTTCATTGGATGTGAAATATTTTACCGAAAATAATCCATAAACATGGCAGATTCCAACCTTATTGAGAAAATTACAAAATAATTATTAGCAAGAATGCTCATTTTTCTCTTTTCACGAAGACGGGGGCAAAATTATCAAACTTCGAAACTTTGTACATTATCAGAGACTTGATCATCCAAGCTTGGTTGGTTTGTTAAAATATCGGATGAAAACACGAATACAGTTTTACAAAATACAGTTGAATAAAACCATCTTTAGGCCAATTCAAGCCATCAACCTTTTCAGGATAAGAACTTGTGCTTGTTCGGAGATAAACCAACATGGAAAAAGTTTATGAAGATAGTTAAGTAACGATTTCCATGGTACATTTCTCAAATAATAAACAGTTTCTTTAGACACACATTGTAATCAAAGAACCATTGCGACTAAGAGTCGGCCTGTACTAGACACTAAACAAGTGAAGAGAATCCAGAGGTGTTTATCAAAATAATACAAAACAGTTTCAAACCTCGACAAGATGATTGTCAGGTCCATACAGCTCCCTATCGAGCTCTATGACCAGGTTCTTGAAAAATGAAGAGAACTTTCTCTTTTGTTTGGGTGCGATGTCCTTTGGTCCAGCAGGGTCTTCTAGCAACTTCCCTTCAACTCGGATTTCCCACTGAGGGACAGCAGAATTTTCATCTGCCTGATAAAAAAGATTTTCATCTGCCTGATTTTTTCTGCGTTGTTAAACTATTCAGCATATTTGTATTAATGATAACAATCAATGAAAGTATTATTTCAAATACGCTGTTGGTACCGAAAAATGACAATAAATGTGACAAGAAATAGAAGAAAATAAGCATGCTAAACTACTTTTCGCGTGTCACTCTTCAGTGTAGAAATGTCGGATAGTGACCGAGAGTAAGCAGATTTAAATTTTCTAATTACATTCAGGAACTATCTGATGTTTGTGCTCCGAAGAGTGTCGGACAAAAAGTACTTTACTCTGCCATGTGTCCACTATTTCGGGCCAACTATAGATTCATATGATCTACAATAGTTGCTATGATATTAGATATTTAGAGGTACAGCAAATTCAAATTTCAAACAGATACGTCACTGCTATTTTTTCAGGCCACACTGCATGGAGAAGTCATCTATCAATGCCTAGGTGGTGCTATATCGGTGATCAGCCCCTTTGCAAGCTAGTAGAACTTGTAAAATACATAGCCTGTATCATTAACCAGCCCCCTCAAATGTATGTTTTCTAAATCCGAAAGTATTGATTCAAATTAAAATACTAGTGAAAATTACTCTGTTTTTGAATCAATGAGACTTCCACAAAAAGAACTAAATATCTTTGTCCCCTTCGAACAAAAATGCTGTCTGATTAATACAGTGGGGTCAAAAGTAGTTCTTAAAAGAACTACTGTAGTACCTAAATGAAAGCATTTTGAATGTTTCAAAAGCCTACAATTTATTTCAATTTTATTTCACATATAGGAACTTCATATCAACAAAATAATAAACATTGGCTTTAATTATCGAAAGTACATAGGCGGTAACAAATCCAGGAGATTTGTAATTGAATTTAAAGACGATGATTTACCTCATCCGGTTTTGGAGAATAAAGATTTGTAGATATGTACACTCTAAGCTTGCGTTTTTGCTGAAATAAAAGTTACATTTTTGAAACAGACATGAATAATTCTTACATAGATGTTTACCACAAAATCCCTGACAGTTTGATTATTAATACTCTAAAAAATTCTACTTCAGGAATAAATTAATACGCTTCAAATACAAGATATATACAACTTTGACCAAGCATTTTTACAATATACTTGACAATTCCTAAATTTCTATGATACAACCTCTACTTTCGTATCAAACAACATTATTTCTAATGGTATTTTTGGACAGAACTTACTTTGATTGGGCGCTTCAATGCCTCCTGAATATCTAATCTTTTTCTCATAATTGTTGCATCCAATTTATTTTCAAAGGCTAGCAAATCCATGTAGGCCTGTGACTCTGGAACTAATTCAACAACCTGAAAAATTGTAATGAATATTAAGAGAAAAATTTATCCTGCTAAAATGTATCTATTTAAAATTTCATAACTCAATGCTATACTAGTCATATTCCTAACTCATCATATTTCCTCTGTCTTGTAAATTTTAGCTTACAAAAGTCCAGTTCTATAAAAAAATTCACTTACTGTAAAATACCGTGGAGGCTTATTTAACTTTCAACTTGTTAGGAAGGGCACTTATTTTGACAGGGCACCTACTTGCCTGGGGACTTATTCCAGCCCGAGGGCTTACAAAAAATCTAAGGGTCTTAGCTTTTGGACACTGTTGTCTTCTTGGTTAGCAAAATTTAGCTGAAAAGCTCAATTATACAAAATGTGACAGGAAGGAAGCACATGGCTACAAAAAGGATGGGTGTCAATCGAGATATCTACCCTGATTAAATATTTTTTGAAGGTAAATGAGAACTACCTGTTCCACTTATTTGAACATGGGCACTGATCAGACACAGATGCTTACTAAAACCATTTTGTCTAAAGGTATGTGTGAACTAGAACATTTATGAACTAGGAGCCCTAGGTGCTTAACTGGTCATTAAGAAAACCTTAAAAATCTTACATCAATTAAATATACAAGCAGACTGCTTCAATAAAGATTTACATTAACAAATTATAGCAAAGACAGTATAGAAAAAAGGCCCCATATTTTTTTTATCTATAGAAACGTTTTTGAAATCTTGAGACTATAGACACTAAATCTAATAAAAGTGATAAATTCTATTGAAAATTTAGTTAACACTGAGTTGAATATCAAGAGACAGAACCCTTAAAAATGCACCATATGGTCTTCCAATGCCTTTACTGTGCTGATGCATTATTTGGCAAAACTATGGTGTGAAATTTTGAATCAGCAAAGCGTAAACACAGAAACACTTGCTGTAGACATTTGACACCTTGACCTCTATTGAAATTTATTTATTTCTGTTTCCTTAGATTTTCATTTTCTATAATAATCATAACTGTCAATACAAAAAGCAACCCTTTAGTCACAAAGTCACAAATCAACGAACAACATATAATGTATTTATCTAAATACACAAATCTAATTACAAATCCTGATTCAGATAATTCCCTGTCAATAGAGTGTCTATCAAAGCAACTTACTGATTCTAATTAATGGCTTTAATTCATAGACTACTGTAGAGCATTGTTAATTGTGCTTTGTATCCCTATTCAAAGAATCCTTGTTTTACCTCTGTATCCCCACAATGTGTCAAGACTGACAGTAAGAAGAAAACATCCCAAATTAAAACTAAACTTTCTCATATTTATTAACATGCAATTAAAAAACGAAGTATTACAAGTTGTTTTTCTAACATTAAATTTTCTAATTGTATAAAAAGGTTGCCCATATTGTCAGTATTTGCGATACTATAATTTCATAAAGTTTTCAGGATTACATCTGGCAAATCAGAATTTGGTTAACAGCTTGTAGCATACTTTTCAATTAATAACATGATACGCATGTGCCTGCTACAACATTCCAGCATTTTAATTGCTCAAGAATGCAAAGAATCATTAATAAAAATATTAAAATGTTTTTTATAATTTGCAAACTTTGCATCAAAACAATGTATAAGAAAAGAACAAGGAAAATAAACACTAACCTGCTGAGTGATAACTTTATCTTTCACTTTCTTCTTTTTACTTGCACTTAAAAATTAATAAAACAAATAAAAATTTGAGCATATAATGTAATAAAAATGCTAAAGCCAATCTTTGTTAGTTAAGGAATGATTTAGATATAGAATATTTTAGCCACTCAAATATAATTAATGAGGAGGTGAAGTCAAGAAAAATATATGTATGTATGAAAAACTATATATGTAGTAAACTACATTTACAAAATGTGATGATATGTTAAAAGAAGGCTAAAAGGATGACAATTATGGAAACATGTACCAAAACAACTTTCACAGTAGCAAGGTCCCCAAGGGGTTCTGTGCTCCTATTTCCCCTAAACATTCTTAAGTATCTTCCTTCTTTCGAATAATGTTTCTTCAATGTTCCCAAATAAAAGTATGGAAATATTGTCATAATGTTCCCTTGATCCCTGACAGTAGCAAATAGCATCTGAAGATTGACTATAAAGGCTATCAGATAAAACTTATTTTGCAAGATTAGAATTACAAATATCCTAGGAAGCTGCCTAACTACAGCCTTTGTGACTGGTTTTGAATGTATATTTCAATCATATGTTCCCCAATTTTGCATTTTTAAAGTTAATCTTCAGTTATGAAAAAATAATTATTGCTTGAATTATTGCTACAGCTGACATCGTTTTTTGGCATTTTGAAGGGGTCCTGTAAGCCTCACAAGCTCACAACAAATTAAATATGCCTAAAGGACTTCGTATCTGGGTATTTTCAAATTTGTATACTGTTCAAATAGTAATTTTAACTTCAAAAAGTAGAATGATTTCTTTTGAATCTTAGACTTTAAACAAAGTTGAACATCAAAGGTGTACAAATAAATACTAAAAAACTAGCAGCAAAATGATGTGGGGAGCTTTCTCTCTGCAGATCTACAGCATTCAGTCTCTCTGTGTTTCAAGGCAGAAAAGAGGGAAGGTACTAACTTAAACAGATTATTGATCAGAACAGTGATGTTAGTATTGCCATGAGTTATATTACTTAAAACATTGAGTATACAGTCACCTTTTAGATCTTGAAGATGACTTTGGATCCAAAGATCTTTTGGCTCCCTCTGGAGTTCCTCCTGCTTGCCCTCTTGCAGCTGAGCCGGGGTTTGGCATTGTCATTCTTCCTGGCCACTGGGCATTCATTGACTGAGGTGCTGGAGAGCCCTAGGTAAAAATGCTTTTGGTAAACTTGCATAATTTTTAAACAGATGAATTGAGTAGCTAGCTAACAAATTAGCTAAAAGATGATTGCCAGAATTTCTGGTTTTGTACCTTTCTACAGAAACTGGTATGCCAAGAGTAAATTCATGTTAGTCAGAGACCATCAAGTGTGATACATTTGTCAATACTTAAGCTTAACCAGGAATTGAGCTTTGCCAATTATCTACTTGCTCTTGGACTGTCGGTTTTTTTGTTTGGTATTTACACAAAGGAATCTTTCATCAACCTACTCATTTTATAGAGCATAGTTGCCAAGTTTCCCGGATCTGCAGTGAGACTCACAAATCTAAAATTGTCCATGTCTCACAGATACTGTTAGAAATTTCATGGATCTAAGGAAGCTTCAGCCAGTTTTCTACTTGAGTATAATCATTTGCCAAATGGTGTGATGAAGTAAATTTTTTACGTAAGTCTGCCAAATCAAAATAGTAGTTGTGATAATTTTGTAGATTAAAGCAAGAAATCTTGTCCAGGAGTTTTTGTTTTCAATTAAAAGACAATCTGAAAACCCTAAAATATTTCCAGGGAGGCATTTGGCCATTGAAACAATACTAGAAACTCTTAGTCTCACGTACTTTGGCAACTATGTTTAGAGTGATAAATTACGTAAATAAAAAATTGAATTGCGCCCATTCTCATCATGCTGGCTTTTCCCATTCTCCGTTTCGGGTTGACATCATTGGTTTGCATCTCGCTATCTATGGACCTTTCTCAAAAAGGGACTTCAGAATTGAAATCTTCATCTTTAAATTAGTTTATCCTGAAAAATTATGTTGTTTGGACCATTTGGCTGCGAGTTAATTTGTTTCAAATATTTAGATATTTCTTTAGATTTGACCACAATTTGCCGCTGCAGTGAGAAAATTTCACTGGAGCAACAACTTCCAATGAAAGGTTAAGGAAAGCTAAATCTTGAAAATGGGTTAATTCACCGTCTGTTGGCCCAAACAACTTTATATTTTCAACACAGATTAATTTTCACATGAAGATTCCAATTCTATGATCCATTTATGATCCAATGTGAAGATAAAATTGCCCGGATCAAAGAATTGAAAAATACTCTTAAGTCTGAAAAATACTCTACAGTTCATTCCTCTTTACCAAAGTATACTGCAACAGTTTGGCTAGCATTATTCGTTTCTAAATCTGTGAAAAAATTTCTTTTCTAAACTTTTCCTTCGATTTTCGTAAAATATTTGACTTGTAAAATGAAAAGAGTAAAAACCTTACCAGGAATATACACTTTTAAACGTTAAGTGTACGATGCTTGCTTTGATTTAGTAAAAATTATAGCTATCAGTAACAAATTTGTAAAATATTTGACTTGTAAAATGAAAAGAGTAAAAACCTTACCAGGAATATACACTTTTAAACGTTAAGTGTACGATGCTTGCTTTGATTTAGTAAAAATTATAGCTATCAGCAACAAATTTGTAGACTTTATTATTGTAAAAACCATTGATGCTGACAAAAGTTTTGAGTTCCAACTTTCAAATCAAGGTGTGTGAATGCAAAATTACATACTCAAATGTAGGTTTTATCAAATAATCTTAGCAAGATTAGCTTTCTACGAAGGTAACGTACTTACTTGAAGAACTGGCCTTTGGTACATGGTTTCAAGTTACTAAAACGACTGTAATTGTATAACCGACATAAAACTTGCGGTATGCCGCCGATCAACAACAACACCACTTTTCAATGAAAGGAACGGAAAGGAAGAATACTTTTGTTATAGCCTCGTTTTTGACTAATGTAAAACTTCAATTTTGGAGGCTGGAGGACGATCACATTCACTGTTCTAAAAAAAGACTGGATCGAGCTTCAAATGTGACCAGAGTGTCACCATCCGAGAAGAGGGCCCCAGAACAGTCCATGCGAGGAGACGGCCTTCTCTGTCAACCCTAGCAATGTTTACAACTGCTCTGGCCTTGTTTTTTTCAGCAATTATACACACACCATTGCAGCTCTCGGGTATCCATAAAGTTGAAGTATTGGTTTTGAGGAATGGCTTCCCGCTATTGTTTGGGGCCCTCTTCCTTTTGAAATTGAACGGGTTTCAAACTTTGGTGTTTCAAGACAATAGCTCGATCCAGTCTTTTTTAAAGATCAGTGGATCACCTCAGATTTCAAAAACTCGCCCTCGCGAGCTCGATCCAGTCGCCCTCGCGAATTGAACTCGCCCTCGCGAGATCAGTGGATCACATTAGCAGGGCCCGCACCACGTTTAAGACCTCGTTCACACGAGACCTGGACCAGATCCACAAGTATCTGGATACTTTTTGATCCGATCCCTGAAATGGCAATGCGTTTACACGGGATCCGATCCAGAACCATTTTCGTTTACACAGGAGGTAACGCTAAAAAGGATCGGTTCTCGTGGACTGATGAAGAAACTGCGCTACTTTTAAAAGATGTATTGGACTACAAAACTGCATAGCTTGCAGATGGGCAGGATTGGGAAACTGTGAGGACAAAGTACGACGACATATCATCAACAATTCGTAATAATTCTTCAACACAGTAGACTGTCAACTTATTGTTCGGTTTTCTGGTTCCAAAAAGCCACGGATTACATATTCAAACTACCTCGAATTGAAAAATATTCTGTCTCACTTTCGACAAATAACGTAGACGGATCCGATCTGGACCAGATCCACCCATCTACACGACACCCGGTCCAGATCGGATTTATACGGGATCACCTCTGAAAGCGATCCAAAAAGTGTTCGGATAGCGGATCCAAAAGTATACGGATCCACCAGTTTCCACGTAAACGCAAGACCGCAAGATTCGGAACGGATCCACTCTCGTGAAAATGGGGTCTAACTGGCCCTGATCACCTTGGCATTCTATCTCATAAGTTCGAACAACATGCTTGCAGCGAGTAGGAAGGCTCGTAAAAGTCTATGGCGCACTAGTTGTGAAAGTTGTGTAGAAGCATTGGAGTGTATTACCGATTTTGGATCTTATCAAGAGCAACTTACATTTATCAACACTAATAAATTTTTTCTAGAAAATTCTTAACATTTACAAAAACAGGCAAATCACATTTCCCATGCCTACTACAGCTTTCGTTCTAATTCTGTCGTTTCCAGCTACTGCTCTTTCCATATTCCTGTTTTCAATTGTCTTTTCGATATGAAACTGTAACTTTCTCAACATAAACTTATTTTCCACTGGTCTTTCGATTTTTTTGCTGGTTTGACCAATGGGTAAAGTTCTGTATAATTAAAATGGGAGCTCGAAACATAAGAATTCTGTTTGAAATTTTCCAATGAATTTCAAAAGATACTTAAGATTAGCCTACGCCTTTTTGGATCAACAGCTTTTCTAGTTTGACCCAAATTTGAGACAGAGAGTAAATGTCTGAAAATCTTGCCAAATCATCAGGAGAGTCTTAAGGTAAGCCCACTACCAAAACTGTTTCTATTTTTCTCAAAATGCAAAGGTAAGATAGTTAGCAGACATATCCATGATGAAATGGGGTGCGAAGATTAGATCTAAATTATTGCACCAATTTTTTTAAATAACTGTGAGTTAGAGACGTGGTTGCAAATCTGGTAACCCACTGTTTGTCTACTAGGCAGAGGGAATCGAGGGTTAGCTTGTGCCAATCAATGGGTCGCGGGTTTTAATAAGGGAAGTCAAAGGTCGTTTACGTCATTATAACAGGGTAGGAAAGCTGGATTTACCATTTTGACATTGACGAAAACAATGTCAGTCTTGATTTCTCATTCTGTCAGTCGCAAACCTGAAGTTCTGGCAAAAGTTAGTTGTATCATATTTCCTCTGTTAAATGACACATTTCTACTATCCTGATGATCACTGTAAACATCATCTTGCATTTTAACCAAAACATCCCACAGGTTTGGATGCTAGGGGAATTAGTGCCCAAGAGCAGCTTTCAATGGGGTCTACATTGGCACCCTGCTCTTCTCATAAAGTCCACTGCATTGCAAGTTAATATCTCTACGAACATGCTACAAAAGTAATCCACCAAAACGTTACGACTTTATCATAACAAATAAGAAACCCAGTGTTAAGATGTGAAGGAGATAGAACAACGCATGGGCTCGAAAAAAACAGAAAGATAACTTAATATTAACTTCAATGGCCTACACACATAACTGTAATATTACAATCTGAAAAACTATAGAAACGTTGGTCACATGAACTCATTCTCCTGCGCAAAGTCTACTAGGATACTACACCCAGCCGCAAATGAAACAGGTTTGACCGACTATTAATTAACCTATACTGTATCTAAAACTAAATGTGTCAAATATAAACCAATTACTATATCATATATAAAGTTGCTATAAAAACTTTTCTGCCGATCAATTTAGCGAGAGTCTTCAATGTTATTTAGCTACAATACTTAAGACAATGTCACATACGACGTATTCAGCAAACACTGGTTTCTGCTCTCGATAAACATGTCTCTCCTAAACCGAAAGTAGTGAGATCATATAACGTGCCTTTCATGAGAAAAGACATTGATTACGCCGAGATTCTTAAACGAAAAGAGAGTTCAATAGAAATAAGACAGTCTCTAACAGGAAAATGTGCAAAAAGAAATAAAAAATATGCTAAATTGATAGATATGCTAAAATATGCACGTAAAGAAAAACCAGATGTAAAATTTACTAATCTTTATAAAACCCGACCTTTTGATGAAAATACAGCTACATCACGATAATGTCGATCAAAATCCTTTGATAAGTATCGCAGTATTATAAAAATCAGGTTTAACTTTAAAAAAGTAACTTCCAAAGATGTACAAAGATTTACGAGAGATAAACTACAGCCCAGAAGAAAACAAGTAAATCTATGGTAAATAGCATTACGATAATGTTACGTGAAAGTTCTTAGAATGTTGCTTATGGGCTTATCAAAACTTCAACAAGCCAAATCATATGGCTTTAGCGACAACGCAATGGAATTTATGTTTAATTATCTTCACAAAAGTAAAACAAATTAAGTTAAATTCAGATTTTAGTAGTTTGGTGGAAACAAAGCAGGGAGTTCCTCGAAAGTCAAAAATTGGCCCATTACTGTGTGAAATTTACATTGTTGACCTATTCCTTCGGTGGAACAAAAACAATCTATTCAACTACGTAGCAATTTGGTGGGTGGAATCAGAATAATATATAATTGATAATTGGATTTGTGAGAATTTTATGATACATAACGGTGAAAATGGCTCTCAGTGTCCTAAAAACTACCTTCGAATGCTAGGTAGAAACAAATACAAAAGCAAATAAAATATAAATACAAGTTCTATCAAAGAAAGTAATAATAATAAATTGTTAGGAGTTATATTGGATCAGCAACTTAAGATAGAAGAACACATTAAAAGCTTTTGAAAGAAGCTGGCAAAAAAGGTTTAGCCAGGGTTGCTTCTTATATGATTGAATCTAAGCGAATGCTTTTAATGAAAACATTCATATGTTAATTTCTGTCCTCTTATTTGCAGGTTTTAGAGTAGGAAAAGTAATGGCTAGATAAACAGGTTTCAAGAAAGGATAACGAGAATAGTTCATAACCATTATCAATCAATTTTTGAACTACTAATAACAAAATGCCTCATTAAATAAATTTCACTATCTTGCGATTAAAATATGTAAAACTTCTACCGATTTGAATTAACCTTTCATAAATAAAATTTCTCCCATGAATTATTGTGTACATAACTTAAAATTCGAAACAGCAGATCCATGTCACAAAATATCAAGACTTGAGTCAATGACATATTAATGTAGACAAACATGGAACTCGATCATTAATGAATTAAATACTTCCCCGCTTAACACATTTTTTAAAAAAAATTAAGAATTTTCATCGTTCTTTTGTACTTACAAAAGCGGAAATTCATTTTCCAGGTTGGGGGGGGGGCAATGCCCACAAAATAAGCAAATTTGGCGACAAATTTGCATAATTTACCGACAAAAGCGTGTCTTAACGGACAGGCACTTGTCCCCCCCCCCCCCGCAATTTCTGTCACTGTGTACTTGTGACTTTTACAAACAAAACACACGCAACATTAGTTATGTATTTGTAATGATTTGTATAGTGTAATGGGGATTTAATCAGTTGGTAATCAGCTGTAGTGTAGCTAGATATTGTACCAACTTTAAATAAAGAAATAAAATGGCAGCACCTCCTTCACATCGCTTCTCTAGCATATGATGTTTCATAAAATGTCCAGTCTAAGTCATCTCCCCAAGAAACTGATGACATGTTTCTGAGTATTGGCAGAGCCCGGTCGTCCTTCCTTTTAGGAGTTTTAGAATCCATAAACTGAAATATAAAAACTGCCATTATGTAATGTAGACACGAGTTCGTTTCAACCCTTTATTTCCAGTGGTGCTAGTCCCAGTCTCAGCGAGTAGTTGTTTTGAATACGTCCCGTTTTAGCATTGTTGCATAAAAGATTGGTAAACGATCCCGGGTGTTGTGGCTTGTGTTGATGTTGAAGAAGAAAATTTCCTTTCAAAGGGTCACTTTATGCTGTAAATTATTAATGTTTCAGTTTGCTAATGTTTATACATCGATATAGTAGCTCAAAATTTAGCGTGGGTAATTAGCTCTCCAAGATTTTGTTTCGTCTTATTGCAAAAGTCAAGGACTGTTTCTATAGATATAATGTACTTCTTTGTCTTTCAAAATGATGTCCCAATGAGTTGTGAGAATTTAACGGATGTTAATAGCTCGATTGCCGTATGGTGTGCTAAAAAGTTG